GTTTAATTAATTAACTGACGAAGAGAAAAACTCTTAAGTAGTCGAGGATAAAATGCTCGAATTTTTTTCTGTGTATATATAAAGTTTGTGGTTAATAAATTTAATTATTTAATACATATGGAAGAGCAAACAAAGAAAACATTTAAGATTTGTATAGTCTATTCCAACAGTCAGACTTTTTAATTGAAACCCCACCACCGTTGATCCCCTAATAACTAGAATACATTTGGAGCAACAACAAACAGCTACAAGTTTATTTGGTGTTTCTCACAAAAATACCATTTCCAGCGAGAAACTACTGCTGAAGATGGTCTTTCTAAATTTAACATTATATGGGAATTTGGTTTACAGATGCTACTTCTCCAAATGAGAATGCCATGAGATTCGCCCATCCAAAAGACGTCAGTTGAACCAACATTAAATACATCTGCATAAACGTGAAATTGTATCAAAGAGACAATACTTTACTTGAACATTTGTCTCCATCCACTTCACATTATGGCAATAATCATAAATATTTACGATTCCATCCGAGAAGGGGCGTCCTTTCGTGAAACCCAACGCCACCCAGAAACCCAATGTTCATATTCCTGTGCACAATTTAGCGGAAGAGCGTCCATTTATCGAAAATTTCGCTATCTGTTGTATACTAAATCTTACAAGCTTTCAACTTCAGCTCATCCCATCCTAGCGGGTCGAATTATTGAAAGAGATTCCGAGCAGAATCCCACACAAAATACGATTAAATAATTGAGCTCAAAGTTCCCAAAGGAGATTTCAATTAATACCAATAGGTATTATGCTATATACAACGCTATTCACTGGAAATACGATTCATATACTACCATAAATAATTCCCGGTATTTGCTGTGAATATCATGTTGTTAATTACAGGTAGTGAAAATGAGTAAATTAAATTTGAATGGTTATTACAACTGTGTAGAAAATATTCGTGATTTTCCATATCATCTTCGGATGCAATTCAGCATTATTACTGAATGTGAAATATGTGTATGAAAAGTGCAAATCCACTCGATAAATATCAATGCATCAGAGTTTACCGACAGTAGTAAATCTGCCCCAAATATACTAAATATTTACTTGCAACTGTACAATTTATCGTGATGAACTGTGTCAATATTTGTCAGTGGCTAAATGGTTATGTAAATATTACCGGGAATTATAGATGCTATCCCATTGGTAAATATGGGAAATTGTTCAATTTCAGCGAAAATGACAAATTTCGTTTGAATACTCCTTGAGCGAGTGGCTCAGCAGACGAATCAATAAACCTCTTCTCGCTTGCCAAAATGTGTCACACATTGTAGATTTTCCCATTTGACACTTTATTCAAAATTCACAAGGATCATGCTGCTTTCCATTTTGCACATTCCAGCCACTTTTGTCCTTGGCGCCTCACAAAGGAGATTTTATCCCACCACCATTTCTCGTCTGAGGCCAAGATGAATGGTAGAATGCATTTAAGAAGTTAATTTTATGATGTTTTCGCGCATAATTGAATTAATGTTGTCTCAAATACACTTAAATTGTTAATGTTCACACTAAAATGCACTAAAAACTGTTTCAGTTTCGAAATAGCGAGTCAGTGACAATTGCAAGTAAATTGCTTCAAGTGATCAAAAGAAGTTGAATCAGTGAAGAGAGCTTCTGAAAGAAGAACTGAGAAATTTTCTAAGAATGAGAATAATACAACATCCTTCGCATTTGAAAATAACAATTGGATTCAAAATGTTGGACGACACTGTAAATTTACACGTCTTACATTCGAATTTATTTATTCTCACTGAGCTTCAATTCGCGTTTTCCGCTCAGTATGGCATTGTCACTGAAATCTTTAGCATCATTCTTGATTTGTGTCTCGATGGGTGTAACGGAGGCGGAAGGGAATCCTGAATATTGTATGAATATCACCTACATGTGCCACCGGAAGGAAAAGGCAGAAGAGGGAGAGAAAAAATCATTGTGTGAGATATATTTCTCAATTGAGATATTCCACCATGAATATCCTCCGTATGTTGTGCTCCACCGTGCATACACAATTACATAAGTCAAATTCCGTTCGCACAAACTCCACAAACTCGTGAAAATTCTTCACACGCAATACACAAGACGGACTGATACATGACATATCACCTGACACCCGGGATTTATTCGTATACAAGCAATTATTTCTGATATAGCAAGCACTTTAAGGACACGGCATGTCTTCTAGTTTAACACGATTACATGAAGACTCCGTATTCACATTCACATTACGCACATGCTAACTCACTCCCTCTTTTCTTTCCTTTTTTTTCTCTCCCTCTGGAAATTGGCAATAAATTGTTTCGTGCGATGTAAAGCAGAAAAAAGAGATGTATATCATAAATTACTAATAACTGTTCATAATATGAAGTTGAAGAAATTGATAAAGTTATTTTTCTCCCTTTCTATCTGTAATTTATGTTTTTTTCGACCAGCCAGCATTATGAAAAGAATATCGTACACCCTCAAGTGTCATCGCCTGAGGGAGAGAAAAACTCATGATATACGAATTCGAGCGCAATAAAAAGAACCATCATCAATTTGAGAAGAAAATCTCACTGGGTGTCCTATTTTATCCCACGAGCCAGTGTGAAAGTGCGATATGTCACCAAGGGAGGAAATTACAATAACTCATGTATCAATTTATTCATGATACTGCGCTATGGACCATGTCTTTGGTATTAACATAAATCTAAGTCTTTCTCGCAGAATCACATATTGCACATTAACACTTTAAGAAAAGTCTATGTGAGGATAAATGACATCACGTTCCTTGAATTTATCCTCCAACACATGCACATGTCCGCAAATTTAAAGAGCATCACAAGATATATTATTCAATTAATTACTCCTATGACGAGATAAAGATAAAAAGTATGATGTATGGGGGTCATTTCGCTGAAAAATTGGGTGAGCAGACGGGAAGCTTCAAGAGCAAAGTCAATGAGATATTACTGAAGCTTTAAGCTTTCCCGTCAATTCTCTGCACATAGCAATATATAGGGAATTTCAGGAACCCCTTGTAACATTAGCACACAAAGTATTGTTGTTCTCCTTCTTTTCAGCTCACTTCCATATATACCTACATATGTACGTATATAAATAATTTTGAAAAGTGCAGCGGTAATGTTCTTAAATAAGGACATAAATTATACAGAATGATATGAAATTTGTCAGGGTGGATTTAATGTCGCAGTCGAAAGAGGATTGAACGAAGACGATGAGTACGAAGCGTCGTATTACATAATTTCGCTTCGGAATCATTGAAATTACTCAACGCTCACCCCTAGGCAATGTCAAATACATTACTCACGGAGGAATAATGGGCGCCCACGATAAAAAGAATTGGAAGAGGCGCATTGGGGAAAAAACACCGTGAATTCTTCTGGAAAGTCGTCTTCCTCGGGTAAATGGGTGCATTTAATAAAACCCGTGTGCGGGTGCAAAAATACACTGGCAAATGATATCGAGGAGTTATGAATTTTATGACGCTACCAGCCGAGTAGGGACATCATTTGTCACTGAGGCGCCCCATTGGAGGATGAGCAGCAGAGTTTAAGCACCCCAAATGTACCGACTTGAGGACGTTTTTGTCTCCAGTCTGACTCATCTGCTTGGTATGCACGAGAGTGCGGAGACTGTTGTGTAGCTCAAACTTACGCTGTGCCCTAATTGATGTCAATTACACTTTTCATCATAGCATACATATTTTCCTTCCACTTATCCTAACAGTTTATCCAACTACCATCTGAGGTGTGAACTCACTCCATTGCGCTGTTCCGTTGATAGAAGCCTGACATGATAGCTTTCACCCTGGCTGTCAAATTAGTCCAAAATGCCAAGACTTTTGCAAAACATTGCGCCCCGAAATACACTTAAACACCCGCTTTAGCTGGAAATATTTCCCAACAGGCGCTCGGAGATTCAATGGAAATTCTATAAATCCCCAAATTACTACATTTTATAGTTGGTGGGAAGCACGCTCTGTGTAATTCAATCACTTCACAGAGCTCCGCATAGACTCAGGGTGGAGTTAACACTCTGCATTGCTGTGATCTATTTCTGGATACTCAGATTTTCCCTTTAATAGCTTTATTCAATAAATCCAAAGAATCTCCCGCGTGTTCCTAAATCCCAGTTTTATGAATAGCTCGTATAATTTTAAATCGTCTCAATGGTTTCTAAATTGTCAGTTTAAACTCGAGCTTTATTACAAAGACGCTTTCTGTCAATGTCTGCAATAAAATTTGGTAGAGTAGGGGAGCGCATAGTTATCTCGGTCAGCATCTTCGACATAAACTTCTCGAAAGCACATGTGTCGAAAATACCAGAGAATCGTTTATTTTATTTACTTAACGTCATAGAGAATTAATGTGTAGAATAATTCAAACTTCTACTTTAATTAATAAATCAACTCAAAGAAAACTGTCCAATAGTTGCTCAAACAAAAAATAGCGCCCTCGTGATTTTTGCGAGTGAACCTTTATTTTGCTGATTTTATCGTAGTTCTGTTAACGCTGGCTTATCAGATTTCCAACAATCTCGATGGTATTCGTGGCAGTGCGATAAAGTGATTGGCAGTATCTGCATTTCCCTTCACGAGATTTCAAAGCTTTTCACTTCTTGTGCTCAATATAAAAGCAATTGAGGCAAAGCCACTTTGTGGTTACACCTTCTCACATGCAATTTTTCTATATTGTGGGGAGGAGAGAGATGGTCTAATATACACGGAAGAAATTTATATCAGGTGTTAAAGCAGGTGTTGTTCTATAGAATAAATCCACAGAAATCATTGCTGGAATAACCACATCACTGTTGTGCAATAGAGCAATTTATAGAAAGTCGTTTATATACAATAAAATCGTCAAGTTTGTGGAGTGTTTTGCTGTGAGATAGAAAACTAAATAAACTATATGTATTTCTCATCCTTCTTCTCTGACCTCTTCTCTTTGCAGTACTATCCGCCAAAAACGACCTCATACCAAAGTGAATGCGAACTCTCCGGATCGTATGTGTCCCTGGAGTGTCCTTCGCCTCCGGGTCCACCGGCATGCCTTCCTGAATCCCGACGGGATCCGCAAGTAAGTCACTTTTTAGGCGCGCACCCTATAAAAGCGTATTATTATGTAGTGGAAAGAAAAGAGAGACAGCATATAAGAGCATGCTGGCACAATATATTTGCAATATAACGTAAAATCAGGCTATAAAACTGACTACACACGCAATGGATGAGATTAAATTGCTATGCGTTATCTATGCGTATATTTTTTCGAGTATGTATATTCGGTGCTCCGGCAACATCTCCATAAACCACGGCACTTCGTGTTTTCTATATAAAAACACAAATACGGGCGCAAGCGAGAAATATCCTGCACGCCAATTCGGCAGAAAAATGCTTTCACTTTTGAGCAAATCGTTATTTTATGCTAATTGAATACATAATTACATCCAAACCTCGCTATAGCAGGAGCAATTTCAAAATTTTCCTCAATGATGAAGTGGTTTACATTTTCTGAATATCTCTCTCTCTCTCTCTCTCTCTCTCCGGAATGGAGCTTTTTCAGTGATTTTCATTCAGGATTTTTCATAAGAATACACCGAAGCACCATCATAATGTATTCTCTTACCATTATCCATCTGAAATATCTCTCATTTACAATACAAAATTCATGTAAATTCTACTCCAAGCTCTTAATAATATCTCGTTTACTCCTCCCGCCGTCTATGAAATTGCCACGATGTCGAATCAGTCGAGGCTGAGTACATTCTTGAAGACACTGTATCTTGAGCTAGCTTTAAAGGAGCCTCTAGTGCCGGGATGGGCGCAACCAGTTGCTCCTGGCGCACTCAGTGCAGCACGACTAGAGCCAGAGCTGCGACTGCACATGCAATCGCACGGGACAAATGAAATCATATCTGTGGATCAGTTGCTGACGCCAATTCAGGTAATTTTTCATATTTTATTCACCTCAAAACCGAACACTTAGAAATCGTCCGATCTTGGAAGAATTCACCAAAGAAGACAACTTAAACGGGATGCATTTTACTCTTTGATTCTCAATTTAATCTTCCTGGTGATTTGCACGAGATGCTCCAAACCCATTCACAGCAAAGTTTAACAATATTTTATTTTCTCCAAATGCCAGACAAAAGATGGACCATTTCTGGAGGCACCGCGAAGAGTGCTGGTGGAATGTCCCACGTGGGCGATTCACAGCACATTGGCGCTTCGTATCTTGCATGCGTGGTCGAGAGACCATCCATGGCCGCAGCGTGGCACCCCCGTGGCCGTGGCCATCTTCATTCCGCTGGCCGAGCTCAAGGGCAGCATCTCCAACTATGTGGCCAAAGAGCTGCTGCCCAAGGGACCATCCAATCCATTCGCTGGCGGCTTCGGCGGCTTCAATTCCGCCTGGAATTCGCTATCCAGCCTCAAGGCCAAGCTGCTCTTTGTTCTGGATGGGTACGACACTCCACGTGGATCACCAAAGAGAAAGGGCAAAACGCTGCCCGCCGATGTGATAGATCTTCTGGAAGGACGCTTGTTTCCAGATGCGCGAATTGTAGTTATTAGTGTTGCTACGAATTGCACCGATCTGCTGCCCATGATGCAGCGCCATGTCACGTACGAGGGCTTGAGTTGGGGTAGGTCGGCCTCCTTGCTTGGAGGTGGCCAGTGGGGAGCGCCGTCGAGACTCTTGGACATCGTGCAGCAGTACCAAGCACTGCGAAGTGCCGTCCGGACGACGATTGGCTGCCTGGCCATTGCTTCCATCTACGAAGCCAACGGAGGAGATCTGCCTACTGAAGAGATCGACGTGGTGGAGTCTGTAATCAATTGCGTGGGATCGGAATCGTCGGCTAATAATGCAGCTGAATTGGGTCGATTGGCTCTGTTCACGCTTAAGACTCGTCGTTCGTCCGTAACAACCTCCGAAATACGAATGTACTGCTCGAGTCCGGACTCCACGATTCTCGGATGTCTAGAGAAAGCACCACTGTTCGGACGCACGGCAAGGCGGAAAGGGGAGAGCCACTATACGGCAGTGTGTGCGGGGGTGGCCGAATTTCTGGCCGCCAGCTACTTAGCCTCCCTCGCCAATCGACCGGGCTTGTTGGCTGCCGAGATAGCCGGACTGTCGCTAGGTGACGAAATTGATGCGGAAATGCTGAAAATTCTTACATTCTCCATGAGTTTGCTGGGCGGCAGAGCGCACATTCTGCTGTCCAAACTCACCCCTCTGTGGCTCAGTCCTCAGACCATTTTCTCCCTCGCCATTGCCGGCGGTGAGTCCGACACCAATTTAAATGCCTTATGTGACTTACTGGGAATTTCAAAATCGCCCCCTGTGTCGCCACTCGAGATGAGGCCCATCTGGGTGCAAATCCGCTCCACGCCGACGGAACTGAGGGGCTGGGGCATGGCGCTCAAGAGCCCCAGTTGCACACTGCGAAATCTTGAGTTGGCGTATCAGATGGAGAAGCACACCATCCACGATGCACGCAACGGCATGGACCACTTCCTGGACGCCATCGTGTGCAACGACAGCGTCACGACCCTGAGGATATCCTCGCTCATTGAGATAGATGCCAAAGAGACTGAAATTGGACACTTGGCCAATTGTGTTGCCAAAGCCTTAACAAAGCCCAAACTGGAGTCATTTGAATTGATCCTCACGCTGCTCGAGGAGGATCCACCGGTGCTCAAACTTCAGGCTGTTGTCTCGGCTCTGTGTCGTTCAATACCACGTCAGCCCAAACTCACTGCCATCCTGCTCGACTTGGGGCTCTGCACATCACAGCTAGTGCAATTGTGCAGCATTCTCGAGAAGTGTCCTCAGATTACTCGAGTTTCGTTGCCACATTTGCGATGCGAAAGGGGAGCTGTTGGAGCATTGGCCGCTCTCCTGACAAATCGACCCATCACTTCACTGGCTCTGCCCTCTTGCTGGGGCGCTCGCGATGACCCACCATCATCCAGTGGTGTCAGTATGGGTGAGTTTCAAATCGAATCAAATGCCATTCAACTTGATCCACTGCTATCAATCGTTTCCATGAAAGCCTATTTTTTCTCTTTGAATGTCAAATCTGTATTTGTGTAATTCCTTCAGGTTCTGGCAGTGGCAGTAGCACTGGAACTTCGGGTCTCATCAAACAATCATCTCTCACTGGTGCTCCGTCGCCTCGGGCTTATCCGCCAGGCCTCTTTTCCTCACTACCGCGCGGAGTTCTGCCTCCGCCAAGTAGTATGGGTCGATCTGCCACTCTTCCTCGACAGCCTATGGAGTTGCCAGCGGACAAGCGCAGCTCGGACTCTGTTGTTTCCTCTAAGCCATGGTATCCGACTCCCGCATGCGAAGGAGGTCCTCACAATTCAGGGACACTGCATGATCTCTTCCTAACCATCCGAGAACCGTATTCTCGGCTCAATGGACTGGATCTTAGCAAAGCCCAACTGTCTCTCGAGGACGCCATGTGCCTTGGTGAAACCGTGCGGATCTCCACAACGCTGCACTCCTTGAAGATCGAAGGCGCGTCCCGTTTGAGTGAAATCCTACCATCAGTTTTGGGTGCTAGTGAGTCTCCGTGTCTCCAAATGATGAGCATCGGCTCACCGAGACTCGCACTCGAAGACGGTGCCATCGCCATGTCGTCTCGAGCTCTGGCCAACTGCTCAACCCTCAAGCTGCTCAGCATTGAGGGTTGGAGCTTCCGAATAGAGGTGAGCGTGAACTGAATTTCAAGAAAGCATATCCAAGATGAATGACACCACTTCGTGCTTGCTCCATTAATTACAGTCGGCAGCATCACTGAGCGCCCTCAGGGCATTCCTCTCGTTCACCTCCATCCGGGAATTGGGACTCTCCAACTGTCGCCTCCACTTGCCCATCTTCAAGAGTGACGCCATGCCCCAACCCACGTACGAGTGCCGATCGGTGGTGGTTATTAAAATTTCAGGCGCACAGGTAAATTATTAATTTGTCGTTTTAGCTGAAAGTCGACTCCTCAACTGAATTTATTTGTTCCCGTCTCAAAGGTAATTCTCGGCGACCACATAATTCTACGTGGCCCTCAGCTTCTTCCCCACATCGGTGGCTTTCCCTGTCTCAGGGAGCTTGATTTATCCTCTCCGGCTCGATCTGGACTCGGCGGCACAACATCTCCACCCCTCATCATGGATGACAAGTGTGTAATTACATTCTTTCAGACTCTACATTTGCAGTTTAGGTGAGTCTGTCTTGCTAAAACTTCCCCCATGAGAAAAGCTCTCGTCCTTCCATGCGCTCGAGCACAGAAATATATCCCAAAATAAATACAGCACGAGTGGTAAATATCTCTCTGGCATTTTATCCATCCGACAACCCGTATTTAACCCAATATAGTGCCTTTTTCACTTAAAGCGCCCGATATTAAGGAATATAATTGAGCGTCTCACTCCACCCACAGTCGAGCTTTTGCCTGTCGAAAGCACTGCGGGTTCTCGCGAAGAAGAGCCAGAAAGCTATACGCAGAAAATGGAGAGAAATGCTGAGGGTGAATCGCTGGGTTGGGGGCTAAATTAAGATTTCGCCTTAAACATGGACTCATATAGCGACTGTTATCAATGTTACTTACTTGAAAGACAATCATCCTTCCCGTGAAAATTCCTCGCAACATCTCTCCAAATGTCATGCATATAAACGTTCAGTTTACGTCCTTGAGTATAAAATGTATAATGTAATTCCTGGAAGGCAAAAGCAACGAAAATCCACTCTTTAATTCAATCACTTTTGTTTTCGTGAACTCACACATTATATACCATTTCTTCTTCACTTTATCGAGCTCGGGATTTGGCTGTGCCTTTAGGACGGGGTGGTCAATTCCTTGGATTCTGTGTGTTCTTCTGCTTAATTTACTCTTTGAAACTCAATAAACTTGAAATACCTCGCTTTATGGGGAGAATATTGGGGTCAGACTACACTTATCCCTGAAGGAGTCTTGTGGAGTAATAAAACTTTTGTGAACGACAGCCTTCAACGCTAAAGATCCGCAGGGAGAATTAGTATTAACTTATTGCATAAAGAAAGAGGCTAAAAATAGAAGTTTCCAAGATTGTCATAATTGAAAGTCTTAATTTTGCCATTCATCATTGTAGTCATTGCAGTGCAAATAATTCTGTATAGAAATATGATTAATACTCTTCAAGAGCACAAAATCACTGAATAAGACATTTTGGACTTTAAGTATTTCATGTGTTTGTAAAGTGTGAGAATTATAGTGTTGCTGAAGTTAACGACGAAAAGGTCATTTCTAAAATGATCCTGTTATTTTCCCACCTTCTGCGTTTATTCTGTATTTATTTACTGTCTAGAGACGGAGATATTTACCACTATAGTGTACATAAATACGAGCGCCACTTGTAAGAGCTCTTCCACTAAATTCATCATTTTCATTAAATGGGAAGAAGGGATGAAGTTGTAGTTAAAATTCCATCATTGTCATTTTGCAGTTTGCTAAACACTTTGAAAATGTGCAACTGGATTCTTCATCTCGACGATGCTGCCAAGACACTGAAGACGGTTTCAAAGTCCCTGCGAAATAGTCCGCTGAGCCACATAAAGGTTGATGGAATTTCTGTGTTGGATCGCGTGAAGAAGAACCGCATTGAGCCACAATTTATGCACATATTGTTCGCCGCTGTGCCCCAACTCAGGTGGATGGGCGTGAGCCTGTCGGGCATGAGAGAGGATCAGATTGCGGCCATCGGAGCGGGTGTTCTTGATTTGAAGGGGAATGAGATTGACATCAGGTAAAGCTATTTGACCAGTATCTTCCTCACCCACTCCATCCATTCTCGACCCATCACTAAGCCATCCTTGCCAATTTCCTCAAACACCTTCATCCCTCCACGGAATTCCCCATTCATGGGCCTCACGAGCGACTGTGGCAAAAATAGTTATGCTGAGGCCGCCTCGGAGGATGGCCAACGGATTGAAAAGTTCATCTTCCATTCCCCAACAACTGGAATAATTTTCCTCTACAACTTTCATATCACCATTTATGCCTCCAGCATTTTTCTGCTCACCCCAAAATTTCTCTCCGCTTCTTTTCTCGCACTTCGATATACAGTTAAATTTAGCCTCATACACTCAGATAAATTGGTCCATTGAGACAGGAAAAGGGTCACTTTGAAATCATGTGCTTCTTTTTAGAGAAACTTTTGCTACGCGACAGATAAGTTGCTGACTTGAATTTGCATTATCACAAGAGAGCGGAAATACTCGGGAAAATTTTCATGAATTGCATTAACACAAAAATTATGTCAGAGGAATTTCATTTTATTCCCAAATAACAGACAATATCAGCCAAAATGTGCACTTTGGTAAACAAAAATATTATTATTTACAATTAGGAGCATAACTACACGTAGAATCATTTTAATTTATATTAAAAAATCGATAATTTCCAAAAATATATCCTATTTAGTGCTTAATCATTGTCATGGAAAGCGTTTCAGCTAATGACGATTAGCTGGTGTATTTTCCTTGGGTAGGAAAAGCGATATTTGCATGGATAACATCCACTCAACAAGCTCTGATTTTTATCGCTGTACAACATCGAGAATCTTACCCCACGATTTCCTCGTATTATTTTTCTCTAGGCTCAGCGATTCAACCATCGAGAACGCAAGATTAATGACGCAAGCCATCGGATTGGATGGGAAATTTGATATTCGTGTTTCGACATTCGGCACATCAACGGGAATCCTGATTCATGTGGAAAAGGCGGGCAACAAGAGTTTGTCACGTAAGAGGAAGGATTGAGGCCAACACGACGTTTCGCTCAAGATTTCATCACTCACATAGACATACGGCACGCATATTACAATAGGAAATACTCTTAAATATTCGTCCCCATCCATAGCGAATTTGTCTCTCTCGCAAAGTTAATTTGAGGGGGTGGAACAGCCCCCGAAACCTCCACTCTATAATGTATTAAACTGTAATTTAAATAGTAAGTCCCAGCGATGCGCGACACAATTGAAAAGCCTTTTGTTCCCAACTTTCACGTCTACTCTCGATGCAAAGGACATTGTTAAGGTAAGAAATTGCTCATTTTCTGCAAATATATCCTGTGTGGATATAACTTTTGGAGTGTGCATATATTGTTAGAGAGACAGAGAGGTAAGTAAGTGTTGATAAAAATTAAATTTGGCAGAAAGCGAATGGATGCACTATGAAATAGTGAAAATAAAATTACACTCCTATACATACAAGTGGTATAGTAACTGTTTAATTAAATTAAATGTTAATCAAATAGAATTTATATATTATATATATAAAGGTAAAATGTGAAAAATTTTACAGAGAATAATTGTTGCTAGAAATGGAGTAAATTAAACCCAACAATTTGAATAATACATGAATAATCATTTGATATATAAAAAAAAATATGGTTAATAAGTGTTGAGAATATTTAATAGATAGAATATTGAAAATTTTTGACATAGAGAGAGAAAGAGAGAAAATTTATTTATGTATAGTGGTTTTTGGTTCGAAATTGTTGACTGAATTGATGGTGAGAAAAAAAATTGAAAATTTTAACTAGAAAACACAGAGAAATATTATGAATGTGAAATGATGGAAAATGCGATGTAGAAATTTACATATCCAGAACCAATATTGATTTTCTTTATACGAAAATTTGTTTTCTCACGGGAGAAGCAAAGCATATATACTAAAAATATCCCCCTCATTTTACAATTGTTATTCTAATATTTTATATTATATAAATGGCTGTGTGTACTGAAAAATAAATAACACTTATCGTTTGAATGCTCAATCACTTTAAATACATTTTATTAATTTATACACTAAGAAAGAGAAATGAATATTCACATGTAAGGACAATATTTAAGATGATAGAGGCAAATGTGTTGCGATAATTGTATTCAAGTAAATTATAAAATGGAGAATTGTAGGCATTACAATTGATTGTGTAAATTGATGGAACACCTCAGAAATTTTCAATGACTTTTAGTATTGCAAAGCAAAAAAGGTGAAACTAATAAAATATAAGTAGAGCATTAAGGCATTATTGATGCATATATAACGATGTTAATGTATTAAAAAACTGAAATATACAAGTATACACAAAATCAATCATTTTTTACAGCGTTTTATTCACATGTTGACTTTAAAACATGTTATTTTTCTCTGGGATTTCAATTCACGAGTGATCTGAAAACAGTCGCATTGTCTTGGTTCAGGAAGAGGAGCTTAAAGACATCATTGTAGAATTCGGGGTAGTATTCGCATGCCCTCTGGCAGTCTGGCATCCAGTTGACTTCCAGCAGTTTCGGCTGAATCTTGCCATCGTCCCAACTGAGAATAATGTCAGCTGCATACAGTGCTCGACTCTGAAGATTAGCGCCAAGTCCACATGGCGGCACTTTCTGCACGGCGCCCGACAGCATTTCCCTCAGCATCTCGCAAATTGCCACCTCCACCTCATCCCAAGGGTGTTCTGGGTATTGCTCTGACCATTTGATTAAAAATTCAGCACACGGCAAGTGGTGGAGATCAGCCGTTTCGCTGTAGTTCATAACCGTGAAGTGTGTCTCGTAGTCAAAGCCATCGTCGAGACGGTATGATCGATTGGCGAAGCGCAAGAAGAAATTGCGATGGACATGTGCGCTCAGCGGATTAATGCTCTTCAGGAGAATCACGTATCGCACATCAAACTTCACGCGTGCCCCCTCGAGATCCGTGCGAGTGAACAGCACTGGATGCTCCACGTACTTCTGGGCAATCTTTGGCCCTGTCGCCGGCAGTCTCATTATGTGACCAATATCGCTGGTGATGTGCATATCGAGACCACGGGCCAGATTCCATGGCTTGCAGATCCAGTGATTGTCAAGATTTTGCGCCTCGCGCTGTTGATAGTAGCTGACAAATTGGATGAGCTCCGTGTTCAGGTTAAAAGTCGTGGGAAGCCACTTGGGATAAGTTTCCAAAGTATTGGCATTTGAGTGCTGAGGAGCCACGCGACGACAAACAATGCTCAGGAGATCCTTCACTGTCAGCACATTTTCGTAAGGAAATTGATTGATGAATTTATTGGGGTTCTGCTGACTGAACTCCAGATAGTCCTTAAAGTGACTGCTGAGCCACAGAACATCCGCATCATCAGGTGAGTCAACGATCTCAAAGGCCTCGTCAGTGAGATATTTGTTCACGAAAGTGTAATCCGCATACACTCTCAATGGTCGATTGGCATCAACTTCTGGCTCCTCCTTATCCGCATCTGGCAGTGATTCCTCTCTCATTCTCCCGCCCAGGAAGTATTCCTTCTCTGGCTCCACCTGAACGAAGTCCTCCTCCGAGAAATCCGTGTACTTCCAGGGCAGCAGCAGGGCATTCCTCTTCTTCTCGTCATCCGCATTGTACTGCTCCACATAATCCCTCGTGACAATCTCATCCTCTTCGCAGTCCACCACGGGAAACAAGATGCTGTACGTCACCTGATCTGGGAGATGTAAAAAGGGTACAACCCGGAAATTGGGCGTGTCGCAGTGCTGAATTCCGGATCCCACTTCATCCATGATGTACCAAATGGGCATTTGGCTCTCAATGGAGATTCCCGTCGCGTTCACCGAGTACATTGAGTTGTATCTCCACAGCCTCCTCATGACCTTCTTCACGCACACTTCCTGCGTCTCGTTCTCCTGGTCCACGCCCATAATCATGCACATCCTCTTGAGTAAGCTGGGCATTTGCTCCAGTTGCTTCTGAGCACTGTCCATCCGGAACGTCCAGGCGTGATCCACGAGGAAAATAGCATCTCTGTCACTCTCCTCGATGCCTCCAGGCTTAGACACCACCACTGTCCACACGGGATCATCCTCCTGATGTCCGCCCTCGCCATAATCCAGCAGCAGGAGCGACAGAAAGTCGCCGGCATCGAAAATTTGGTTGTACAACTTATTGCAGAGACTTGGCCAGAAATGGGGCGGCACCGCCGATTGTCTCAGCTGGGGCTCGTGAAGAGTGAGAAAAGATTCATAGTTGCTTCCATCTTCAGTGGCTCCATTCATTTTCTCACGAGAAAACAAGGAAAATCACGCACAGAAAAATCACACCCACGAGAAAACAAACCTTGACAACTCGACACGTGTTGAGTGGGATTCTAGTGCGCAGCTCTGGAAAGAAAGTAGATAAATTTGAATTTTATCCAAAAGTAACGGTCAAATTTGGGATTAATTGCGTGAATTTCTCAAAATTAAATATCTGCAAATCCAATTACTTTGCATCACACTGTAAATTGCCTGCAAAAATTTAATTCTTTTGTTATCTCCAAATATGATGAAAAATTTATAGCGCAATGATGGAATATGATATTTTTATATGAGTAATTGGCTCAAATTTTACTTCAAATTCTAATTATTTTACTAGGAAATAGCCAGAGCAACATAATGCGGAAAAATGCGTGAAAAATATTCTGATATTTCGGGGGTCAATGGTGAAATGCGCGGGAAAAGTGCTAGAACGCGACAACAGAGAAGCGCAGACGATATTTTTTCGCCAAACTCCCAATCGCTGAACTCTATAACATTTCAAATAGCGTTATCATCTTCCGGACGAGTTTCTCTCGCAATTCAGTCATTTGTCGGCAGTTCGAGTGTGCGGATGGTGAAAATAGACGCAGACATGGTGTTGAAAATTACAGTGATCCTCGCCTTAATGGCGGCGTCTGTGTGCGCGCAGAAGAGCAATCGCTTCGTCGGTGGACAATTTGTAAGCTTGGGTGATCGCGAGGTGATTAACACGATGCGGGAGCGCAATGTCACGGAGCGCCCCATCACGCGAGAGCAGTTCGAGCAGCTCACGCGGAAGTTCCGCGCCAGCATGTCGCGCCTGAAGCAGAAGAACAAGAAGCTGGACGCGGTGTTCCTCATTGACTCCAGCTCGAGCGTGGGTCGGCGCAATTTCATGAGTGAAGTGAAGTTCGTGAAGAAACTGCTCAGTGATTTTCCCGTCAGCATCAACTACACGCGAGTGGCTGTGGTCCAGTTCAGCTCGCACGGACGAATTGTGAGTATGATCGCGAGCGCTTATCGCGGGAGCGCCACTGTGGGTCAGTGACGGGGTCACATCTGGAAGTGTGTTACGCTAGCAAAAATATTGTCTGAGTCACGCGTGTGGTTGACTCCCGGTGGCGCCGGGGAATGTCTGCGATAACAATATTTTTGTTTGGCCTCTCGCACCCGACCGTCCGTCTAAGAGTCTCGAGTGTGTGAATCTATTTTTAGCACCGACACATTGACCAGATTTCCATACCCAAGCGAGGCAATGACAAGTGCATGCTGATCAATCACGAGATCCTCAGACTGAGATTTATCGGCGGCGGAACTTTCACCTATGGCGCCCTAAGGGAGGCACGGGATATCCTGTCCAAGGCGCGCAAACACAGCCAGAGAGTGATCTTCCTCATCACGGACGGTTTCTCGAACGGGAAAGACCCAATCCCGTTGGCTAACCGACTGAAGAGGGACAATGTGACGATCTTCAGTGTTGGGATCGCAAATGGGAATGTCGAGGAGCTGAACAAGATTTCTACTGAACCAGCTGAAGATCACACTTTTCTCCTCAACAATTTCACGCAATTTGAGAGCTTGGCGAGGAAAGCTCTGCATGTTGGTGAGATTCGTACGCGCAACTTATTTGAAAGAAAGATATGATGAAAATTCCCCTTTGCAGACTTTCGTATGGGTCAACAAATCCCCACAAATTCAACCTTCTGCGGAAAACTATGTGATCGGTCTGAAAACGGAACGTGCTGCGATGAGAATGCTGTTTGCTCTTGCGGAATAGGATCCGGGCACTATTCTTGCCTGTGCAAGCCAGGATACTTCGGATCAGGTCTGAAGAACAACTGCCATGCTTGCTCAAATTCCACCTATTGGCACACGTGGAATTTCTGCAAACCCTGTCCCGACATCAACCACATCACAATGGGAGCTGCGATAGGAATCGAAGGATGTGTTTGCAAAGATGGCTTTCTGCCCGTCGAAGGAAATCGTTGTGAAGTCATAACGTGTCCGAAACTCACTCCTCCCAAGAATGGTTACTTCGTGAAGCATCCTCAGGGATGTGGGAATGTTCTGAATGCTGCTTGTGGCGCTCGATGCAAGTCAGGATATCAGTTAGTTGGCAGCAGCATAAGATTGTGTCAGCAGAACGGAACTTGGTCAGGAAGTGAGCCTGAGTGTGTCTGTAAGTAGATTTTATCAACATATTTCTGGTAAAATATTTTAATTTCTCTCTAATTTCTTTTAGTAAAAGCCTGCCCTGCCCTTCAAGTACCTTACTACGGACAGGCTGTGTGCAAGAACAGCGATCTAAATCTGATTGCAGACTACACTCCCAGAAACACAACCTTCATGGAGTATTACATGGAAGATGAGCATCGCATCACTGAACCAATGCCAATTGATACAAACTGTATATTCAAGTGCGGTCCTGGATATTATCTGGTAGGTTCTTCTTCACGCAATTGCTTGCCCCTATCGAAGTGGGATGGTCTCCAAACCACCTGCCGACAGATATTCTGTTCAAAACTACCCAAGATAACTTTTGGCTCTTACGATCCAACCGATTGCGATGAGAACAAGTCAACTCATGGAACAAATTGCACCATCATTTGTGACGAGGGATTCGATATCAAAGGACCAGTTCAGAAGACATGCACGGGAAAACGCAATGGATTCTGGACGCACAAGAGCAAACATCCCAAGTGCGTCGATGTGACACCGCCAAAGCTTACATGTCCGGAAAACATGACACTGAGTATTGAAAGCACGGAAAGCTATGCAATAGTGACGAGTGTTCCCAAACCCAGTGTTTCAGATAATTCAGGGATGAATGTAACTTTCTGGACGAAGCCAGTTCTCGAAGCTAATGTGACACAATTGACTTTAGGAAGTCACATTTTCTCATATATCGCAACAGATTCGTTCAGAAACAGAGCTATTTGTAATTTTACCATAACTGTTGAGGATAGAACGCCTCCCGTTCTGGACAATTGCTTTGATCCACCAGAGTTCTATGTGAGAACGTTCGGTCCGAAGAAAATGATGGTTGAGTGGGAAGATCCCATCATCTATGACAATTCTAATACGAACTTAAATATAAGCCAATCACTGGAGCCAGGTTATCTTAAACCGGGAAGATATGAAGTAAAATACACAGCAACTGATTCATTTAACAACTCTGCTTCCTGCACCATGAATATAACCGTCAAGGAGTTGCAGTGTGAGAAGCCTGCTTTTCCAGAAAATGGAAAAATGATTTGTGCCTCAAATGACACACAAATGTGGTGCCATGTCATCTGCAATTCGGGATTTGCCGCCTATGATGCTTATGATGAAAGTCACATGGAAAATCTGACCCTATTCTGCGATCACGATCATCCTCGATGGAAATACGATCCCATGATTGACTGCACGAAAATTGATTTGCCCGAATCCGTAGATGAAGTGCTGACAATCTCTCTCGACTCAGACATGGACTTCTGCGAGTCTGAGCACAAGGATGATTTCTACAGGGAGATGAGAGAGTACGCCCACCAGGAGTTTTGCGGCAATCAAACTAATTGCGAAGTCATCACTGACCTTCCTCTCTGCACCACCGATGAAGTGCCGTCGGATCCCAATCTCGACAAGAACGTGTACCACATCATGAAGAAGCGGGAGTTGGGAAATGGTGCACGCAAGAACCGCCGAAGACACAGAATGCACTTGAGAGTGAGTGTCGTTAATCAGGCGCGACGAGGTGGGCAGAACAAGGATTCTCACTCCAGGAAATTAAAGACTGGCGCTGAATTCTTCAGCAAGAGCATCCAGGGAAAATACACGGATGTGAAATTAAATGTGGGTGAATTGTCGATGAATGAAATTTACAAGTGCCCCAACGGGAGTGTCTTGAAGAAGCAATTTTGCGGTGAGTTTCTCTTCTGAGATTTTCTTCATTGTCCCCATTATAGCGAAGAGGAGGCGTGCTATTAACATTTCACTATGACCTCGATATCATTGTGCTGGGCGAAGCCCGGCTAAAAACACCCCCAAAAAACATTTTCCTAAGTAATCCCAAGGAATCCTAATCCTAAAAACCTACAACTTTTTTCTTATCACTTCCTTTTTAATTTTAGCTCAACTCATCAATGTTCTTTCCTCTAATATTTTGCAGTGCAATGTCCGAGAGGAACTTATCACAACAAAACCGGAAATTCATGTCAAGTGTGTCCTAAAGGAGCCTATTCTGATGCTCCCGGTCGACAGGAGTGCCAAATCTGTCCTCTGCATCACTCAACGCGACGCGAAAACAACAAATCCGACAAGAGTTGCCTCCAACAGTGTCCTCCAGGCACAATGGCTCGACTAAAGGTACCCAAGAGAGTGGGAGTCGCCCATGCACTTCAGAAAACCTTCATGCCGTACTGCAAGAAATGTCTGCCAGGCGAGTATCAAGCTCTGTACGACCAAATCCGCTGCGAACCATGTCCTGATGGATTCATTTCCCCACGCGGCGCCAAATCCTTCACCGACTGCTCACCGAGAAGATTATTCCCCTGCCAACTGCCAGATCCTGTGTGTGGCCAGAACGGGGCTTGCATACCAGACGCTAAGAATCCCTACTTGTACAGTTGCATTTGCAATATTGGCTTCCAAGGATCTCACTGTGAACAGCACGTTGATCTTTGTCTCTCATCGCCATGTCTCAATGGTGGAATTTGCCATCACGTCAGCACAACCGAGATTGGTTGTCAGTGTCCGGAAGCATTCACAGGACTTTTCTGTGAAGAAATTGTCACACCTTGCTTGAACATCTCCTGCCAGAACGGAGGAGTTTGCTTTGAGATAGGCGATAAGGGCACTTGTGAATGCCCTGAAGGATTCTCTGGGGATTTGTGTGAAATTGAAGTCAATCACTGCGCTGACAATCCCTGTGAAGCTGGAGAGTGCCAAAGTATCCCTGATGTTGGGTATCAGTGCACTTGTCCGCCGGGAATCATTGGCAGACGTTGTCATTTGAGACCTTGTGACTATTTTCCCTGCAACTCTCATCAGATCTGTATCGATTTACCTGAAGTTCCCACAACTAAACTCAGCTTCTTGTGTCGATGTCCAGTGGGATTGAAAGGAATAAACTGCACTGAAGTAGACAATCCATGTGATAAGGATGCGTGCAAAAACAACGGTATGTGCTTCCCGAAAGCCCTGCGAAATGGTCTCAACGATGAAAGAAATGAGAGCCTTTTCGAGGAGTTCACTTGCCAATGTCCTCCGTACTTTTACGGGGATTTGTGTCAAGCTCTCGTCACGCCGGACTACGTCTTGCAATTCTCCAAGCCGCACACAACGAATTATGCCATGCTTCCTGGTCCCAGTCGGGATTTGGAGCAATTCACTCTCTGCACATGGATCAAGAGTGAGGATGACCACAACTACGGTACAATCATCTCCTATGCAACAGCAGGACAGGACAATATGCTAACGCTGACGGACTACAACGGCTTAGCGCTCTACGTGAACGGAAGCTTCAGTGTGTCCGATATTGTGGTGAATGATGGACACTGGCACTTCATCTGTGCCACGTGGATGAGCAAGGAAGGCTCCTATCAAATGTACTCAGACGGGATTCTTCAACATTCTGGCTACAACTTGAGTTCCAGCAATGCCGTTGAGAATGGCGGAGTTCTAGTTTTGGGACAAGAGCAGGACACCATTGGATCTGGGTTTAGTGACTCCGAAACCTTCATCGGGGAAATCGCTTATCTCGATATGTGGGATCGCGTGTTGGGGATTCAAGAGGTGCAAGAGTTCTACTCATCCTGTCATCCCTATCACGGAAATCTCTATTCCTGGAGTGACTTCAAGACACACCTCAAGGGTGATGTCACTGTCCAAGAGTCTCCGTTCTGTAAGCCCTGCCCAAAGAACTTAAACCTGATTAATGGAATTGTCAATTACTTTGCAAATAGAGCCATTTACACCTGTAATGAAGGATTCACACTGGAAGGTCTCCCGATCAGGAATTGTCTGCGAACGGCTGAGTGGCAGCAACCAGAACCGCTTTGCAAAAGTGAGACAAACTGCTAAGTCAATTGAGAATTATGTGGCTGATATTTTGTTCAATCTCTTTTCAGTTTTGGATTGCGGTCCATTAGAAAGCATCGCTAATGGTCACGTGTCGCTAGCAAGAACCACATTCGGAGCTAATGCAACTTACGTCTGCAGCAGAAGTTATGAATTGCAGAACGGAACACAAAGTCGGTTTTGTGAGAGCACGGGAAAATGGTCAGGAACTCCTCCGCAGTGCATTGGTGAGTGTTGTGTGATAAGTGAGAACAACAGGAAAGAATGCAAATAGATTTTTTATGGCTTTAAAATGGCTAAAAGTCTAATGGGAGAAAGCGAATTAGTTCAGACACACGGGTGAGGATTATAGTTGGCTATGCAATTTAGTAGCATTCGCTCTAATACCGAAGGTAGAAGTGCAAATGCCCCGATGAAAATAGCTGTGCACGAAATCACACACCTCTTCTGCTGAATAATAAATGACTGTGTACACCCTCGAAATTTTGCACAATTTTCAGATAATCTCACCCCATTTAGAACTCAGCTCAGCTCTGTGATAATTGAGTTTAGAGGGTGGGATCTGAGCAAATGTTTAACAATGGCAATTTTCATTTTTGCAGAGCGGAAGGCATGTCCTGCGGTGGAGCCGCCAAACTGGGGGCGAGCTGTGTACTCAACCCTGGCGCGGGATAAACACCCTCCAGGGACGTTTATTGAGTTCGAGTGCGCCAACGAGACGGTCCTCCAGGGACAGAGTCTGATTGTGTGTGAAGAAAGTGGTCAGTGGGACTTTGAGGTGCCCCAGTGTGTCCCTCGGGTGGAGTCATTTGAGATGGAAATCGTCACGAGGCGCACCGAGGACGAGGAAGACGCTCTGCCACTGCTCAGCAGGGAGGACTTCTGGGGTGTGCTGCGAACCTTCCTCTACCAGGGATGCGCAAATCAGCAGGAGACTAATCAACTGTGCAAATTGCACCAGGGCGTGGTGCTGAGTGATCTCGGGGAGATGCATTTGGAGCAGTCGCAGGGCGATGAGTTGCGTCTCTTTGGGGCCATTGAGGCCATTCTGGCGGAGAATGAGCGACAAGACCTCACAATTGGTAATTTGATGGAAAATATATTCAAACACGGAAGCATTTCCCGTGATGAAGAGGATCTCTTCAGGATGCAGCTCTGCTTCTTCATGGATTTAGTCATTTGGAATACACAGTACTATTTCGGAAATGACACACCATCCATACATGACGAGTCGCTGGATGTTAGTGAGAAACTTCCACTAGCGCTGGTGCAGCTCTTGGAGCCCATATACGAAAATTACAGGAAAAGCATTCTCGAGACGACCGAGAGCAGGACAAACACCACATCCTGCCCAGAGCAATTTCTCCCCCAGATCGAACACTCAAGAATTGTGGGCATTCACAGCTCGAGTGGCGAGAGTGTGAGTAATTTATTTAACTTTGCCACTGGCACGAGAATCGCTTTCGAATGCGAGAATGGCTTTCATATGAGTGGCGAGTTCGTGGCAGAGTGCAGAGCTGATGGGAAATGGGCAACAAAGGAGGGTGTGTGTTTGAGGAAATGTGAAATTCCATCAATACCGGCCAATATGAATCTCGAGAATTCCACCCAGCATATCTTCATTGTCGGCCAGAGGGTGAAGCTCAATTGTCTGGGACGCAGGGCGACTGGTGACCCATTCATTGAGTGTTTATCCACAGGAATGTGGAGCAATGTTCAACTCCAGTGTGCTTTAGATGGAAATTAAAACATCAATAATAGGGTCGTTAGGTGGCCCCTGGCCGATTGTCACGTTGGCCAGCAATTTATAGCGGAGATTTACTACCATTCTGCTTATGCCTGCTGTGCAGCAAAGCCAGAGGAATTACCATGAATTTGCAAGGATAACTTATATGTTAATATTATGTAGAACTGTATTCAATTATCGGATAAATTAACGAAATAAACAATGTGCAAACATTTGTTGTCTCTCTGAAAACACCAAATCTTCCTTGATATCATATGTGTGTATTTATGTGCTTCAATCTTATACATATTGCATTACAATTAGAAGATTCAATAACATCTAATATTATTATTCTCTTTATCATGTATGATTGTGTAAATACTCAAGAAGTTAGAAAGTCCTCAGACGGTCCATGAAAGGCTTGGAAATCCACAAAAGAAGGAAGAAATGGAAAACACACGCGCGCGATCACAATACTGATTAAATGCAGATATTTTCCCCATCACTAAATTTCACTTACAATTGCGTCGTGCTGATCAGATCAAAATCTCCCACCAAATCCTTACGGTGTGCTGTCCTCCTGGGAGCTCTCCTTGTCGCCCACCTTCACACCGCTGTAGTTGTCGTTGGGCACCGATGCCAGCAGCTGCTTCGTCGACGAGCTGGATGAGTAGCTGTCGCCTGAGCTCCGTGTCGATGCTGAATTGCCGCTTATCGGGCTGTCCGGCAGTGACTGAGCAGCCTCTTTGAGCGCAGCCACGGGAGTTGACAGCGTCGAGAGGTTCTCCTTGGATTTACCCAAGCTACTGCTGCCATTCTCCGAGTACAGAGGACTCAAGATGGTCGTGTGAGGATCTTCGGGGGTGTAATAGTCAGAATCCTCAGCACCAATCACTGTCATTCCATCCTTGTCATTGTTCAGAATTGGTCGTGATTTCTTCTGGATGCAGGAAAAAACACACATTAACATCAATTTCTCCTTCCCAACACGATTTATCCAGCCTTACCCCTTTGTTCTCCTTGTCCACCTCATCGACATCCGTGTCAGTGTCATCAATGGACTCCTCCACTCCGTCAATGTGCAGCGCAGATCCTAGTTTGTTCTCTCCGCTCGAAGCAGTGTTCAACAGTGGAGACAATCTCTCTGTCTCACTGTCATCATCATTCTCCGGTGTGGCATTCTTCTCATTAATCACCTTCACGTTGTCGTGAGATGGCCTCAGGAAGCCTTTCTCGCGTGGATTCTTATCACGACTCTGCGGCGCTCTGTTCATCAGGGGTGAATGCTTGGCCAACAATTCCTTGGTCACGTTGTTGTCCTCCTTCGACATCAGCACCGACATACGAAACTACAATAAATCGCAGAGAAAAAACCACATCAAACTGCTGTGCAAATCCATTGAGAAATCGCGTGATCAAGTTAAGGTCAAGAACTGTAATTGCGATTCAATTCACCGGATTTTCAATAGATTTCTATCGGAGTAGAAATGCGTGTAGCAAATTCTATTAGACTCTCACCTCAGGAGTATTGAGATTGCCCTTGTCCTTCCCCTGCTTCTCCGGGTCTTTTGGGCTCACTGCATTCTTCCCATTGCGATCGAGGCTGCGATTGAGAATCTCTGCCGCTTGCACTGCGTCAGTGTTCTCTCCATCGACTCCATCTCCCGTGCTTTGATGCCTGGTTGTACTTCCCGGTGGGCCGTTGAGAGCCTCAATCAGAGCCACGGCCATGTAGCCATTGGGAATATTGTCTCCAGCGTCCTGTGGCGCCGGAGCGGGCATCAAATGATGCGCCGTCGAGTTCTTCTGCACGGCACGGATCTGCAGCAGGGCCTTGAATGGAGCCCTACAGATGGGACAATTGTTGGCCTGGTAGCGCAGTGAGTCGGCACAGGAGTTGCAGAGGCAGAGATGTCTGCACGGAAGAATCAGCGTATCCCTGCCATCACTCATGCAGATCACACACTCACTATTGCCCTCATTCTCATCATCACTCGAGGACTTGTTGATGTTCTTGTTCTCGATGCCGTAAATCTCCTGCAGCAAGTAGCTCAGTCCGTCCACAAAGATCTTCTGCTTCAGTGCACGCAGCACATAAGTGCCGTCCGTGTGGTGATCCACCACGCAGATAGTCGTGTGGGATTGACGGTGCTCCTCCACGCCCTCCTCCACGACACAGTGGATCGCAATGGGAATCACATCGCGCTCGCTATTGTAGGCCAAATCGTCTTCCGAGAAGATTGAGGGTGAGAAGACGTGACTGGGCTGCGAGAAGAGCTGATTCACGCCACGCTTGAAGTGATATGTCTCTGATGTGAGGGCAGAATCACGCGTTAGGAAGCTCACGGCGCCCGCGGAGACTTCCTCAGTGCAGAAATAATAGATGGTTATTGCACACTTGGCATCCGAGTCGAATGTGAACTCCACGTTGAAAGCATTGCCACCCTTTCCCACTTCTTGGATCTTTGTGTTGCTCGGGTCGGCCTTCACGAACCTTATGGACTCTTTGCGGATGTTGACGAGACACTTGAGTGTCTTTGTGGGCTCATTCGCCTGGGGCGGCGGATAAGGGAACTGGAAAGCCAGAGAAGCAACCTTCAGTCTTACATTTAGACTGTCCCAGAACGTCTCTTACTCACCGGAGTGGGTCGATTGCCCAGGAAGTTGAGGTCGCCATTCTCTCCGAACAAGTAGGACTCCGGCTGAGGTGTGTCGAAGCGCTCCCCGCCCATTATGAAGTGGCTCCCGAAGTAGGTGCCTGAGATCCGGATGCATTTCAGGTGAGAAATTAATGAGAAATGAGGTTAATTGGTCAGATTGATGGGAATAACAGATCAATTGAGAGGAAAACATTCACCTTCAGTGTTGATATCTTACTTTACGCATATTTTACTGTAAAATACTTCAATATCACAACTTCAAGTCACGGAATTACCAAGAAAAAAATGCTTTATTGTCAATTTTGTAATTTTTATCAATGGTTTTAGCATTTCTTATCACATTTAACAAAAATTAAAAACTCAAAATACCTTTTTTCAGGACTTTTAAATTTTAATACATGATACAACTGAGGAGTAAAATACTCGTAAAGAACCACCAATGTTGTCAATAATGTCTGCCACCACAGAGATTTTTTCTCACCCGATCTCGGCGGATATTTGTAGTGATTGGACACAATATCAGCTTCCTCCACTGTAGCATTCTGTCTACTAGCTATAGCACCCATTTTTGCTAGGAAAACACCCAAATCCCCAGAGAAAACCACTCTTTTCACCCACTGAGAAAACTCCTACTCTTTCAGCAAAAAACTTGACGTTTTCTGACACAACATAGAAGTGTTGCCCGATGACTCACCTTGAACTCCCCCAACTCCCCAATGCTTTTTTACATAAAACCCACGTTTTAATCATCAATTGCCTTCATTTACTTGAAATTCATCTAATTTTGCCGTATTTTCTTTCATCTCTTTCCTCCCGGATGGAATTGTGGAAAAGTGTGGAACTCTTTAGCCGAGACACCATGGATTCTATATATTTCTTGCTATGTTTTGTCCAGTGACAATTTGCCTTTGAGCCAGGGAAGTTTGTGAAAATATTTTCTCCGTGAAAAAATGTAATTTCCTCTGCGAAAAACCATCTCACACGAGTCAGAAATGCTTCCCAAAGTGATATTAATTGCCTGTGGGGCCTTTAGTCCCCCCACACCGATGCATTTCCGCATGTTTGGTGAGTATTTTGCATTTTTCGCACTCCGCATTGCAAATGCCAGTGGCGTCGCAATATCGATCAAACACGCGCTCTTCCTTTGCAGAGATTGCCAGGGATTACTTCCAGCAGATGGGCACCCACGAGGTGGTGGGTGGCATTGTGTCGCCCGTGCACGACTCGTACGGCAAGAAGGGCCTGGTGGCGGCGAAGCATCGCTCGGCAATGCTGAAACTGGCCCTGAAGTCGTCCGACTGGATCCGCGTGTCTGAGTGGGAGACGCACCAGGATGGCTGGACGCGGACGAGAGTCACGCTGCAGTACCACCAGAACTACATAAACTCGCTGCTGAGCGACGACAGCAGTGACACGGTGCCTGGATGGCTGCCCGGGAACCTCAAGCAGATGAGCGGAACGGTGCAGGTGAAGCTCCTCTGCGGAGCTGATCTTCTGGAATCTCTGAATGTGCCTGGGCTGTGGGATCCCGATGACGTAAGTCGTGATTTTGTGCGACATCATCTGAGGCACAATACTGAGGCATTGTATTCTCGGCAATTGCGCAATCTTGTGATGTCTTCACACAAATATTTAGAAAGCACTTTTTGCAATGCTGACGAATGGCTCAAAAGCTCGCAATATTGCATATATAATTGCATGTTACAGGTCTAGGAATTTTCCTATGAATTTACAATTGATAACAACGACTATTTAATCGATTTTTAGCAATTGAATTGCTTACTTTATTTACAATTTCCTCGCATTGCAGATTGAAGCAATTCTGGGGCACCATGGAATTGTCGTGATCTCGAGGAGTGGCTCGAATCCGGAGCAGTTCATCTTCAATTCCGACATCCTCAGCAAGTATCGTCGCAACATAACGATTGTTACCAACTGGGTGCCAAACGAGGTGAGCTCCACGATGATAAGGCGCCTGTTGAGCCGCGGGCAGTCGGTGAAGTATCTGCTGGACGATTCCGTGACTGATTACATCATGAAGAACTCACTCTTCGGGGCGAACAGTCAGTGAGTAGATTACTATATATTTTCCGGGATTCAGGAACAATGCGTGGTGTGCGTGGATGCATTTTTGGTCGAATGTTAACTCATATGTTTCTGTTTTCGTGTGCAATCGTTTGTTGGGACTGATTCAGTAAGTACATTCTAACGCCAAATCACAATGAGATCGCATACTTGCATCCGCCATCGCCGAGTGGTCGCGAGGATGGCATCGTGCTGAATCTGCACCAGGTGGACAATAGTGTGCGCCAGAGGCAGTTCGAGGAGATGGACGAGACGGACTTTCCGTCCCACAAGTCGCCCACGAACTCCACGAATGGGAGTGGCGCCGAGCTGATGCGCCCGAAGATGTTCTGCTGCGGTGACTCGCTCAACATGAAGACACTGCGCAATCGGCCCGGGCAGGCGGTGCAGATACGCACGGACGCGTCGGGGAGTCACAGCGCGTACGACCCTGACGAGGTGGGTGAAGATGATGATGATGATAGCACATGCACATTAACTGCACTCCCAACGGGCGTCGATCGGTCTGACGAGGCCTCGCAAACCTCCAGTGACGACGTTGAGACTCTCTCCTCCAGGAGCTACACGGATATGATTAAGTTTGTCTTCACAGAGCATGGAATCAGAGTCATTAGTGACAAGGAGTACGTTGTCTAGAGAGAGAGAGAGAGCCTTGTTTTGCCGTCGGCGGAGCGAGAGAGGATTCCGCAATTTAACACAACTTCCACTGTAGACTTCCATGCATGAGTGGCTCAAGAGAGCCGCTCTGAGAGCCAATTTATTGTTCCTCCTACTAACATTTGTGCAGTATTAGAAGTGATATTAACATTTTGTAGATGATTGCATGTGGAATTGCATGAAAATAATTTATGGTGCGTGTGTAAATAAGACTTCCTCTCTGCTCTTTTATTTCACTAGAAGTGACATCACTCGTTTCCTCCACTCCAATTCACAAAATCTCTGTCATGTCCATTTCCGACAAGTGCCTAGAACACTATTTATGATAGTGTTCTAGGGCACTTGTCGTCATTTATAAATGCATCATGAAACCAATCTAATTTGTCTGTAACATAGAAATCATCATTGAGAAATCTCTTCACTATATTCTAGGTCAAAAATAAGTATTTTTGTTCCTTCAAAGTCTTATCGCTGTGGTAAGAAAGAAAGTTGAGTACTCTTTGATGCCTTTGCCCGAGCGCGCAAATCATGAGCCTTTCAGTGTTTGTTTTCATTTGACTCTCGATGTCGTGACACACTTGTTAATCATGTTTATCCCAGATTAGAATCTCTAGCCACTTATATTATTTTTACTTTTCCTTGCAGTCCTCAAGCTGCATTTTTTATTGAAGTATATTTGCATTTTTTTTCCTCACGTGAGCGCATAATAATAAATTTCACTTTTCAGGTCATTCTCCTTTCAGAGCTTTCTTCCGCTTTCATTAGCTTTACAAACTCTGCTAATAATATACTTTCTTGTGTGAAACTCCTTTTATCGTTGCTGATGTAATTTACTTTTGGAATATTTTCAGTAGAATTGAATTGGCAATTAAGGGAAAGAAAAAAAGCACTTTACAAGTTTCTGCGCTATATTAAACTTTTCTACTGAATTTATTGAAAACGTTACTTGAATTACTCTCTCTATCTCTATCTCTTTGGAAGCATGATAAACTATTGATATGTTTCAAAATTTCCATTCCAGGTAAAGAATAAGAAATTGAAGACAACCGCATGCCCCCTTTAGATGATGTTCGAAGACCAAAAAGAATGTGTTGTTGTTTTCCGGCTGCTGTTTTATTCTTTTGTGATGTTTAACTGCAAAATATTATGTCCTTCTGTTCCTTTTATGAAAATTTTTTATTTCACTGTATAAAATATCCATAAGTTATTACAATTACATAAATCGATTGAATCTAGAATTCTAGTGTTAAAGGAATTTTTTTGGCAGAAAACTTTATTCATGCTCTTCTCTAGTAAGTTCATAAATAGCCGACATCTTATTGCGTTAAATCTTTTTTTTTTGTGTTGAAAATCTAGGAAAAAGACTATTTATTTTCTATACCAGTTTCAAATTCAAAAAATTACAATAGACTTTAGTTGAATAGTTTAGTCTTAGATGTAGATTAAATAGTATTTTACTACATTATCATGATGGGTGAATTGATATTTTAGTAATCAAAGATAAAAAACAACCACTTGTTAAGGATAGTCACAGAATGCGTGCAATTAATTGTGAACATGCTATTGATTTTTATTGGAATCTAAAAAGGGTTTAAACGTGCCTTGATTATTATTATTTGCTAGGGCTCAAAAATGGCAATTTTAATCCTCACCATACTTTCTTTAAAGCTTTTGGAAGGTGGCTTTATAATTTTGTGACTTAATGAGGTAGTTACCGAATATTTTGCTCAAAGAATCAAATTCTTTCCCGAAGAATAGCGGCAAAGAATGAAGAGAAACATCAAATCACCCACAACTTAAAAAATAAAAACAATCTTAATCTCTTTAGAAGTGATACGAAGTAACTTGCTGAAACCATTGATATAGTATTTATTTAAAATAGTTATATACTGTACCATTAATGAAATAGATTGATTGAGAGATTATACACAGATGTTTTGTTTCTTATAAAATGGCAAAATATGACTAACGATTTCGCGAAGAGGTTCCAGAGTTTGAGCACCCAGTGTGTGACATTCTGAGTACATATTTGATAAGATATTGTGAAGTTAAAGCTTCTGTGGAATTAAAGGGGTTTTATGTATTTGAATTTTTTGACGAAGAGAAATCATGTTCACTTGGGAAATTTATGTTCTTGTCTCTGCAATCGAGTTTCGACCATAAATCTTGACTTTATCTACGACTAGGACTAAAGTCGAGAGGCTCTGAACCCCTCTCTTAAGATCTAAGAATTCCAAGTATACTCTTACTCGTGGGTATTTTCTATTGAGTATTTTGCAACACAAATCTGGAACCCGAAAAAATACCTGGACAATATGGACAACGCGTAATTCAGCTAAAGTACGGCAACCTCAGTGTTTTTTGGGACTGGAAGTCTTTCCACTGTCCGCAGTTCCGTCGCAGTCACACCAGGGCGTCTTTGCGTGATCGCACTGGAGAGCGACGTTCAGCACCGTGACTTTGGCTCCGTCAATCTGCAACTCGTTGATGGACGAGATGTCATACTTGAGTGTGTGCAGGCCAGTCTCGCGGTCACGCTTTCGCGTCACTTCGCGCTGATTGAAGCACTTGGCCGTGTCCCTCTTGCGATGCGCACGATCGTGGATGTGCCTGAACGTGTCTTCGATGCCCGTCGTGATGTTCTCCGGCCGGAAGACTTTCAGGCCGGCATCGAGGATGCGAGTGTAGAACTCGTCGTCCTCGAGGCCCCAGCCCCAGTATCTGTTGGACATGCCGCGCGTGGCCTCGAAGTGCTCCCGCCGCACGAGCAGAATGCCACCCACGAAGGTGGGATAGTGATACTTGGGGTGCAGCTGAGGCGAGGCCACGTGGAAGGGCCCCTTGTCCGGGAAGGCGTAGCTCAGGTTGCTGTTCATCGGCAGCAAGTCCACATCGTGCATGGCGATGTAGTCGAAGAGGGATTTTGTGTACAAGAATCCCACGTTGATGAGCGAGGCACGGTTGAAGCGGAATCTGTCCACTTGATTGAGCACAAAAATCCTGTGCGGAATCTTCTGGCGATTGAGGAACTCCGTCATGAACGGAGCGAACTGCAGCAGCTCCTCGAAGCGATCCCGAAATGGCACCAGAACGGCAAGTCTCTTCCTTCCTGACGCACCAGCATCCTCCACACTGGAGTCGGCATCGAGAGTGTGCAGAAAGCTGGACTTGTCGTCGAAGTTATCACAATTGCAAGACTCTGGGAGAGAGACAGAAAAGAATGCGGACACGTAAGTATAGGGAATGCAGAGGGGGCTCACGGGGCGGAGGACTCACCTAGAGAAATAGGAATAACACTGATAAAACAACTAATGATAAAACAAACTATAACGCATATGCTAAAGAACCTAATATAGGTCACACGTGAAAACATTTCGATGCGACTTGTGGCTTCCTTTGGCCATTATTTAATTAGAAGTGTATCACGCGAAATCTTCATGTTGTCAGCAAAAGTCCAAAACATCAACTCGACTGACTGACAGTTCTCGTTCGCGGAAACTCTTCAATTGCTATTTTTCACATACAGCGCATGTACTATGTTTCTGTGCCGATATGTCATCTCGCCATGTCGGCGTGCAAGTCTGCTCTCTTTGTGATTGCCAGTGATTTACGATAAACAGCTGAGAATGGAGTCGAAAGCCATGGAGTCCGTGGCTAGCCAGTACCTGGCCTCCATCAACGGCATCGCGGCGCGGATTGCCGCGGACGCCGCGACTACGGTGGCCTCGTTCGAGCATCTCTGGCTCACCATGGACGCCCCAGAGCGTGCATCCACCCTCACGGACGCCCTCATCGAGCCCGAGATTGTGCTGAAGTACCTCCGAATGGGAGCCCCGCCGTCGCCCGTGGAGCCCGAGCCTCCGCCCGATGAGCACGGCGCCCCGTTTCGCTGGCACACGCGCAGCCAGCTGAATCTGGCTGGCAGCGGCGCAGTGCCCTGCGGCGCTCTGCTGGGCGCCGCCCCACCCATGAAGACTGCACGACCAAAGGTGGCCAAGCCTCGAGCGCCCCCGCCGCCGCCGCCCGCCCGGCCAGCCGCCATCGTGGCCACGGAGCAGCACGACGACACGGAGGCGCTCGTGCCCGAAGATGAGCCCCCCAGTCCGCCCACGGAGGAGAAATCGCTCCTCGGCGAATACTCAACTAACTATGACTTCCTCAACAATTGGTAGCAATTCCCGTAATCTCACTCGTCACAATAAAGATATTTCTAGACAGCCAAACAGACTGTTTTTGTCAGAACTTAATTACCGCACTTGGGGATCCAGTCATTGAGGAAATTGAGATTTGCATGCTCTGTTATTCGTATTGTGAAATTTCCCAAAACCCCGGAAATTAATGTTTTAAAGATGTGTTATTTCATTCATGCCAATCAACGAATGGATGAGATGCGAAACAAAAAGACAAAATTGCATTCGGCGCTTTCTTCGATGAAATCGCAAATTGCGTGAGCAAAAGTGACCTAATAATATTGTGCGATCAACAAAAACTGTTTAGGGATCAGAAAAAGTTCTTTATTTATATATCCTAAAATACAGTTTTACAATTACAAAAAAAAATTTGAGAATACTTATTTTACGAGTAGAAGGCATCGATTGTCACTGCGTGGGAAATACTTATTGCTAAGGCCACTTGAGGACGCGTCCAAAATATCACCAAGAATTGAGTCGAATTCGGGAAGATGCAATGGAAGTGTGAAATGCGTCAAATGTAGGTCTTCTTCACCTTCTTCAGCGTGTCCGTCTTGAAGAGATGCGGGTCCTTCTCGAGGCTCTCGGTGCTGTTCTTGCTCTCGTGCCGCCTGTCCTTGTCCAGATCCACCAAATCCAGGTTGTCCAGCTTCCTCGGCGGCTGAGGCGTTTCGGGCGTGGCGTACATGTGTTGAGTGTTCATCAGCAGATTGATATCCTTGCTGTGCGCCATGTGGCGCGACTTGGACCACGTGAGCTGATTGCGGTGCTCCAGCGGCGTTCCGGCGCCCACAAGGGGGCACTCGTGGCGACACTTGTGTCCCACAACCACGCCCACGAGTCCACCTACGGCGAGTGCCACCGCAGCCACGGCCACCAGAGCGACAGCCATCGTGTGGGCGCTGTACGACGCCGCGAGCGTCACCTCGGGACACGTCGTGTTCCTCTCCGTGGCCAGGAAGCCCGACTGCGGATCCCTGCCCACGGACGACACGGTCCCACGCGTCACAACGCGCTCCTCCACCCAGTTCTCCTCGGGACACACCGCATGCAGTGTGCCCAGAGCGTGGACCAGTCGTCCGTGACTGCGACAGGATCGCGTTTCCTCGTGCCACCCACAGTGCGGGTCACGCGCCTCCACGCACGACGAGCACGACGTCCAATTGCCGCAGTGGGCCTGTGGCACGCTCACCACTGCGTTTTCACTCACGACCACGAGGTGATGCTCAACGGCGCGCAGCTGCACGACTCGCTTGCCCGGCGGCAGAACCTGCGCCTCCCACACCACCACAGTGGCGCCTTCGGGCGTGGTGTAGAACTTCACGAGGCGCCCGTGCGCCGTGCCCGCATACAGCATATTGTAGCTCAGTCCATCCACACCAAGAGTCTCCACCGTTGTCACTGAAGTGAGCAGCATTTTCGCCCCAGTGGTCACCAGGACAGGTCGGCCCTTCTGCGATGGAACCGCGCGGTCCATCAGTGGGTGGGTTTTCACGAAATTCACCGTAGCACTCGGCAGAGTGCGTGAGTCATCGACACACGTTCCCGGTCTGGGATCGATGGGTGTGACGCCTGCGGGAACAGGAAGCCAATTGGACCTGCAAAGACAACACAATTCCAATGAGAACCAAATTCCCAACGAGATCGAGCTTGAGTGACTGACCTGGAGTCCTTCTGCGCCTTGAACGGCCCCTCAAAAGCCTCCAGAATGTCTGACATGCGGAAGGAGCACACAGCGCTACCCTCGATGGCATTCGGTGGTGTCGTAAAGACTCCATACATTACGTCCTCCTCGTTGATCTTCACCACGTCCGTCGTGGCCACGACGTGGTCAAAGTAGAAGGGATAATCTCCGGGCAGGGAGCAATTGAGTCGCGCTTTCAGGAAGGACGTCCAGCGGTCCAAAAAGCCACCGGGTCCTCCGCGATCTCCTCGACAGACACGTCCAATGCGCGAAAAGACCGCCTTGCCGCAGTTCATGTGCTCCATTGCGGTCTCGCGGAACACGAAGAAGACGTAGGCATCATATGCGGTGGCGCTCACGAAGGCCGGCTGGTTGAGCTGCTTCAAGTCGTACTGCTCAGTGCGTTGGTGCTCCCGGTAGATCAGCGGATCGCTGCCCGAGAAATCCGCCACAGTGCCGGAAAACAGCTGGCCATCCGTGAAGGCGTACGTCGAACTGTGTGTGGGACTGTAAGGACAGCGTCCCTGCGCTTCCTCGCTCACACCATCTCCTTCACCGTCCAGTGGAGTTGAGTAGTATCTGCAATTTATTGTGAATAATCGAAATTATATGAATGCTAATGGAAGATCGGCCAGACATTGAGTCGTCTGCGACATTGATAAGGTTTTAGCAGCGCAGAACAAGAACCGAGTGAAAAAGGAACAACGCGAAGAGACAGTCCGTTGACCTCTTGGCCCTGATCCAGAATCCCGAGGTGAGATATGGCAACATTATCCATTTTAAGCCACCACCACAGCACTGCACACCCCGGAAATAGATGACTCAGGTCTGCACAACACCATTTTCGTATGCACTGTTATTATCTTATAAGCTCAACAACCTCAACACCATGCAAATGGCCATCTTTAGTATACCTGCACAACGGTTTGTACGAGTTGGTGCCACAGATCATGGCCTGCTGGGGTGACACCTGTGCGTAGATGCGAATGTAGTTCTGGCAATCGTCCTCCTGCTTCCCTTTCAGCGTGCACAGCTCCCTGTGGGCGTCCGTGGAGGCCCACGAGACGCTCCCCGCCACCGTGAGCTGCCCGTCCTTTGCCACGGTGACATTGTAGATGACGTTGCGACCGCCCAGCAACACGGAGCCCCCGCCGCCCAGCAGTCTCAGGTGGTCCTCCGTGGTGTTGCTGGCGAAGTGGTGCGACGGCAGTCGAAGGTGCGCATTGGGGGCATAGTCCCAGGCGGCCGCGAAGGGCACCAGGAAGCCCACAATCGCCAATGCCACTCGCTGCATCACAGGGGCGAGTCAGGCAGGTGGGACAGGTGAGTCATCGTGCGCTCCAGCGCCTTCCCGCTCGAATTGTGGCCACTCCGTGTGCACTGGGGACAACTCGCGGGGGATCTGCAGCACTCGTGGGGGCGTCGCGAGGACGAGAAAGGCACAAAAATAAACAGGGAGAAAGTCAACAAAATAACAAGGCAAATGGCGTCCAAAGGCACTACTACACACTATTTTATGGCTTTCGCACACTAAAGCAACCAGTGATTCAAGTTACGTTCCGCGGCTATGATCATCGTCACATAAGAAACCTACATAGTAGCATAAACACACATGCAAGTTATGGAGCGGAAAGTTGAAAAATAACGCTTTTATGGATAAAATATTTAACGATTTATTGTCTGAATTTGCTCTACAAAGAATTTCTTCGAAAACTACAATAGAAATCAGTTAATTTCAACAATTAATTCCATCATCCTGAAATTTCCTTTAGTCACAAGTGATGAAAGCGTATCATATGACGTTTCCTGGCTTCGGCAAGTCCATACTTCTTATTGCATACTGGACATGAAATCGTCTTTTCAGGATGATTTCGTAGGATGTGATTGTTTACAATCTCCTTGGTAGAAAATTTTTTCCCACAATGCTTGCGAGGAATACTGTGGGGTTTATGCAAAGAAGCAATGTGATTCTTCATATGCTGATTCCTCCTAAATTTGACGCCACAAAACTCGCACGCGAATGATTTTTCATCAGTGTGAATTCGGCGATGACTCTGTAATCTTTCACGCAAATGTGTGCTGTAATTGCAGGATTCCCAGTCACACACAATATTCTTCACTGGATCGTGTATCTTACAATATTTTCTGAATCCATCCCTCATAGATAAGATTTTTCCGCATTTATAGCAGAATAAGCAGTTCGTCGTGTGTGTCCTCATGTGGCTGCGAATTCTTGCCTTTGCGCCGAAAGTCATTCCACAAATATCACATTCAAAGGGTCTCTCATCGCTGTGTATTGTCATGTGTTGCATGAGACCACTGCGGTATTTACAGGTGTATGGACACTCACTGCATTTAAATATCTTTTCCGTGTTCACCTGCTCGAGAAGGACAGAACAAGAACGCTTAAGAACTTGCGCAACGTTCACATTATCATCAGTGTCCTCCGAATCGTTGGAATCCTCTTCGTCAGCTGGTTTTGGTGACTCAATAATCTCCACAACTTCTTCGTCAGCACTCTCAGGCTCTATTATCTTTGCCTTTTCTCCTCTCAATTCAATCGGTGTCTCGTAGCAATCTTTATCGCTCAACGATGATACGCTCTCCGCGTTCTCAGCCAAGTGACTTGCGAGGTGATTATTGAGATTGTACAGGGAGGAAAAAGTGTCCTGGCAATTCATGCACATGAACAACTTAAATCCTCCGTGCTGTTGAAGATGATACTCGAAGTCCTCCACGGAAGTCTCTTCTTTATAGCAAGTTTTGCATCTAAAGACATTATGGGCATTTTCTTGGTGGTTCACCAATTCGTACCATTCCACGAACTGTGCTCCGCATTCACGGCAGTACAAAAAAGTGATGACCTCAGAATCTCCTTGTAATCCATCCATTCTCTGAGAAATAAGGAAAAACATTAAAATTGTTTGTTGACTATGAAAATCCCGTTTGCTAACCTAACATTCAACGATGTTTTTCAGTTTCTCGGTTTCTTGGCTTTCCTGGCTGACTAGCAACTATTTAACTACCTGCAGTTAATCACTATCACACGTAGTAATATTCGCAAATCTCTCGACAGCTTGATAGGCTTTTGGTCGCGCGTTTTTGATGAAAAGTAATGTTACTCACGCCGCTCGAGAATGGCCGATGTGCATCTAGCCGTGATCGCTGAACACTGTCCGGAAACACTTCAAATTCTTTTAACCCATCGTAAAACACTTCAATTGTAAATTTTAAATAAATTCGTGAAACACTTCAAATGCGGAGTTCTCAAGAGATCTTAAAATTAAGAGAAGCAAAAACAAACAAGGATTTCTGCCCATATATGCATTTATTTATTTTATTGTTATTATTACATAGGATCTAATTCTTCAGATGAAATGTTTTCTTCAATCGATTAATAATTTTTCTTCTCATTTATGTTTAATTTCTTGATTAGTTGATTATACGTTTTTTTTTGCCATTATTACTTTAATAGTTAGATTTCAATATTCTTTAAATTTCCTCTCATCCTTATGCCTTCTGTCTGCAAAGATTATAATTTTTAAGATTACATAAAGTTTCCATTTTTCTTGTTTCTTGAATAATATAATTATATAATATTGAAGCGAATGATTTCCTTTTCACTGTTTCTTCTTTTTTCTTCATCAAAATTCTCTTTTTATCTGCTTAACATTACAAATCTTACTTTACTTTTTCCTTCTTACCATTTTCACTGTTTTTTCTCCTTCATCTTCTTCTTCATTACCCATACTGAAAACTTTTAATTATTAAAATTGAGTTTTTTTCTCTCTTATTTCATTTTCTTGGTTAAAAGTTATTTTTAGCATTTTGCCTTTCGGGAAATATAACATGAAAATTTTCACTTTTATCTTTACTTAAATCCATCATCGCACTTTTTTTTAATTATGTGTCTCTCATTTTTTTCATTTAATTACTAGAACTACTATTGTGAATTCTCATTTTTTTTCGTAACTTTTAAAAGTTAGTGTTATTAAGAAAGTGAACCAACTGAAAGTGTGGCCTTTTTGTAATTGGATCTTTTATACTTGAACAAATATGTTTATGTCAATAAATCGTTAAGAACTAATTTTTTTGTTGCAATATTAGCACAAAGTTTACTGTTTCTTTTGTATATTGCAGTTTTTCTTAATTTTTTTTTCTGTTTTCATTATTATTATACTCATTTTTATGCAATGTTTCTCATCTCTAAATATTCTACTTTCATTTTTCTCATCTTATTTTTATTCTCATCAAAATTCATCTTCTGAATATGTATCATTTTTCCATTAGAAATTCATCTTTCGCATTTTTCCGTTATTCTTTAGATTATATAAATTGGGTAGCATTTATTCGCTTTTCGCTTTCTTTTAAAAGAGTAATTACAATTAAAATGAAATCAATACACAAACACATACTAAATTATCATTTAAGAAAAATTGTTGTAAATATTTAAGGAGAAAAAAATATGGGGAAGAAATAATAGATTGTTTCTTTTAAAATAATCATTGATTCTCTCACTTCATCTTTTCATCTTTTGTTTCAGTAAATCCTTCTTCTTCAGCAAAAATTATCTCCTCAAAGGCATTTTTCATACCATTTCATCATTTTTGTTTGAGCTTTGATCAATCGATCCTTTTCATGATTTTCAACAAATGTTTTTCATCTTATCTTTCGCTTTTTTTTCTTTTAGATTCTTCTTTTTCCATGTCATTTCACGGAGAGCGTCAAACGAGTGACATTCTCAAAGTTTAGCATCATTGAAAAAATTTCTGCCATAAAACTTTTCACTTCTTATCCGTGGTCAAAAGCAGGTGAAATATTTCCGTATCATTCCATTTTTGGGTTATTTTGTGATTCTTTCGTTTTTTCCATTTTTAAATTCACTGTATATTTGGGCAGATGTTATTATTTATTTCTTATTTTTTTTCTTATTCTCCAGTATAAAATCTAGATGGAATATTTTATACTTCTTTTCCTCGCCTCGTGTTGTCTCATCATCATTTGTACACCAAATGTAAAAATAGTTTTATGCGTCTCTTTCACATTCATTTAAATGCAAAAATGTCACCTCAATAAATGTATTTTTTCCTCTTGTAAACAGAGAAGAAAATGGCAACAATTTGCACTTTGGCGAATCCCTCTTTTCTCTCTCTCTCTTTCTCTTTCTCCATTATATATCTCGTGTGTAAGTATATAATGTCAACTAATATACTTTCCGCATTTATCTCGGTGTACATTTAATGTAATATTTTTCACCAATTTGTGATAACAATTGTAACAAATATATAAAAATATATTCATAGGAGTGCACATCACAGACCTGACTGTATAATTCTGAGGGTTTTAAACAATTTTCACTTCTTTTCTCTCCTTCATTTCTACAGCACGTGATCGTCTCTTTGAAAGATCGTCGTTTGCATGCTCAGCAATATCTTTTTCTTCGTCTCACCTTCGTGACTGCGTCGGGCGTCACGAGTGTTTTTCGATTGGTATTTAAAACCCTGCGCAATATTTTTTAAATACTATTGTATTGTACATATAGTAATATTTAAAAAACTAACAGTCGGTATTTTATCATTAAAATTCTATCACGTCTTAAAATGCTTCTCTCACGCCAGCCACTCGAGTTCTAGGCGCGCAACAGCATTTCTTCTCCATCTCCACTCATGCGCCATCATCCTTCCGTCATTTCAAGTGTAAGATCATTGTGGTTTAAACCGCTCTCTTTTGATTATACGTTCATCTTGCCAACCTTCATCATCTTCTCGTCTTACGTTTTAGGTTACATTTTATTTACAATAGCACATATAAATAAACCTCAGGCATGTGTAAACTTCCTTTTCCACATGTGAATGCTTCAGCATTACACCCTGTCCATTTATAGATTGCATTCCCATGCTCTCTCTCTTTCTCTCTCTCTCTCGTCTCTCAATAATACTTTAGTATTTCCCTCATTCTCCTTCTTCCCTGCATCCACCGTGCGTCCACAATTTCCATGCAATTGTGTCCAATCCTGACTCTTCTCTCCATTCTTCATTGCATTTTTTTTCATATTGTTATTGGTCAAAATCGGGAGTTATGGTAAAAATTCATGACAAAAGAATCGGGTTAAAAATCATTCGTCACAGAGACTGGCAGTGGACGTGCAAACAACTCGAAAAGTCCCCTTATAAATCGTTTACAACACCAATTTTAGAATATATGTAATGTTTATGCTAATCAAATACAAATTGTTGCACATCCAAAGTCCTAATCCAGTAAAAATTCAAACAGCTTATATATTTCTTTCACTCGATTTATAAGCGCCGATCGCTAATCGATTTCAATATGTATTCCCTTAAAATGTATTATGTAAAATTCATGATAATTAGACAATATATAGCAAATTATTACTTTCTCAATGTGTAAATTATTAAAATAGAACTTTTCTTATAGAGCTACAAAGGCTACAAACAACAAAACCATAATTTATATTGTGAATTTCAAAAGCCAAAAGTATGAATGGAAATCAAAACTGACTGATTCCTTCTTAACCTTCTTCATTTGTAATCATTTTCGCGATCATATTTTATCTTAATTAAATCCTATGTATGTATATTTTATGCTTTCAGTTTGTATCTATGATTCACAAGAAAATAAAAGGAAAAATGGGGTTGTGTGGAACAAAAAAATGTAAATTCTTATTTGTATAAACCACCTACAAAAAACGTCCTCAAATACACATAACTGCACATTTTTTTTTCTTACAATTATTGTTGTATATAAAGTAGATGCACTTTTGTAAAATGAAAATGTTCCATTTTCCATCAGTTCTAATTCATAACAGGCACATCTTCTTGTCCCTTCTGCCCAACGGAAGTTGCAGAGCCATTCTCCTCTGGTTTGTTCTCAATTTCACCTTTCACTTGACTGCCTTTCAACTTCACATCATCACTAATGGTGGACGACTTTGTGGAAAAGGTATCGTGTGAATCTTTCCAACCATTAACACCATTCACATCAATACTTACCACCTTCTCCTCCGCTTCTTCAATCCCTGCTGCTGAACTCTCTGATGCGGCTTTGGCGTCAGATTCAGCTGAGGCACTGCCATCGCCCTCGGCTTGCTTCTTCTGCTCACTCTCCTCCTCCTTCAGAATCTCGTCACACATCGAATTGGCCAGGTCAGACGCCAGCACAGTGGTACTGAAATTCAACATGCAACACCTTTACATCCACATATGGGACTCTTCATCATCTCCACTTACCCATTCTGCAGCTCTACGGTGGACGCCACCAGAGTCACTTTGCCCAACTCCGTGGCCAATCCAGACACTTCGTCCTCCGCGACAGCCTCATTGGTCCTCCCATTGCTGGTCCCGGCCACAGTGTCCTCCGTGCGACCAGACTTGGCAGATTTCTTCTCCTTTTTGGTCTTGCGACTCTTATTGCGCGCCACCTTGCTCCCGTACGCATATCCGGCAGCTGCGCGTCCGGTCACGCTTTGGTGATGAGGCACCGTCACTTGGGCACGATGGAGTCGACCGCCGGTGACTCCCTTACTGCCCCGGCCGTTGACACCATAGCGCGCCATGCCAGCTCCAGAGCGGCTCGAAACACGCACGGACCGCCCAGGAGCACCGTTTCCGGGATTCTGTGCGCCCAAAGGAGGACGCACATGTCCACCATTCCCACCAGCAGCCCAAGATCCCACGACGACTCCTGTGAGAAAGCAAAGCTCATTGTTGTAATCTCAAGTGTGTGCATGGAAACATAAATCATAAAGTCATATCAATGAACATGAACCATAAATCCACTAAAAATCAAAAGCCATCACAAATGATTGACAAATCGTCGATAATGAAACCGATAAAGGTGTTAATTGACTTCATAAACAGATATGCTTCAAAAATCACACACGACACACTGTGGATCTTACCGCCAACTTTCAGTTGATACCCCTTCTGATTGCCAGCATTGCGAGCGGAAGACACGCCAGCACGTTGCTGCGGATAGAGTCCACTCGATCCACGGCCCCTCATCGCGCCAGCTGCTCCAGCATCCACTCCAGCGCCCGGAAGAATGCGCGATGTGATGGGTGCTCCGTAATATGAGCCTCCAGTCGCCGCCACGGCCGAGGAGTAGTATGCTCCACTGGCGTCGGCGGATGCCTGTGGAATGTTGGCCATCTGGTGAAGCTGACCCTTGCTAAAGTGCTGCGGCAAGTTGGCTGGCGGCGCTTGTGGCAGGAATCCCGGTCGGAACATAGAGTGATCAATCTGAGAGGGCAGCAGATAGTGCTCAACGTCCTCCAGAATGGCCTTGCGGAACCGTTCAATCTTGAGAACCATCTCAATTTGATCATCACAGAGTTCTCGCAGGCTCTGGACTAGCATCGACATCTTCAGTTTGAGATTAAAGAGTTTCCCATCGAAGAACAACCATGGATTTGTCATCAGCCACGGCAGAGGAATTCCACACGCGTCATTGGCCAGCGAAGCAGTCTCCACGCCTTGCATAAAGAGTGTCGCCAGATAGACACCACGGAGTTGCACACACGGTAGCTGAGAAATCGAAAAAAAACGACACATTTAGATAAGTTAATCCGCACAGAGATGATAAATCCGCGCGATACTCACCACCAATTCTTGTGTGTACTCAACATTGATCATTTGTTGTGAGAACGCCGTGGCCAGGAATGCATCAAGCTCCTGACGCGTCAGCATGCTCCTCTCGGGATCCGTGATCATGTACCTCAACACGCACGCCATCACGAGCATGTGCTGCGGCACATAGCCGCGATTGAGCATCAGCAGAGAGTCCGATCGCATGATCGTGAGGAAAGCCTTCATGCGGCGCTGCTTATCTTCATACGCCATGCCGAACCAGAGACGCTGCACAGTGGGAACAGCCCATAGCAATTGGGTGGCTTTCACCATGTCTGGCTTCTTGTACTCATTCTGCGGCGACCATACCCACTCGGCTATCACCACGTCGGGCTTCGAAGCACTCCCACCACCACTGCCGCCGCCGCCGCCGCTGCTGTTGCTGCTGCTGCCGCCGGACGCATTCGTTTGATTCTTATTTGACTTTGAACACAGATATCTTTGGTGGTATAAGTTGAACAGAATGGCATAGATCATTTGACGAGCAGGACGATAGAACAAGTGAACAGATGGAGATTCACGACCTTGTTCATCTTCTAGCACCTATTTGAAGAAATAAATTGCCAATTGGTGGTAATTCAAGTGAATTCAGCCACATTGAGGCAGTAATGTGGGCATAAAGATGATGAACATGATAACATTATTCTCTCAAATGACACTATAGCAGAGAGATAACACTGAAATATTGTACACTACAGAATAGAATCCTTGGGTATAAAGAAAAGTGGGGTTAAACATTGATTGTCTTAAAGCTCTCCAAAGCATTGAAATTAAAATGAAGAACAATAAATGAAAATTGACTAGCGTAAGCTAAAATAGAAAGAAATTAACTGTGTTCGACTGTATAGAAGCCAGTTTTTTTCTCATCACTTTAATGCCTCTGAAACTGAACACCAAAGTTGATAGTGTTGATATAAGACGCCCCGATTCTGAGAATGCGAATGAAAATGTGGCTTCTGGCTTATCGAGACAGAGAAGAAGAGGGTGAATGTGAAGAAAGCAAGGCAGCAAATGGGATTGTCATGTCCGTAATCGGTGATACATCCATAATTGATTTAATATAGTTAGCCAGCACGAGTCACTTAAAACTCTTTATCAATACATTTTTGCTCAATAGCACAGCAATCGATTAAAGAATTCCAAGAAAATTACTCTTCATTCATTCTAACTCTGTGTATTACACAGTTTTCTCTTTCTCTCTCTCTCTCCCTGTTTCTTCCCCATAGCTATTCATTACACATAAATTTGCATGTTCTAGGACAAATATTTGAATTCCAGTGTCATTTATGTACACGAAAGAATTACAAAGCAGGTAAAACTGGGGAACTGCATAAGTTGCCATATAAATTCATGCTGGTTTCTTCGAAGGCGGATTTACAACCAACCTTCATCTTAAGCGGGCGCAAAAACGTTAAAAATTCTTACCTGTGGCAATATTATGGTCTTCTTAGTAAGAAGCTGATAAATCTTTGAATCCATCATGCCACGCTGATGACGGTTCAGTGAAGTTTTTAGCACCTCGCCGGGAAGAGTGTAAATAAAGTGTCCACCACTGGAAGTACTCACTTTCGTGCTACTTGCATTTGTGCTGGGCTGACTTCCGTTCGCGTACGAGGACTCTGGAAAAACAGCCAGTCAGAAGGGAAGGCCTAAACAATGAAGAAATGCAGGAAACCTACCGCTTTCGTCCACTAAGTTGTTCACATCGCTTAAAATCTTCTTCGCAACCTCGTCATTTTCGCTCGTTTCCGATGCCATCGGCATGGAATCGCCATCGGCAGTTTTAGCGTTTGTCTCAATGGAGATCTTTTTCTTATTGCCCATATATTTGCGCGTCATAAACTTCCCTTTGCGCTGGAAGTACTCAACAGATTCTGTGATAGCTGCCGAGTAGTCGGCCAGATCCAGATGCTTGATAAACTCATTGATATCATTTGTCGGAGAGTTCCTCACAATCTCCGCAATCTTTCGGATCTTCGCCTCAAAGTCAGTGGCCACTTCGATTCCCAGCTTTTGGTGAATGCTCTTGAGCTGCGCCTCCTCGATGGCTGTGTAGCCGCCGAGCAGGATAGCCACGAAGGGCAGATGGTCGGCCGTGAGACTGAGACTCGACAGCAGCTTCGACACGTGGTACTCCTTCGTCTCCAGCGATCCCTTGTACGAGAGCCGCAAGTCGTGAGAGCTGAAGTACCGGCTGCAGTTGGCAATGATGTAGTCCGGATTTACGCCCAGAATGCCGTCGAGGCGATGCTCGTGGAAGTACTCGATGACCTCCATTGTGTGATCGTGAATTGTCTGGATGACCTGGATGTTGATGCTGCGCATGGCGTTCCGCAGGCACGTCCTCAGTCCGGACGGTGGTAGCCACCAGATCTTTGGCGGTGGAGTGCCAATCATGCGAATGTGCTTCAGCACTGAGATTGTCTTCTGGCGAAAATCATTGCGCTCGCCCTCAAGTCTCTTGTTCTCTCTGAGTGTACCGTCGAAGAAAGCAATTATCTCAATTTGAGCTGTACTAAATGCATTTGCAAGTAGTTGAACAAACTGATACGCTCGATTCCATTGTCCACCACAAGCCCAGTCTGTTTGTGCAAATGAAAGGAAACATATACACACATAAATTCATATTTTCTCACACATCAACTCTTTTCGCTGGATCGCAATATCTGTGAAACTCTTGTCGCGCCAGCTCACAAGCTAATTGGTAGGCAAATAGTTCTCCTCACCCGAGTAATAGCCTCCGTAGAATCGATCCAGGCAATCCTCCATGTCCAGAGCCAGTCGGAGCTTTCCATTCTTCAGCTTTGACTTAGCTCCGAGGCTCGGGACGATTTTCAGTAAGTCCACTGCAGTGCTCCCACCATCGATTTTGCCCAAGAAAGCGTGCAAATCCACTGCATTGATCATTTTCTCTCTAAGCTCTTTACACTTTCAATTCTGCAAGGAGAACAAACAGATAACAACCCATAAATCAATACAAAAACAGGGAAGCCATTACACACAACTCCATGTAACCGGTAAGTCACATGGATGCACTTTGCAGCTGGAAAAGTCAACTTTTCACGCAAAATCTCACTTCAAGGTGGCAAATAACTACGAAATCCCGGTAAATTGGTAAACTATTCCACTTTTCCAGTTGTGGAAAGCAAAACTTCAGCCAGAATTGGCGTTTTTATATGGGTCACTGAGATAGAAAAAAAGCCCTACCTTTCCGGACAGCAAAACAAACGAAATGGAAGTATTGCTATGTGTGTATTTAAAGCACTATTGATATCACACGCTTTGTGAGATGAAAAAAAAAACAGCACGAGAAGCACTTTCCAGCCTCTCGCTGAAAAAGTTTTGTTTTATTGTCTGCAGTGTGGAGACGATAAGAGTGAGAGAGGCAATTTCGGGAACGAGAGGAGGAGTGAATGGAGGAAAAGTAGACCACCGGGAATTTTCACTGCAGCGTGCCTTTTCACTGCCACAGCACTTGCATTGAACTCAACTATTGCCAATAGATAAGACAAACACTAAAAATAGAATGATATCATTGAATAATAGAGACTTTTTTCTCTGTCTCAGAAGCAGTGCAGAAAAAGTCTTCTCTGAGAAATTCACATTTTCTCACACACACTTGACAGCGGAATGTGAGGTTAAATTCTCGCGGAATAAAATGCGGTATTTTGCGAAAAATACATTAATAACGCCCTAACTCGCTACATTGATTGATTTTGAGCACACTTGGGAATACTATGGGGTACTTTTGCATCACGAATTTGCAGTATTTATCTGTTTTCTCGGCACTTTTAGCAAAATAACACTTACCAACATTAAAAAAAACCTCACACAGCAATCGACGAAAATGGCGAATGGACTGCCATATGGCAACACTTACCGCAGAGAAAGGAAATTTACTCTGGCGGTTGGAATTCGAAAATTCTTGCAGTTCTCTTCGCGCCATGTGCAATGAAAAGTCGGTCAATGGGGGCATAATTACAAATGAAACAGTAATTGCAGCAATTGGCTCTGACTTTATTTAACTACCATACTTTTATTAAACTCTGGTTTGTTTTGCACAACATGGACAATATAATAATTATGCTTTTTCGTCTAAAAGACTTTTCTCTTGATATGTTTCACACAAAGTAAGTTTTTTTTTTCTTCTTCAAAAATATTATTTTGCATCCTTCTAGTCACCAAAAAATCACGTTCAATTGTATCCTGCTAGATTAAAACGTTTTTATAAGTGTTTGCAAAGAGGCAAATGGTTTTGTGAATGGAGTCACACCTTCACAACTCGACTCGGATGGAACTAACTTACGAGTTGAGGGTGAAAATGCAGTGGACTCTCTTCTTAAGCATTTTCACCTCATGTGAATAAATATTCTCTATTTTTTGTGGTTATTTAATATAAATTAGCCCTTAAGTTTTATTATAAACTACCATTTTAATTTTTTACTTCATCTCTTAGATTGTCTGTGCTCTGCAGAACTATATTTAGCATTCGTGAGAGTAGATTTTATATGGCTTCCTCTTAAAGATCACCATCTAAAGCACAAATTTGAGGCTTCTGTAACACATTCATATATTTTTATCCAATAATTTTCTTACCACGTAAGTAGTTTTCATTAAACCCTAATTCTCCAGCGTCTTATATTCAATACTTTTTATTTTTTCACTTTAAAGTTCTTACTTTATTACACCAAAAAAAAAACGTCTTTGTCTCATCTATATTGATATGTGTTATTTGAGAGTATTGATTTTTATTAATATCTGTCTTTAATGCTGGCTATAAAACTCGTCAAGAGACTACAGATATGTTTATATACTTTATATGCTTTTTGCGATATGTATTCCATTGTCTTCTAAATAAATAGTCTCAAGTGCTTATCTAGAAAATGAAAATTTTTACGCCTAATGTCATTTTTTCCGTTACTGACCAATTCTTCTCATGTGATTATTATAAATTTGTCACGTAAATATACGGACATAGATATAGTGCTTCTTACAAACACAATTTATGTCCAATTCAATGTCATTCTCACTATATCTAAGGTATAGAAAAATGCAAAAGTATCATAAGAGGTAAATTTTTTCTTGTATAGAAATTGTGACTCCAAAAAGTATTACAAAAATTGATCATACGATTTTTCATCTTTCCTTCAAAATACACCTACTTCACACTGATAAATATTCTTCATGTAATGTATATTTTTTAAAATGTGTACAGCGCTTTTGTGCCAAATTTCGTAATTTCTTTTCACCTCTCAACCGCACACAATTTTTCCATGACTTGCGTTTCCTTTTTTGCCTTCACCGTGAAACCTACGAAAACTGCTTCAGATGTGAATTTTCGAAACTGCTCCTCTATTTCGCGTGTCTCAATGCAAAAGATGGTAAATTTGTGAGAAACCGAAAGGAGAGTATTAAATTGAGCAATTTCGATTAACAGAAACTGGTCTATGAATCCAAAGTGAAAACTTCTACTTGATGATCACACTATGTAGCAAATCCATTAGAATAGATTATCTTCTTGGTTGGGGATTATTCATAGTTCTCTTTGGTGCCCTATGCGAAATTCCTTTTTACAAATACTAAATTGACTATCAATTACACTCTCTTAGGAGAGATTTTGCGTCGTCTCTATATTTTGTGATCATTTCATCACTAAACAGTGCGAAAGGTGTTACTTAGGCTCAAGTCAGAAGTACTTATTGCATCCTAATCTGTCTTACAAATATGTCAATGATGAGTGAAACTACAAATCTTGCACTTTTCACCTTTGAGCAGGACGCACAAATGTGTCCAAATACTTGACAATCGAAACAATATGACATGATATGCAGAAATGTGGCTCCTGAATTCACCTTTCGCACCGGACTAATTCTTCTCACCCACTAAGGATCAACTGCAAACAGTGAATATTTCCTCAAAATTTGCCGTTTACAAAATATCTTTCAAAGATTCTCATTTCAATCAACATGCTTAATCATTATTAGACTGTGTTATTATCATTTATGATATTTAAAGCCACAAGCATACAAAAATAGTGTTTGATCATTATTTATCTGTCACAAATTACTTCATTCAATACATTTAAATATCTTTCTCATGTCCTCACATTAGGCTTTTGCTTTGTCTTCTACATCTTTGGCAATTGTTTTTCTATTATATTTTATTCTGGTAAAGAAAGTCAATATTAGAAAAAAGATACAACAAAATAGCAGAATATCTGTAAATTTGGGTTTGTGTTCACACTATATTCTTCATTCTAAAATACGTTTCTTAATGTCTTAGAAAATAAAAACACTTTGCCATACAAATATATTACTATAAATATGCTTCTAAAATTTTTCACATTCCAATATAATAGTTTTTCTTCATAGGAACATAAAGCATTCTTTCCACTAGTTTTTTTTTCTTGCTCTCTTACTTATAATATTCTGTATTTTCTGCCTTCTGTATATTAGAATTATAAATGTGCAATCTCATTTTTCACCTTTTGTCTACTTGTGCGCGTGTACATTTTATCTAAAATAATTCCATTCTCTTAAATAGCATTTTTCTCTCTCATTAAATTGTCCTATAAAATACTTGATATTTTGTGATATGTCTCAGTGATATGTATAGAAATTCCACTATTAATTCCTTTGCACCTCTTCTCAAAACTTCGTACTTCGTCACAATCAACGTTTCTTTCAAATGTTAAAAAATTATACGTATCTCCCCCTTTAAAATATTAGTACCTACAAATTCTCTTTTTGGTTTTTAAGTAAAATCTTCTCTCCCAAACATTGTTACCACATGTAAAAGCGCTCACTCGCTCTGACCACCAATGCTCCAATAATGCCCAGGAAAAATATCATAGGCCTTCCAGCGGATGAAATTGCATTCTCCTCGGGATTCGAATTCTCACAGAAGTGCGAATCTGAAATGATAAGCGAAAAAGATAGGTGTTGATGGATAGTAACGCACATTGGATTTGATGTGATTCTCACTGGCCCAATTGCGAACTTTCGGCAAGAACTTGTTCCAGAAAGCACAAGATGCAGACATTGGACCACGTCCAAACTTCTCCGTTGTCGCTTGTTCAGTCCCTTCAGCATTGAAAATGTAGTATTGGGGATTATTTTTGCTGTATAATGGCCACGTTTCACCCCCCAAATCGGGAACTCTGCAAAATCAGTGAAATATTAAGCCATTGGCGCTTTTGATATGCAAATTCGCCGCCAAGATTTTACCCTGTTCTAGCAAATTCAGTGAAAGCACGCAACATTTGAGTGCTGAGAGCACGTTCACGTTCACGATACTGAAGCGATACGTTCAGAGGCTGTCCAAAGATATATTCAATTTCATCACCATGCAAAACACCCATCCATTCACCCCATAGAGAAGTGCTGGTGCGCTGTTGTGGGGAAAGATTAATATTTCATCTTTTTTTGGCCGAATAATGCGCATAAATGTAAAGAGTAAATTCTTACGTGGGTAAAGTAGTAATAGTACACAGAAGCCCCTTGTTGAGCAAATCCTTCGGCATATTCATTGGTGGGACAGATGAAGAAGTGATCACCAACGGCTTTGCTAACTTGCTGCTGATTTTGATTATCATTGCCACTATCCCAGCTCGTATACTGAAAAGTATTTTTGCGCATATAGAAAAATTGCAGCACAGAAACTAATAATAACTTCTCACCTGAAAAATTATAGCCTCTCGCTCAGCCTCTGAAATCTTACTGAAGATGGTATTCATAATCTCTAGAAACTTTTCCCGTGGCAATGAAGTTGCCACATCTTTCGAGAAGTAATCAATAAAGTCATACAGCAGAAAGTAAGTGCCTGTTGAAGTGTTAGGGAAATTAATATTTCAATGAATAGTGATGGTAGGGAAGTTTGATTAAAATATTCCATACAAGATTGCAATATTAAGTCTCACCCTCATCCTTGTTGCTGCCGACGAGAATATCAATTCCCGTGAGGTCGGCCCTCTGCAGCATAATGGCAGGATCGTAGGGCATGAATTCACCGTCAATTGTGGGTGCAGAAGGAAAGCCCAAAATGCCAGAGTATGAGTTCCACTGCTGCACCGAGATGGTTTTCGCGTCAACGTTCTGCATGCACTCCATCACGAGCACGGGTGAATCCTGTTAATTGGGTCACACAGATAATTCAATAACTCAGCTCATTAGCGGATGAGACGCTTGAAATAGATCGAGAGAGGGAGAGAGAGAGAGAGGGAGAGAGAGCTAACCTGAAGTAGAGACGAGTTGCAATTGCAGTCATCAATGAGAGCCTTTCCAATTTTCGTCGCCCGCTCGCCAGTCATATGACTCCAGGGAGCATTTAGAGTTCCGGACTGCAAGATGCCTCGCTTGACCAGACCTTGGGTCACAGGTGACAAAAGATGCAGGCTAACAGCTCCTCCGCCCGCCGATTCTCCGAACAGCGTTATTAAATCAGGATCACCACCAAAAGCTCTTGCATTGTCCTTCAGCCATCTGATGGCCAACGCCTGATCCCACATCCCTTGATTGCCGGGCGCAGCATCCGGATAGGGGAACTCATCGGGAGATAGATAGAGGAAGCCGAAAGCACCAACGCGATACTGCATCGAAGCCACAATCACATTTCCCATGGCGGCCAGCATTTCGGCATTGTAGATGTCCAGCGTGGAGGTGCCACTCATGTAGCCCCCGCCGTAGATCCACACGAGCATGGGCAGTGCCCCAGACTTGTTGTGATGGTGGTGCTCATTGCGCTCCGTGGATGTTGTCTCGTGGCTCTGGAAGTGATTGTGACGAACCCGCCCCTTCACCGGCACCCAAACATTCAAATACAAGCAGTCCTCGGAGATGTTGGTGTTGGGATTCCACATCTCCTCGCCCGGAAAGCCAGAGAAGTATTCATATCTGCACGGCAAAGATTTACAAAATGAACCTTGAAAACTCTATCGACCGCTTGAGCAATGTGGAGAAATTGTAATGGTCAAAATATCCCTAAAAAAAAGATGTATTAAACCCACCGCTCTTGGATGCAGGAGTACGGCAGTCGGGTGGCGTCAAGGACACCGTGCCAGGGCTCCACAGGAACTGGCTTGCGGAACCTCAAGTTGTCCACGGGCGGCTTAGCGTACGGAACTCCATGGAAAACATGCACTTCGCGATTCTGTACATGCACAGAACGTCCCCTAATCGGACCCGTGCTCGTTTGCACTACGAGCCTGTCGATAATACCAAACACTGACGGAAGTATGATGGAAATCACAATGAGATGAACACTTATTAATTTTATCTTCACTAATTGATCAATCATGATTCTTGTGTTTCAATGGAGAGCTTCTCCTCAACTGGAAATTACACTTTTCACTTGGGCGATAGAACCTTTGTTTTCACTGTGTGTCTTCACAACACCAAAAAAATATTCTCTCTTACTTCAGACGATTCAGCTTAGAGACTGCACACCTCTTTATCTCTACATTTCGTTTTACTTATGTTGAAAAATTCACTTGTAGGCAACGAAAAGGGCTAAACTTCAGCAGTACATAGTACCTACATCAATGGATGTTCCTGCAATCGAAATGTGAATTATGCAATCGTATCGATTAGAGGTGAATTGATTCCAAAATCCGCTCTTGCGATAAAATAAGTCGTGCTCTCAAATAATAATGCCAGTTTTAGAATAATTTATCTAAATCTTCATTCACGACCTTAGACGGATAAATTATGCATATGGATTCGCTCTCGTAAAGGGAGTGTGAGGGTCGATTTAAAGACATTTTGAGTACTTAAAGCGCGGTCAAATGGCTCGGGTGATGCTGAGGAGCAAAATCTGAATACCCATATAAGTTTATTCAGAATATTCCTTTTGTAATTGGGACTTGTGCGTCTCTCAGAATTGATTTGAAAAATAAATACAAAATGTGTGCGCACCAGATTGGGTGTACGGTTGAAAGAAATATGGAGGGATGTTGCGAGACGGTCGTTTAGTGTCTCACACCAAATAATGATCCCCAGAACCCCCAGTTCGATGTACGTTATATTTTTCTTTCACCTTGATTCTCTATCTATACATACGGTACACAGTAGCGGAGCAATATAGGAGACATCTCAGTAGAAAGACACCTTCGCTAGCCCCAGAATTAAGCGCGATGGAGACAGGAAAGGAGAAATAAAAGCACTTTTTACGATACCACCGTTTTTTCCAGTCAGACAGTCCCTCACAATATGAGATAGTGGCAGAAAGTAAGTTGAAATATTAATACATCACGGTATTACGACGCCCTATTTGTATTATCCACGGGTCGCAGAGAGGCGAGTGTGTGCGGAGTAGAGCAATCCGGAAGCTTTCATTATAATATTTTATATATTTAATGCAATGAACTGTGTGAGAGTTTTCTACCTCTGCTTATGGCGAGAACACAAAAGCGGGGAGCTCACTTTGACATTGTGTCTGAATATGGCTTATGATAAATGAATGATGAATTAAGAGAATACAAGAGAGAGAAAGCGAAAGGGAGAGCGAGAGAGGAAAAAGGCAGAGGCAGCCGAAGGAATCCCCATAATTAACATGAGAATTACATGAGGATGAAGCTTTAATTCTGTCCCGAAGAACGCAATTAAAATTGAAGCCCCCTTTTCACTTTTGCACTCTCACAACGCACAGCCAGCCAATTCGCCCAGACCAGCTCCCAACTACAGCCAGAGACAGTTATCGCGACATCCACCCAGGTTCATTTGCAAAAGGTCCACCACTTTGGAGCAAGAGAGAGGCGAGAAAAAACTCCCACGAAAATTGTGAAGAAAAAACACTAGAGAGAAATCACAGAATGGAAAATTTCCCTTCACAAGAGCACCAAATTGAGCTTTAATACATAATATTTTCAATTAAGGACTTGTCAACATTTTTTCCTTGAAGGTCATCTTAGTTTATATACTGACAGCAGAGTACGATATACATATATTATTTCTGCCGTCTAAATCACACGACAACGTAAAATCAATTTTCCTCCTATAGGCGAAAGGAGAGAATATACACAAGATTCCTTTTTCCTCCTCTATTTGTGATATTGATTTGCCGTGCAATCGTCAAAAGTACTCTGCATATTTTACAGAATCGTGCACAAAGTCCAATTTTTTCAATATTTAAACGTAGAAAAATCCTCTCCGCCAACAATATATTATTGATAGGTGGGGAGAAGTGAAAAAATTATATGTACACTTGTTACTTTTCTCCGCGCACAGCTATTATTCCAATCGAACTAAGCAACCTCTGAACCTAAACTGAGGCAAGGGCCACACAAGTGCTTACGAGTGAGCGATGGCACCGAAAGCTCCCGAGCGAGAGCGCTATATTGCCCACAGGGTGACTGAGACAGCTACAGCGGCTGCCCGCTGTATCAAAGCCCCAGAAAAGCGAAATTATCTCATATTTGTTCACTCGTACTTACACTGGCACGCACATTTAGCAGAACACTTTCCCGCCACTCGAGCTTTCTTCCAGCACATTTTGTGTGCAGTTCAAATCAAGGTTCAAATGCTCTTCAGCATATTTCCACCCACAAAAATGAATTATTCATTCCCTCAATTTCATATGAGAAAATACTTTCATTACGCATTTCTTCTCACTTTGCAACTTTCATTAGGAAAGATTGTCAATAAAAACATTCAAGCTATTAAAGTATAACTTCAACTCTTGTTTACAAATAGGAATAGTTCTTTTTACTTGTTTCAATAACGTATTAACTTTCTTATATTCCTTCTCATGTACACAATAGTGGCACGCGTATCACTAAAAAAGCTTTCATTGACAATTATTTAATTACTCCTCACAAAAAGATACTCCATTACAATCTCGTTTTAATTCTTGTTCTTTTTCTCTGTAATTATAAAGTTGTTTATGTAAACATGTGTATACGATCGAGTTCTAAGAATTGCACAATATTATATACGCATAACGCAAATAGTTTCTTATGTAACTGCACTAATCTCATCATCAGATTGATAATTAGATCTAATGGGAGGAAATAAAAACGATTTCATTTTTCCTCATCTTCCTCATTCCTCCTGTCACTCTTGCATTCTTTTAAGCGAATATTGTACAAAATGAAACACTTTAAATTTAAACAATGACAAAGGTGAGTTCTCTTCATGTGAATTTGAGTAAATTAAGAGGTCAAAAGCGCAGACAGTATGATAATTTCATCTGCAAATGACCGACAGCGCTTGAGACTTGATCCGCTGGAGGTGTGTTCATTTTTTACGAATGAGATTCAGAGGTATCGTGCAGATATAAATAATGGCGCAAGAAATTATGAAATGTGCGTATCTTAAATTATACTTGTTGACGTTTAATGTTTTGATGATAGTTCATTTTTTCCACATGCAAATAACTTTTTGTATGAATATGTATTTCGAATGTCTAACTTTTTCAACGAAAATCTGCACAAGCCAGTAGTCTTTCAGCAAGAAGCGGAACTAGACCTCTTGAGAATAAAAGCCGAATGAATAGTGAATATTAAGAAAAATGCCAACGGAAGTGGATGAGTCATTAGTGAAAACTAATAAAGTTCGTGTGATATTTGAAATGATAAAGAGCTATTTTGGCAAAAATATATCAACGTCCAAAATTTGTTAGTGGTTATCAATCAATTCTCATTCAATGCTTTTGACGAAAAATCAAATTTCTTTTTAGTTATTTACATCGTTCTGACTGTGGGAATAATCTCAATCTGTGTAGGAATATTTACAACATTTTATTCAGTTCTGGATCTACTCTTGGATGAAAAACTGCGCATGAGGACATTTCTGCCTCCTTATCTTTGGTGGAAAAATCCACCATCGACAATCTTCAGACTCTTTATATTTGATGTGATCAATCATGAGGAATTTCTGAGGGGCGACGAAGTGTTGCGGATGCGACAAGTGGGCCCCATTGTCTATCGGGAACACGTTACTCACGAGAATATCACGTTCCACCCCGAAAACGACACCATGACGTTCACGGCGGTGCGTTCGGTGGAGTTCCTGGAGGAGGAAAATGAGCCCGGAATCCTCAATCGAACGATCATCGTCCCGAATCTCGCTGTTCTGGTAGGTTTCGCCAAGACACAACAATATTTCGCTTGAATAAGGGATTTGTGTCGTTAGGCAATGGCTTCTCGGCTGAGCGACTCGGCCTTCTTCATGAAGATCGGCTACAACATGATCCTGCGCAGATCGGGCGACACCGTCTTCCAGAACACCACCGTCTACAAGTACCTGTGGGACATGGACGGAAACCTCATGCGACTCGGCGAGAAGCTGGTGCCCTTCATGGTTCCCGTGGACAACTACGGAGTCCTGCACAATGTGAGTCTCCGTAGGAGATCTGCGAAGATCGCCAATTAACAATCGCGACATTGCAGCTCTACAAGTCCTTCGCGGATCGACAGAACGTGAAGATCGGCACCGCGCACGGCCACGAGCACTTCTTCGAGATGACCCTGTACAACGACCGGCCCACGGTTCCCGGATTTCGGCCCGAGCGCGGAGAGTGCTTCGCCTCGATCGAGAACTCCACGGAGGGACTCTTCTACCCGCAGCGCCTCACGGACGAGTCCGTGCTCAAGTACTGGCGCAAGAGCATCTGCCGGCCCAGCTTCCTCACCTACGCGGGAGAGGAGACGGTGAGCGGCGTGCCCGGGAAGAGATACGTCCTACCGGACGACACCTACGATCGCACGCGCCCCCTCGAGGAGGACTGCTATCGCGGCGACAACGGCGACGAGTATCCGGACGGCCTGAGCGACGCGTCCAAGTGCTACCACGGCTTCCCCATCGTCATCTCGAAGCCACACTTCCTCAATCGCACCGGCGAGTGGGTGCGGAGACTCGAGGGCATGCAGCCCAACGAGGAGGAACACGGCAGCTTCGTCGTGGCTGAGCCACTCACGGGCGTTCCTCTGAAGGAGTGCGCGAGATCGCAAAGCAACATATTCGTTAATCAATTATCTGGTTTTTCCAACCCGGACCTTCAAAAGTTCAGCGGAATGGTCATTCCGATGTTCTGGGGAGATATCGTGAGTATTAGTTTTTTTGCTATGAATTAGAACGCCTTCTCGCCCGGTGGAGAAAATTGCGGTGGACCCCCTGTGTTTACTGCGGTATGAAATTTTAATGTAACTTTTTGCCACTTTTGAAACAAAAGATTAATGTATTTTTTGTACAAAACAAAAAATAAAAAAAACAATTTCTTATCTATGTAATTTAGTTAAACATTAAATATATTAATTGCACCGCCTTATCAAAGTACAAGTTTTACATTTAAAATTGCCAAAAAGTTGTTTTTGCATTTTTTAGTATGTTTCAAGCAACCCATTAATCCTTTTTAATTAAAGATGTCAGTCGTGTCCTTGGTAACGCAAATAAATTATAACTAATGAATTTTTTACAATACATACTTTTACATATTACATAAAGTTCCTGGAAAAGTGCTTGCTTGTTTTATATATATACAAAAAACAATTCTAAAGCTTTTTAGTAAGTATTAGCATTGAGAATAATATCACATTAAACCGGGCAGTGACTGAAAATTTTAGCAAGTAAGCTTTGTCGTGGAATGTGACACATTAACCCAAGCATTAACTATTTTTTCCCAGCTTAGTTTCGTGCTGGGAAGCTTTTTTCCAATATCTCTTGACCGCATGTGTCGCTTTTTGCTCGCGCTCACTTTTATTAATTTTTTGCCTCGCTTCATTGCAGTGCATTCACGATTTGCCTCTATTAATACGAGGTCTGATGATTTTGGTGGTTGTTCTTGTACCAACATTGCAACCTTTTGGCACCTTCGTGGCATACATTTTAGGACTGGCGATGATTTTATATGCTGTGCGGCAGTTGCATAAGGCTAAAGTCTACAAACGCATCTCATTTGTCTTCCAGCAGAGATAAGCTGAATTAAGTGCGCTGTAATATTCTAAGGGCGTGAGCATATGACAATAAATATCATGTACAAATATTCCGCTAGCCGATAGGCATGTTTATTATTTTGCAATATCAATAAGTAAATCAGACGATGACCACAACTTGTGAGGAAATGCAATTGCATTGCAGTTGGGAATATTCCCGTGGAAAAAATCCAGAGATATCGCGTCGCGGAAAAGCCGATATGCGACCTTTGGTGTGTAGGAAAGTCACACCTGCACATCTGACTGACAAAACTCCTCATCAATTGTTTGCAGGTCACTTGATGAGCTCTATTTATTTATACACAAAACAGTGTTTAACAGCAGATTAAAATGATATTCCTGTTCAAAAGAAATCTCAACGAGTCTGGGGCGACATCAAGTGCTAAAGACGTCGAGGCAACAGCCTTAAAATCACTCGACACGGATCAGTTCTCTGTTAGATCTGCAAGTGAATGGACCGAAAGCACTATAAGGTACACACTGCTGAGCAAATTCACACAGCTTTCAAGTTGAAGCAAGAGACTAAAAAAATTAAAAAGGTTTTTAGATAAATAAATTAAGTGAAGAAAGATGAAAAGTAAAGTGCATTCGCCGTTGATTGGTACAAGCATAACAGTGAATAATGAGTCCGAAATTAACAATAACAACACAGATTCCCGATTTAAATTAACCTCTCGTCGTAAGTTGTGTCCAAATAATTTGCTAATACATCACCTCACACCAATTTTATGATAGATCTTTCATGCGATCGCGATATGAAATGTCTGAAAATTAGACTGAATTTCATACATCATCTTTTTTCCTCATTGCAATTCTTCTCAAGTGATGCAACACAGACCTCGGAAAAAGTGATGTGTCCAGCAAAAAGTGAAAACATATAAACTGCTTGATTTGAGGCGAAAAAAATCACATTTTGTGAGCTCCCAAATTGGCACAATCCACAAATATTCGTGCAATGAGTCCAATTATGCGAAATACGCAAGATCAAAGATATATCCTGACTCTCAATCCGTCACGACATCATCTAATGCTGATGTAGAAACACATAAATGATGATGAGTTCACTGAATTGACCAATATTTCCACTCACAGAAACCTAAATCACTTTGCGAGAAGAACTTTGAACATCAATAAAAAAAACACCACAAGTGAAAGTGATAAAAATTGCTAATGATTGACAGATCATATTTTCTGCAATAAATCAGCTTCAAGTAAATGTGCGACTTTGCCGAAATACATGCATACATACATAGTCTTATTAAATAACATGCCATTGATCATAAATGGATAAGCTAACGTTTAGGTAATTTAAAACAAAACCTAAGAAAAAAGAACGCACTCCCAGCGACATATTAGAGTGACTAATAGATTTAGACGTTTTATTATTGCTAATAATCACTGAGTGCAGGAAAATTATACAGTGAAGAGCAAAAGTGACACAATTGAACTGCGCTTTTTGCAAATTCTCTGCTTGTAGTTGGAGGAGATCAACTCCAATTTCATGAGTGGCCTCGAATTGTTACCAATTATGAAGTGTTCATTATAAAGCTTTGCCTTAAAATTATAACAAACTATAGCGTCCTAGAGTAAAAGAAATGCAAGGTGCAAAACATTTCCCTGAACTGTCTGCACTTTCAATTTCATCCGTTTTCCACTCGCAAGCAAAAAGTGAAATGGCAGAAACTCATATTCTCTCTAATAACATTTCTAAAAGCAGTATAAAAAGGGTAATTTTGAGGTCAAGGTGCTTGATTTTAAGACTAGAAACTGTCACGTTTTCTACCCTTAAAAAAAGTTCACAAAAAATCAAATAAAACACTTGCCTCAAACAAAAAATTAGCGACAATCTCGTGATTCTTCTTATAAAGCCAGCTGTTGATGAGCCATTGCAAAAATGTCTCGCAAATGTTCACAGAAACAATTAAAGTAGAATAAAAATTTAATCTGCATTAAAATTACTTACTAAGTGTCCTATGAATTGATGGAGAGTTAATGAAACTTGACAGCAATTGCATATTTGAAAATTCCAAGGATTTGTCATGTATAAATTGTATTTCATGAATGTATCAATCAGTTTTGCTATTCCACTGAAAACAAATTGCGCCTCGTAAATTGTACATTCTACGAAAAAAAATGCACAGGACTGAGGTAAAAACAATATTGAATAACCATGAGAAAAGTTACGAATATATGATGAAACGTTTGTGCTCACATACACTCGCTAATTCCCAGCATCACATTGGGATGATTTTTTCGAGGAAAACTGAGGGATTAGTCAAACGTCCCATGATACATACAGACTACCTACTGAACACTTCCATTATTATTCACTTTATTGTGCTATATAAGTTTTTCCATCATCATCATCATCGCCGAAACTCAAGAAGTCAAAATACGCAAACACGTGTAATTAATATCTCAATAAAGGTAAACTTTTGTATTAGTCATCTTTCACAAGTTCTTTAATTTTATTGCACCATCATAAATTTTAAGTCTTCACGCGCTTTTCAATTTACTCACAGAAAAACAAACGTCACATTTCAGGCAACATCATTTTTATATCAATTGGCCTCATGTTTATTATCGCTGGCATTGTCTCGAGTAAGATTTCCGCGCGAAATGTAGCATTGGATGAAAAACTGCGCATGAGGACATTTCTGCCTCCTTATCTCTGGTGGAAACATCCTCAGCCGATTGTGCGATTGCGAATGTTCATCTTCGAGGTGATCAATCATGAGGAATTTCTGAGGGGCGACGAAGTGTTACGGATGCGACAAGTGGGCCCCATTGTCTATCGGGAACACGTTACTCACGAGAATATCACGTTCCACCCCGAAAACGACACAATGACGTTCACGGCGGTGCGTTCGGTGGAGTTCCTGGAGGAGGAAAATGAGCCCGGAATCCTCAATCGAACGATCATCGTCCCGAATCTCGCCGTTCTGGTAGGTTTCGCGAAGACACAAGAATATTTCGCATGAATAAGGGATTTGTGTCGTTAGGCAATGGCTTCTCGGCTGAGCGACTCGGCCTTCTTCATGAAGATCGGCTACAACATGATCCTGCGCAGATCGGGCGACACCGTCTTCCAGAACACCACCGTCTACAAGTACTTGTGGGACATGGACGGAAACCTCATGCGACTCGGCGAGAAGCTGGTGCCCTTCATGGTTCCCGTGGACAACTACGGAGTCCTGCACAATGTGAGTCTCCTCAGGATTTCTGCGAAGATCGCCAATTAACAATCGCGACATTACAGCTCTACAAGTCCTTCGCGGATCGACAGAACGTGAAGATCGGCACCGCGCACGGCCACGAGCACTTCTTCGAGATGAACCTGTACAACGACCGGCCCACGGTTCCCGGATTCCGGCCCGAGCGCGGAGAGTGCTTCGCCTCGATCGAGAACTCCACGGAGGGACTCTTCTACCCGCAGCGCCTCACGGACGAGTCCGTGCTCAAGTACTGGCGCAAGAGCATCTGCCGGCCCAGCTTCCTCACCTACGCGGGAGACGAGACGGTGAGCGGCGTGCCCGGGAAGAGATACGTCCTGCCGGACGACACCTACGATCGCACGCGCCCCCTCGAGGAGGACTGCTATCGCGGCGACAACGGCGACGAGTATCCGGACGGCCTGAGCGACGCGTCCAAGTGCTACCACGGCTTCCCCATCGTCATCTCGAAGCCACACTTCCTCAATCGCACCGGCGAGTGGGTGCGGAGACTCGAGGGCATGCAGCCCAACGAGGAGGAGCACGGCAGCTTCGTTGTGGCTGAGCCACTCACGGGCGTTCCTCTGAAGGAGTGCGCGAGATCTCAAAGCAACATTTATGTTAGTAAACTTTCTGGCTTCTCAAATGAAGATCTTCAAAAGTTTAGCGGAATGGTGATTCCTATGCTTTGGATGGAATATGTAAGTTCATATTCTTTTGTTGTGTAAATTTCATTATTTTTAGTTTATCAATCATTTCCCATATAGACTCACTTTATCGTACTCTATAACAAATATTTGACAAATAGTTTCCTCATTTTAGCGATTGCAACGTCTCAATGTAGCGAAATTAATTGAGGATAGTAATTAGAGTTTACCTTGAAAGTCTCAAAAGTTACGTGAGTGCTTTTTGAGTCACACAAAAATTGTTTCTTCCTTTTGCAGTGCATGATGGAGTTAACACCCCTTATCAACGTGGCCTTGTCGTTCCTCGTTGTTTACCTGGAACCACTCCAGTATGTTGGCTCGATGGTTTCTCTAGCACTCGGTTCTATCGCCCTCCTCCTAGTGGCCGCAGATTACTATAGGGACAAAAAGTACAAAATCATCAGCTCAGACAGCAAATACATGTGAGTAAACTGCCAGCCAAGAAAAGACTCTAATCAATTAACATTACTTCCTATTTTTATTGTGATTTCTCGATAATTTACTTGTTTACAACAGAGATGTTGTATATTAATATTACTTTTTTCCATCCTAAAATCCGTGCTTTTTCCATCCAATCTATCTTTCAGTTGAAGCTCTGCAATTAAAAGTCCATTCCGATTTGATGAAACAATGCCAGGCAATGATGATTAGCAAAGATCAATTTTTTCGCGGGGATTTACTCACGTCAGGGCGGATCGACAAAAAATTTATACATACAATATAAATAATGTTGAACTACTATGAAAAATTATTGCTCCATCCTAATAACAAATCTTCATCACAGCATGAATGTTTCTTTTTCACGTCTCGCCTCAACAGAAACAAAGTAAAACAAGTGATCAGTCTCTACGACATTAGGTCTGTTGTGCAATTTGGCAAAAGAAGTCTGTGAGCAGAGATACCATTTGTGTTTTGTTTTAATATAATAATTATTATTATTAATTGAATTTCGCCGCTCCAATATAATATATCTCAACTATTGATCGCTCGCGTGGACTTTTTTCCCCACGAGCATTGGGAGGCAGGGTCAAAAAAGCTATATGTAAGCTCTGATGCTGAGGTGAAGGCTTGTTTACCACCGAAAGTAGCAACACGTGTAACATCGCGTCGTGATGGAGTGTCATATAAAATGTGTGCGCTAAAGTCTTCGTGTTTGACGGACTGCGGGCAATGACGGTAGGATTTTTTTGCTCGACAAACATATTTCTTCTTCTTCACTCTTTCGCCTCATTTTCATTTCACTATCTATACACATTGAAATAGTTTTACGGTCATTGTGTCTTGCCTATAAATGGATACGTTTGAGACTTATGCTAAGCTGCATCCAGTCGTTGGAATAGAAATAAGAAAAATTAATAATTCCTGCTGAAACAATCACAATTTTTTTTACTCTTTCTCTTTCTCTCTCTCACATCCAAATACTTTGTTTCTTCTCCAAATACTTCTCACATATTTTCAATTCTACAGACAAATTGAAGGCTACTTTACATTTATAGGATTCCTCTAAATAAAAATTGCTACGCGCTATTGAACTATGTACAATGATACAAATTGTTTGTTTGTATTTTAAATAGTCTATTATTATGTATATGCCGTATATGCCAATTACACATTATGCATATTTTGTAACACCTTCGGAAATCACTGAATAAGTTAAAATGTACTTTATAGAATGTATGATATATGATATGAGTTATAATTAAATTTTCATACAAAATGATTTAATGTGTCCTCATTCTTGACATCTTATTGAGGTTCAACACTACAGTAAATTCTGAGCTCATGGACAGGAAATTGTACGCACTGAAGTGTCTAGGTTAGTCATTCCATTAGGATGAAATAGGCAAACATTAATCTTTTCTTGTACATTCTGCAAAGGAAACACGATCTTGTAACTTCAATTCCCAATAAAATTGTATTAGGATTGTAAATATTTGCACTAAAAATTATATAATTTACAATTCGAGTAGAAATTTTATGTCTAAATCTATAAAACCCATATTTAAAAACTTTGCTATAATACAAAACACAGCACCTGCCGATATAAAAAAAAAAGCTTTTAAAAGTCCTTCAGTCGTTATTCCTTCACTTTGTCAGCTAATTGATGTTTAGCAGATCAATTGTAAAGGTAAACATAACATGTCTATCCAATTAGATGATAATGTATCTTCGCAACTGCGAAAGTGTGTAAAATTTCCTGTCCATTTGCCTTCTGAACAATTCTTGCGCACGGCATGAGAGACTTACTGCCATTGAGAGTTGGCCTGAGGCGCTTGGCCAGGAGGCGCCGCATAAGGAGGATAGCTGTAAGGAGGATTCACGTAGGAATTGCCTGTGTATTGGGAATCGTGCGGCGCAGGTGGGACGGGCGGCAGGGGAGGTTGATATCGAGAGGGATCGTACTCGCCTGTGGATGGGTAGGAATGTGTTGCAGCCGGAGCGGGAGGATAGTAGCCGCCAGGCGGAGGATTGTACGCATACGAGGTCTGCTGCGGTGTCATATAAGACGATTGATACTGTCCACTGGCGTACTGATTCTGCACCGCCAAGTGCCCCGTATCGTGATGATGATTCGGAGCAGGAGTTGTGTAAGAGGGTGCATTTTCAGGACGATGAAACGCCGATCCAGTGACAGGAGGCGCATATGAAGCATCGAAGGGCGCATAACTCGATTGCTGCGGTGCTGCGTAAGTTGAATTCGCAGGGATTGTAGTGTCAGGAGCACTCACAGGAGCTGAATAGGCGGGAGTCTCAATAGCAGGAACTTGTGGCACGGCCGATTGATTAAAGTGACCTGAAAAACAAGGATTCCAGATATTCCACGAGCATAACCAGACCAACAATCTACACAATGTCACTATAGTAACTACAAATCAACTGAAATATACCGAAATTTTAGTAAAAGAAAAAAACACATTTCCTTGCCCAAAAGTAAAAAAAAAAACAGATTCAATAAATCAGAATTCTGTGCAATTGTATTTATTGAAAAAGAGATTATATCCCATTTACAATAAAAAAAAAATCACAATTATTCTACAATCAACGAGAAATTCCATGTAAATTTATATAATAAAAAACAAGAAATATTAGAGAACTTGTTCCATGTCCTTCACCAAGATTCTACAATATTTCTATCATTTCACAATCAATAAAATAAGCCAATCAACTAAGAACAAGTTAGTAAGCTTATTTCACTGATTCTACTGTCTGCAATTAAAACAACTTTTAAACTTATCACTTACCTCCATATTGAGATTGTCCCGGTGTGGCTGTACTCTTGGGACTCCTCGAGTCCACTTGATGCGCCGGCTGACTCTGGTAAGTGCTGCTCTCGAGTGGTGTTGTGTAATACGGAGGATGACTTGGATTATATTGCCCTGGCATGAGATGTTGCTGTCCGATAGCTTGATTTTGAGCACTTCCCACAACTTCACTCGGCCCATTAGCTCCCTTTGGCGATTTTGGCGTCGTCACCTTCCTCGCCGGTGAGCCCGGCTTCGCCTCAGACACACTTTGTGGCAGCGCTGGACTCTTACTATTGGCTTTTCTACGATTCCTGGGCTTTGGCCCGCGTGAGCCACTCTTCGACACAGCTCCAGGAGATGTTGTCTGAGATGGCGGTGCGCCTGGTGGACTCAGTGGAGCACTATTGGTAATATTCGACAGTGATGCTTTGTACATTGACTTTGACTCGTCAATGGATGATGTCGTGCGCTCTAGACAACTCAAGCTACTCGGTTGAAAGTCTCCGCTGGGACTTCCGTAAGTGTCGTAGGAGTTACTTGGCGGACGATAGGATGATCCCTGCTTGTAGTACGGCGACATGTGAGGGGATTGAGATGTGTGAGGCATGCCATGGTGATTCACTGGCGATCTCATTCGATAGCCACTTTTTGGTGTCATGCTTCCATACGCTGCATTCTGCACAGGTTGAGGCGTGTAGTTCTGCTGCGGATTCACACCAGCACCGTACGACTGAGGAGGAGTGCTGGGAGGTGGTTTCTTATTCCTGCTCACGAGGTTTGGCTTGTACACCACTTTCTGCCTCATGATAGGCTCAGTATCATCATCATCAATGGTAATTGTTGGTGGCACCATTGTATTCTGACTCGCTCCCTGAGGCGTACCCTGAGGTAAGTTACTTGAGAGAGACGTCTGAGTGGCTGAAGGATTGGCCGGAGGCATTTGCATGGCGGCATTGTACGGATTTGGCGGTGGATGACCCATTTGATGATGGGATGAGTAATACTGTTGTTGTCCCTGATTCCCATAAGCACTGTAGTGCTGATTGTGTTGCTGATACGGCGGATATTGATGATACGCTTGACTCCCATATGGAGCAGCCTCATATGGCGCAGCCATGGAACGCTTTGCCGGCTCTGTCGTCTCTCCAGGCTCAGGTGACAGCATAATCACGTCGTCAGTGTTTTTATCCAATTCAGGACCATTGCTCCCCTTAATTTCCCCATCAATCTTCCCCGGAGGCTGCACGGCAGGTGGAAACGGCTGGTAATTGTGATTCATAGCACTTTGATTGATTGTCTCATTAGCATTCGCCGGTGTGACGGTGGCATTGCCCGAATCTGCAAAACCACCTTGATTGGGCGGCAAATTTTGCCCCATGAATTTATTCACACCATACGGATTGTTTGCTCTCATCAGTTCAGGGCTCTTCTCATCAGACTTTGCCTTCACACCCTGATAATCGTCCATCGATTCACTCTCATTCCCACCATCCTTATCCAAGTCAATCACTCTGTCCCTCTCGCCAGCAGCATGGGCATTCTGACCGACCAGAGCCATGGATTCACTGTCACTAATTTCCGCCCCCACCGGAGTCTTAACGCGATTCCCCCCATCGGCGTCATGTTTCCCATCCTTCCCGTGATTCACTTTGAACGCTGTCCTGATGGCGATTATTTTCCCTGTCTCCAACTGCATGTAGATGCCTTTAGGAGACTTCAGAACCATCACCTTCTGACCAGCTTTCAGGACAATGTTGGACTTCTCAGCGGAACTGGTGGGAATGACAACGTCCAGCGGAAGAGTCATTTCCTGAGCCGTCATGCCTTGTCTCTGCCACACTTCAGCCGGAATCCACCGTGTTTGCCGATTCATCATATTCTGCCGGTAATTCGGATCGTTCATAACCGACTGCATTGGGCGAACCTGGAAGAAATCACAGCGAAAATCACTAACAAATTCTGAGGAAATAGATTTAATTCTACTTACAGAAGCCACCGGACGATGAACAATGGATCCGTCAGGGGTCCTAATGGCTCTATACTGCGTCCCTACGTTGTTGTAGGCGTAATTCGGACGAGCAGAGGCTTGCTTCTCCAGCTCATATCCCCTCTGAGCGAGTCTCTTTTCTGCCTGTGAGAGCTTCTTCTCCTTCCTATCAACAAGGAGACTCTCATGCTGAAAGGGTTCTTTCGAGAGGATTTTCGAGTAGCCATCAATAATCTTCTGCATCACTAAATCAATAAATTTGTCCTTGCAGTACCCAAAATCCTTCTCCTCCGAATCCTTTTCATCATCCCAACAGAGACTCGTCACCTCTTTGATTGATAGATGAGCATCGGGATTGCACTCATCCACAACACGGTCAGACATTCCTTGTTTGTTCACTTGACGATCATATATCTTCTTCTCCAGGCAATTGTCCATGACCAAACGATAAACGAAGCAGGGCTTCTTCTGTCCATATCTGTACACCCGACAAACCGCTTGAGTGTCGTGACAAGGATTCCAGCTAGCGTCAAAAACAATCACTCTATTCGCTCCCACGAGATTAATGCCCAACGAACCGGCCCTTGTTGACACGAGAAACAGTTGAATGTTGGGATTAGAGTTGAATTCGTTGATTAATTTCTCTCGATCAAGAGCACTCGTTGAGCCATCCAATCCTACAATATGAAAAAGAAACAGAAAAAAAATTCATCAAACATGCGTACTTTTCTCCACAAAATTCCTCACCCTTGCAAAAAAAATAATCAATAACATTCTCTATACTCACGATAGTAATTTGTGTTCCTCGCCCATTTGATGTCAGTCCCTGTCAGTGTAGTCATTTGCAGGAATTTCTCAATTAGATTAAGTGTCAGGAGACTCTGGCTGAAGACAAGAATCCTGTCTCCCAGTTTCAGACTCTCCTCGAGAATACAGAAGAAGATCTGCATCTTTGGTGCATTCTCCAGCAAATCCGCTACATAGCCTTTCATTAGCTCTACAGCCCAATCATACGGAATCACATCATCCCTCGATGACTTCACACTTTCCTTCTCACACTCCTCAACAACGTCCTCCTTCACCTCCTTTGCGCCCTCGTCCTCCTTCTCACCGGATGTTACTTCATCGACCTCCGGCAAGGCGCTTTTGGCCTCGAGCTTTATCTCTTTTGTGTCCATATCCACGATAGCCGATGATTGGTCATCACTCGGCGTCTTTTCCGCCTTTATCTCCCCCGAGGCTTCATTTGCGTTATCTTGTGGCGCATTGTAGGGATAGTGATTACCATATGAGAGTGGCGTTGGCTGTTGAGCTGGACTCTGCTGTTCCATCATGTACGCTCTATTGTCTCTGTATTGATTATCATAATTGCCATAACTCTGATTGTAAGGTTGACTATTGTTCTGATAATAATTGCTCGATTGCCAGTAATTTCCTTGGTCGTATTGCATATTTGCATTTGGATTGTAATTGTAATTATCTGCGTAAGTTTGGTTCTGATAGTAGCCAGATTGTAGATTCTGCTGATTTCCGTACATGTTCTGATATGGTTTAACATCCTGCTGTGGGTATTGACCGTAATTATCATACGTATTTGGGTAGTGATTGTAGTTTGGATAGTTTAGCATCTGCTTGTTTGGATCAACCATGTAGTTCTGCTCTGGTGGCTTGTAATTCGGTGAATTCTTCTCCACTTTCGTCTCTGGCAAGCCAGATTCTATCTTTGGCGCTTGTGAAGTATCCGCAACTGTCTGAACCTGAGGCGTCGCTGCAGTTACAGTCGTCGGCTTCTCTTGAGAACTCACCGAATTCACCGTGGAATTTGTTGTTGGCAGAATAGTTGCCGCTGGTTTCATCTTTCCATCCATATCTATCGTCTTTGTGGTGTTACTTAACTTCTTGCCTCTTGGTTTCTTCGGCGACGCCCCCTTCTTGCCCACATTCGCCTCCCCGTTAGCCGCCTCAGCCACCTCAATCTCGAGATCCAGATCCGCTTCGCGCTTCTTCAGAAAATTATACAGCACATCCGGATGATTCCAGATCTTGCAACACACGGCAAATGCCTTCAGCGGATTGGGCACAGACTTTGTTCGCACAACATCATTCATAAAGACGTCATAGAGCTTCCGCTGGAATTCTGTCATCCGCACCAGAAGCACGTACTCTTCCTTCTGCGGCAGGCTGCATTGCAGCACCATGTGAGATCGACGCTGCACGAAGCCCAGCAGCAGGGAATGCAGCACATGAGCGCGATATCTCATCAGCTTGATGTCATTTGGTGTGGAATCGATGCACTGTCCATTCTGAATGGGGCGCTCAAACATATTGGCAAACTCGGTCTTCGTGCCCAGATAGTTCGGTCGCACAAAGTCCACCATGCACCAATACTCCATTAGATTGTTCTGCAGTGGATAGCCCGTGAGAACAATGCGTCTTCTGGACTTGATCTGCTTCAGCGCCACCGAAATGCTCGCATGGGAGTTCTTAATGCGATGTCCCTCATCGCACACCACCAGGTCCGGCCCGGGTTTCACCAGAGCCTCGTACATCTCGTCCAGCAGATGTTTGTGAGCCTCAGACTGTTCCTGATACAGCTTTGCATCATTTTCCGCCTTCTTGCTCCTCTTCTTCGTCATCTTCTTCATGCTCAGCAACCTGAACATCTCGTAACCTATCATAAGGACACCTCCATCGCGGACCCAGCCCAGCACCACCTTCGAGCGCGCCGAGAGACTCTTGTGTGAGTCATTGAGAACGTGTATCTTGAAGTTGCGCGCCCTCACCTCTCCATGGGCAGCCAGAGGTGTCTTCTCAGCATTCTCCGGCAACCACATGTTGAACTCCGCTATCCAATTCTGCAGCGTGTTCACCGGCATGATGCATAACACAGTCTTGGAGCTCGTGTGCCTTAGGAATATATCACAGAAACAAACTAACTGCAGCGTCTTGCCCAGGCCCATCGAATGGGCCAGAATACACCCGAATCCCGTCGACGTCTCGAAGCGATCCAGACTCTCAATAATGTTGTCATACAGGAATCTCACTCCCCCAATCTGGTGGGGTTTGATCACTCGCGAAATCTGAGGCGCCACAAACACGTCAGGCTCATTCTCCGGATGGCCAATGTTGATGATAACGCGTCCCTGGTCATCGGGCACATTGTACTGATCCTTCACGTGCAATCCACTATTGTGGGGATCTTCATCTGTCTCCTCTTCTTCTTCATCATCGTCCGATAGCACGATACAATCGTCCTCCGAACTGCTGTCCACGATAGTTACCACCTCCTTTCTAGCATTCTGCAGCGCTTCCTTCTCAGCCGCTTCTTCTGCCTCGATTTGGGCATTGATCTTCATCTCGCGCTCCTCCTCCTCCTCATCAAGCACATCCCTCCGCATCTGCGGACCACGAACAGGAGCGATACTGACGGATGGCGTGAGATTTGTTACGCGAGGTTTTGGCTCGACGGAAGGTACCTTCATCAGAACTGCACCTCCACTGGTTCCTGCCACACTAGTCTGACCAGCAGACGACTTGAGCAACGATGTGTGGCCTAGAGAGAGAAGAAGGGATTCAAAACAACATCCAAAACCATTGAAAATACAGAATATCTACCTTGCAGCAGTGAGAGCACTTTAGATTGCATCTTGCTGTTCTGCTTCTCAGCATCGATCTGCCTCTGCACCGCCCGGATGATCTTCTGCTGCTCCTGCACACGAGCCAGACGCTCCAACTCCTCACGCTGAGCGGCAAGAGTCGAGGCATCCAGCTGATTGTCGTCCATCACCTCGCGAATGTTCTTCCTGAGGTTTGTCACCTTCCTCTTGTCCTCAGACTCATCTCCGCCCTTTTTCGTGATCTCCACCGACACTTCGTCCTTGCTCTCCGTCTCAGCCGGCTTCTTGGCGTCACTCTTGGACACTGGCTGGACGCTGATCTCTCCCATTTCCCTCAGCTTCTCGGAAATATCGAAGTCATGGGTTAATTTCGCCGCCTCAGCATTTTCCCCTGCGACATCCTGAGCAGATTCCAGGCTTGAGGAGCTTGGCAAGATCTCAGCCAAATTGATAGGCTTCTCCATAGGCACTCCCTGCTTCAGGATCTCAGCCAAGTCGGAATCTGTCGCGTCAGGCTTTGGCTCCTCGCCAGCCGCATCAGGTGAGTCCCTCTGGCAGCCAGCCTTCGCGCGTCGCTCATCCTCCTCGTCATCCTCGTGCTTTCGCTTCGGTGCATTCTGCCTCGCAGAGTCAGGACTCTCGCGTGATACCGTGCACTGGGCGCTCTCCTGGTCCGCTGAATTTCCCTGTGAGTCCATCACCACAGTCACTGCGGTCGAACAACACCTCAGTTGACCTCCCGAGGAGAAAAAAGACACTGAAAGTAGGAAAGTTGTGAATAATTTAGTGATTTTCTCAGGCAAGTCCTCACCCCTCATCGCCCATTTTCCACTCTCAAAAGCCCCTCCCAAACACCCCCAGCGATAGCCCGGAAACCCTCAGAGCGCCCTGCAACTGTCCCGTGGCCACCTCCACGGTGATTTCTTCATGGAAAAAGCCCTCCATTATTGACACAAAGGTGGAGAATGAAAAGGTGCTTCACGCAATTTTTCCACTCAGTCCCAGAAATTTACCTGCACTATTCTCACGATCTGCTGCGCACTGTGGGAAAATATTCACTGGCAATCGCGAGACAGGACACTAGAGCATCTCCTGGCACAGTCACTCACTCTTTGAACACCCACATATTGCTGCAATTACATCTTTTTGCTGGGAAATCAATTGCAACACCTTCGGGAACTCGAGTTTCTAGGCAGCCATTATAGCGTTCATTCGCCCGAAAACGACCGACTCCGAACACCGGGCATGTCAACCGAGCAGAGGGTTCGTCAGTGCGTGAAACTTTCACGGATCAGCTGAAGATTTTGGGAAATTTTGAGTTATTATGCCTTCTTGAGAAGGCACAGAGAACAAGATTTTAATGAGTTCTTTGCCAAGCAACTCAGACTCGATGAGACCCATTGATTCCCTGTCATTTAACACCAATCAAATGAAGATTTCTTGAAATATTGGAAATTTTCAACACTTATCAAATTACTTCTGCATTTTACTGTTCGGGGATTTTTCTATTCCCCAAATTCCTCTGCTCAGCTTTCCGGGAATTTGTCGAAACAAGATCTTCTCCTCAATAGTTTATTTACAAGATGTTTCCAAGTTTAGCTACGCAGATTTAACGACTCTGGCTGGCTGACTGAATCCCAGAGTTTTGTTACACTTTAGGCGAACTCTGTGCCTTGCTTCTTCGCGATCCTCTGCTTGCGCTCCAAGAGTCTTTTCTCACGCTCGTATTCCTTCATTCGGAGGATGTAACTGAAAGACAAACGCCAAATAAGACACACTTGTGGCAGAAGGAAGCTCAAATATCGCCTTACTCCTCATATTGACATGTGAAATAATCGTGCCTCTCATGGTGGCACCGGTACACAAGTGGCCACTCTTCTCGGCGACATTGACTGTACGTGAGCAGCTTGTGAGCGCAGTAATCACGGCCATCCAACGGCAGCTTGGCCGACTCCATCTCAGCCTCAGTGGCGATCATCACTGAAAGCCACAGGGAAAGATTATATAACGCCTAACAACAATTACAAAGGACTTCCATGACACTGGGAATCCCATCCCATTTGTGCCTGGCGGAAGACCACAAGAGCAGTTGAGGACATCAGCTCACCTCGTTCCTTCCTGCCGTTGGAAAATCCTAGATTGGGATCAAAGCTCGGCTCCTTGTTGGGATTCGGCGTGGTGTCCGGCTTCGTAATGTACAACCCAATTGCGTTCCCCATCTTTCAATCAGTCCCTCCTGATCCTCAGACGCGCAGAAGATCAGTCAAAGCCCCAAATCTGTGGCTTTTTCTGCAGAAATAAATATTTTGCAAAACACGAGCTGTCAAGTGGAGGAACAGGCTACAGCAGCGCCATCACTGTGGTCCGGACACTCCGAAACCACTTCCACAACCACTTTCCACACTTGATTCCAGGCGGGAATTGTGAACAGAAGTAACGGACCATGATCCTGCATCTTGTGTTGCGTCCATTAAAATTGTATTTCACCCAGTTTTACCCTATTTGACGATATTGTAAGTGTTGTAAAATGTCTCAGAACGAATTAGAGAATTTCACTTTTATCCAACGACTCGGGAATGGGAGTTATGGGTTAGTATTCCTCATCAAATCAAGTGAGTCTTCAATTCCTATTGATCCTATTGATCTCTGGCTTTCAGGGACGTTAAACTGTTCCGCGACACCCGGACAAACCAGAAGGTTGTGATAAAGACAATAAAATTCCTAACGAATAATCTGTCCATCTACGATGTAGCGAGGGAGATTATGATAATGTCTAAGCTTGATCATCCGAGAGTGATAAAATTCGTGTCCTGCTTCGAGGATCCCACAGAAAGGAAGCTGAACATCGTGATGGAGTACGCCTGTGGAGGCACTCTTCACACTCTGATTGAGAAACACCGCGACATGGAGAGTATCATGCCTCAGGAACTGATTCTTCGTCTCTTCTCCGAACTGCTGATGGGTATAGATTACTTGCATCTCCGCCACGTGATTCATTGTGACCTCAAGCCAGAAAATATCCTCCTGGATGTGAATATGAGAGTGAAAATTGGGGACTTTGGCATCTCTATCGTCTCCAGTAATCCGCCGAAGCCTATCGAAGCGTCGGCCTTCGGGACGCCCATCTACATGGCTCCAGAGGTCTACACGACACACTCTTACAGCTCTCAGAGTGATGTCTGGGCTCTGGGAGTGATCCTCTACGAGATGTGCACTCTGCAACCTCCATTCTCGGCGCAAACTCTCATGAAATTGGCCGCAGCGATCAATTCAGGCGACTTCCAACCCATCCCGTGCGCTCGATTAGGCTATGACATGAATTTCCAAGTGATCGTGAAGATGATGATTCAGCCGAATGCGGACAAGCGATGTACCCTCAGCGCAGTCATCTGCCATCCCTTCATTACCAAGTCCTACTATGAAACCATCTTTTCCTCCTGATCATAGACTGTATGTCTGATAATCATTAATTTATTGTGTTTGAAAATTCACCTGATACAGATGCTGATCTAATTCTCCTCCATCGGTTCCTCCTCATCTTCCTCCTCAACTACAGTGCCTAGAAAGTAAGAAAATATGATTTTAAGATTAAAAGTGACTTCAAAGAAACAAACGTTTGACTTTTCCTCACCATTTCCGTTTCCATTCTCATTCCCATTCTGGATATCATCGGGAATCTGTCCTGATTGGAGCATTCGTGTGAGTTTCTCAACTTCCTGCAGAGATGTGGCATTCTTGATGGCTTCCCGAATGGCCTGAACATTCGCATTTGTAGCTCGAGGTACTGAGAAACAACCATATTATTCATTCTGCTCAAAACACAAGGAATCTACTCACTTTTAGCTGCAGTCTCGAGACCAGCGCCCGGCGTGAAGGTCTTCGCTCGCTTCGTGATCTCCTTATGAATCTCCTTGCCTTTCTTGCTCTTGAACAGCTCATTTGCCGCCTTCCGGTCTTTCTGCTTGATCTTGCGGAAGTCCAGGAGTCTCAAGTTGGGGAATCTGTAAGCCATGTACTCTCTGTAGTGGGGTTTCGTGGACACTGGATTCATGAGGAGGCAGAGAGTTTCCAGCTTTGGAAGGTGTGTCAGTGGTTCAAGATCGCCCAGCTCCTGAATACTGTTCCCAGTGAGAATGACTGACTCCAGATTCGGCAGAGATTCATGCAAATTCTCACTTATTCGCCTGCAAAAGACAACTCATGAGAAATTGCCCGGAAACTGAACAGAATTGAGGTTATGACTCACACAATCCGGTTGTTGTTCAGCAGGAGACATTTCAATCGTTGCAGATGTGGGAATCCATCCAACTTGCGCAAATCATTGTCTGAGAAGTCTATCACATCGAATTGATCGAGTGTTGCCCCCAAATTCTCTATTTGGGGGATTTTGTAGCCTGAAAAGAAAAATGTTCAGCGTGAGTTCAAGGAGAAGCAAAACAATGCTTTTTGCACTCACCCCGCAAGCACAGCTCCCTATCCCTGCACGGATTCATAAATTGCATGGACAGGTTTATCAATTCTGGGGTTAATTTCACCATTTTTCAGTATAAAAACTCCACAATAATACGTTTTCAAAGCGATAAACAAATCTTGCGTATGTTTTTTGACAACTGGATCAACAGCGCCTCTACACGTTCAGCGTGCAAACTCAACAACGCCCACAACTTTTCGGCCATGTCCATTCAAAAGTCGATTTCATATTTTACCAACAGACAGAAATAAGATCATTTTTGATTTTATTTAAAAAAAAATAGACATTGTACAGGGTACAAAAGTAAACACTAGTTAACATCATGTATAATTATCACATAGATTCACTGATCCTTGGAAGTAGTAAATTCAGGAGTACTTAACGACAAAGTAGTAATACTTGAAGAGAAAGTGGAGCGACCGTTTAAAGGGGACCCAGTATTCATCTCTTGCAGTTGTCGTAGAAGACAGACATTCCGCGATTCGCAATATCGGCGTACTCTCTCTTGGGCGCACACAGCTTATTCGATGAGCCACTGTTTCTCTTTCTGCAATGATACCAGCGGAAAAAGTGTTGAGTACGATTTCCGAGAGGAGGAAAAAACCACATTGCAAAATATGCGCTTTGCGCTTGTCTTACCCTCTCGATGGCATTTGCATAATCTCCACGGTGACAGACTTCACGTATAAGTGATCGTTGCACCAGAAGAGGAGGCAAAGTGATCTCGGCTGAAGCACGTTCATCTCGTGTGTCCAATTCAGCTCAACCTTGAATGGCAAGAGAAGAAACAATAACATTTCAGCAGAGTGTGAGAAAAGGGCTGTGGATGCCTTGGAGCCACAGTTGCAGATTCTTCGAATTCTCCAGCAAGATTGGCACAAGAATTATGCAATAATCTGGTTTCCAATGCAAGATCGAATGCTGTTATTGATGAAGATGCATCTTCGTGTATAAGAAGGATTTTTCTCTCACCTTTCGAATGCGATCTCCCAAGTCATGAGGATTAGTGACGACCACCTGATATGTTGTTCCGTGTTCGAGCCGTGCTGTTCCTCTTGGGGTCAGATCAACACCCCTGACGGCTCCGCGGTCTGAGAAGATGGCCGCAGAGAGATATCCCTGCACCCAGGTCTCGGCGTCCCTCGGCTTGGCCAGCTCTATCGTGAATCGGTAATGACGCTGACAGAAGGGATAGTCCTTTCCCGTGGCCAGGAAGTATTTCCCAGGCTGTGGCGCCATTGGCTCACTCACATCAGACGGTATAATATCGTTCTCCGAGGAGTTGTGATGACCCGAAATGGGCATCGTGGCATGATATCCCATGTAAGCACAGTTCCCGGATGTGCACTTGAAGCATCTTCCGCTCAGGAAATGCTGATACGAAGGACACCGATGGGCGACATACGGACACTTTCCGTTAATGCTGTCGATGAAGAGTTTAATGGCTCTGACGTGGTTGCAGGCCAGAAGAACCCGAGAAGCCTCCTCGATGCCATCCTTGATCAAAGTGAGAGGAATAAGAGTGCCGCCTTCTTGAGACAGAGCGCATCCGGGCTGCTCCTTGCCGTTGTTGGGGAAAAAGTCCAGGTGACCGCAAGGCTGAGACATTCCATAGCCAGGAATCTCGAGGAGGAAGAAACTCCGTCCGTCTGTGTGGATGACATCGACGAACTGGGCGTCAGACGGATCCAAGCGCACGGAAGGACCCATTCCTTGAAAGTAGGGTTCAGCAGGATCAAGACCTAGGAACACAGGAAACGTTAATAGAAGATAGTATAAGGTGTTTTAGGCTATGTTTTACAGAAAAGCAAACGAGATTATTATTTCATTAATTCTGAGTAACTGTCTCTATATAATTACTCTTATTACGCCAATTAGATTAGAGCGCAATGCGTGGAATACTGCGAATACTGGAATAGAGTTTCAATTCCGTCAAGTTGATTTGAGACTATGATTTGAGGCCAGCTAATCTGGACTAACTACATATTTCACGATTTACTAAGAGATCCATCGAACTGCGCACCTGTTATCCGTCCAATTCCGGGAGTTCTCTCGGCAGCGTAAGCAGCTGTGTGAGCACCCAAGGAATGCCCGATCATGTGCACATCTTCCTGCAATAGAAGGTAAGAGTATGTTTAATTGAGTGCCAATTAATTTCTCTCTTGCCGATGTGGCGTCAGACGCGTACCATTCGCAAACCGGAAATCTCTTGCAGCTTCTTCAGCAAGTAAGCCAGCTCGAGGCCCACGAGTCTCGTGTTGGCGGTGGCCTGCAAGTAAGAAAAAAGGCGACTGAAAGTGGATCCACCGCGAGGCGCTGAGACATGGCATCTCACCTGGGTGTAAAGGGGCAGGGATCCACCGGCCCAGTCCACCACGATGACATTGAGATTCCCTCGCGCAATCAATTCGTCTCGCATCTCGGAGACCTGCAATGAGAGGCGCACATAAATTAGCCGAGCGCGGCTCCCTTCTGGGTGACTCTGGGGCCGCAGACTCTTGGGGACAGCGCGATGTGAGCAATTTGCGTTCCACTGACACCGAAACCACATCGCTAATTTATTCGACAAATCGCACGGGCAGAACACGGGCCTGCGTGTGTTAACGGTGCGATTCATGTGAAAAGTATGAAAATTTCACGACTGCTTTTCGCATTATATAACATTGTTAAAACACTAATTACACCCTGCCCAAAAGTTACACTGTTTGTTGTGTTTGTTCAATTGCTTGTCTTGTGTGTTCTTCTCCGCGGGTAAAACAAGTGAGAATTAACTGGACGACTTGTAGAATATGACCGAATGCTCGTAATATGCAAATCTGTTAGAGAGCATCAATTTGCAAGTCTTTCAAAATTATAACTTCATTAAATGGCAGTTAAATTAAATTCTTCCTCGTCATAAATGGATGTCATGGGAAGAAAATTAATTAATTTAATCGCATGTTTCGCTAGGCGTGAGTTGAACTTATAAATGGTTTAACGGTCATAATGGAGGTGAGATTTTTTGTCATTTGCATATAAGATTCAGCATTTTTGTCTTCGAGATTTAACCAACTCTTCATAATCACTGAAATAACAAAATATTACACTTATTGGAAACAATTGCATAGAGCATTCGTTATTTAAGACTAGAAGATAGCTCAATATTTTTGTAATAGCATTATTCCGCGTGTGAAACTTTCTTTTCTCTTTTGTCGTTCTTCTACAATATCTTTTTGTTTTGGCAAAAAAAGAATTATGCACAATGATAGCTGAAGATACAGAATTGCATAGATGGATGATGTAAAATTTATTTTTATGCTTTTTGATCCCACAACTTTTAGTTTAGTAGCACATGAGAAGTAGCCTTTAGAGTTGGATGACTCTTTCGTGCACAAGAAAATCTTGAATGTAAAGAAGCAGTTTTTCTGATCCGATCTCTCCTTGTAGGTAATCAATGTTGGATCGACAGGTTGATTCACCAAATTCAATATCAGCCACCAAATAACTCACCCAGTTTGAGAGTGGCGTGTCAATGAAGCCATGGATGATGATCTTGGTCATCCAATCTGCATTAAAATTTGACTCTTTGATGGTCTTTTCGTCCTCGGCGACAAGATTTTGCGACTGAAGTGGATTCTTTGGAGTGTAGAGATTGAAGCGTGTGTTGATGATGTTCCTGGGCAGTGGGAAGACATTGAAGGGACGGTGGATGAGGTGATACCATTCGCGTGTGATGTTGAGACAGCCAATTTCGCCGAAGCATCGCGTCTCGTTCTCAACTGCGGAAAATGCAGAAAGGAAATGGGGAGAGAGAAGGAGAAAATGAGAGTGATTCAATCTTCAAAAATCTCTCACACTCTTTTTCACAACATCTCCTGTCTTTTGGGCAATTAATGGGAAAGTTAAGCCGATCACGTTCTTTTTGCACACATGCAACATTGTTTTGGGAGAAACAGAAGGGAGAATGATGTTAAGAGCGGTAAATAGAATGAAAACACCAATTTGAGAGGTAATTAAATATCTTTATTGATTTTCCATTATGCTCCAAAGCCGAGGCGAAAGAGTCCGAATTATGGACACATTACACACCATTAATTGCGGGTGAATTGATTTTTTCTACCAATGAACCAAATTGAACTTGATTTTGAGGGGGCTTTAGCCGAATGCCATTTTATTTTGCACGTTGAATGCCAGACCTTTTGCACTAATGAATCGTGAAAATATTGTATATTGAAAAACATTACTTTCATCAATGTTTGCATCGATAAAACATGCATTATAATGATAATTATGCACGGACTAACAAGTGTTTCGGTCAATGAGAAAATGTTTAATTCATTCTCTTCTACGGTAAATACAAAAGCTCATCTGGAATCTCTTGCGTAGGAGGAGAAATCTTACTGTGGTGCTTCTTTGAAAGAATTTCCCAAGTCTTGCAGTCTTCTAATTGTTGGTGTATATAATTAACACAGCAATTGACGTCCCAAGAAAATCCAATAACATTCCTAGAAGTATTATTTTCAATTTCTTTCGCGAAAACTAAATAAATAAAACTCCGCAATGCGGTAGAAAGGTTTTAAAGAGTGAAATCTTCTGTTGGAATTCACCGTGTTTTTCTTCCCCACACACACACAATTTAACCGCAAGAAAGGAATATGTTAATTTTTTTTTTTTTCATAAAAAGCCCATTCTTTTTCATGCTCTGCGATCTTAATTAATTCAAGAGGTAAAACACCCAGCGATGATCGATAAATTTGCCGCGGTTTCGCGTCAGAAATTTCTCCACCATGAGAGATGATAATTTTTCTAACAAGTGTGTCAAGTGTGCAATTAATATACGTGTATTTTACTGATATTCTGCAATGAGTCCGCCTCTCTTTGCCGAAAACATTCAAAGACATTAGCCTCGACCAACTGCATGTTTTCTGTACAATCCCGATGAATTAACTTGTATACACGTATTTGCAATATAAAACAATATTGATGAAATTCATTAACAATTTCTTGCACAGCAATAAAGCGGTGTGGGTTACTTTGCATGAAGGACATGAATTCAAATGAGAGCATAATCAATGACTTTGGCACAGAAAGACATATAGAAAAGAAATTAGTGGCTTTGCGTGCTCGTGAAATACATTGGGAGGAGGGAAACTTACATGGCAACCATGGCAGATTAACGTCGATGGTTATTTTGTCGGCCCTGGCCCAGCTGAACGGATCCAGAGGGCCTCCCTTCACCGCAGAAGACGTCAAGCCCAGAGTCAATAGAGCAGACACATACTTCCACATCTTGATCCGACTGTCACTGCAATTGAGAGCATTTATTTTCCCTTAACATTATATAGAACAAACATAAGATCTTGCTTGACTCAAGCAGTTGTGGACCATTGATTTTATCATATATCAATTTGAAAGAAGAAGTACATATATTGTCACCAAACTGGGACACAGAAACCCACATAGAAATACATGTAATGACGAAATAACATAAAGCCATAGTTGACAAATAAGAGATAAATTCACGACTTCTATAATTAAGTCCTCTTCCTATCAATTCATCTTTATAGTTCAGATATAAAATGTATGTATGCAAAAGCTAATTGTACCTGAAATAATCACCATGCAAAGAGAATAATGAACTGGATTATCTGTATCATAAACATGAGTGCAACTTTAGCTAAAATGATGAATCAACCTTGCCTTTTTAGTGCGTAACTTATCCAGTTGGAAAAGAAGCTCAGTAGCAATTTGCCGGTTGCAACAGCAATTGCTGTAAGTGTAATATATCTTTTTTCGAATTCTCTGCGACTGCCTTATGATTTACAACAAAAAGATTGAGAAATGCACTAAAGAAATCTCATTTGTCAACAAGAAATCCAGCAGAAAAGTACAGAGTTCAATGAATTGTTGTATTTTCTCTATATACACGCCAGAAGCTGACTTCGAAGGCATTTCTAAAAATCATCCAATAAAGAGATCAATTTTATGGACATGTGAATAGTCATGTTTTATTCGAGAGCAAGGTGGTCTCGAAGGTGGCAATAAAAAGAGGCTCATCTTAGAGACAATTTCAATGTCTGATGCGTGCGACGTTGAGCCTCTCCACGCAATAAAGGCGTGATTGCACGTACTCGAGAGTTCATATTAATATCTCTATGCATTTCCATACGCGCACACTTCACATAATGTAATATCTTTTATCGTGACAGAGAAGAAGGGGCAAAAATTTAAATTACTACGTCTATGGGTGTAATTTGAATGGGTTGTGCGACATGACGGCAAAAACTTTCTTCCAAAGTCACTGGCGAAAGAAATGTTGAAATTTATCATGTGCCTCATAACTCCCATGATCCCTCGAAACTGGCAGGCGCACAATAAAGAATGTGAATTTATTGTGCACTTCCATAAAATTGCGCTGCGGCTGACTGTGGAGATAGCCGAGCTAACATGTAGTACAAATAGTTAATTTGATGGGTATCTCAAAGAGTGGATTAAATTGATACTTTGGATGGTTTCTTTCCGTTTCCCACATGATGAGGGATACTCGAGCATGTTGCTGTTATACAACATCAATTGTCTTCTTCATACATGTCGCTTTTTTTTCGCCGCCCCGTCATTGTGCCAACGCGAGGGAAAATGTGCTCATTTTGAAATCCATTACATTATTTATCAATTAGACGATAGGCGAAAAGAGAATAATCGAACAATGTGTCAAGAGGTGAAAATACTCCAAAGATCAACATTTTTCACAGTTGCCCCATTACGATTATGTCGTGTTTGCACGAATAATCATAGTATTTCTTCAGATTTGTCCTGAAGTTGTCGTAAGCATTTTATCGACTAATTAGACGCAGACCTAGATTATACATTGTTTCAGTTAGCTTGTGAAGAAAAAGTTAATTCTATAGTACTGCTTGCTAGCGTATAAATGTACCCTGTGAGCTGCCAATTGTCTTGAAACAAATTGTCACGAATAATTAAACTCCAGATACATTTCTTGTGATCATGAGTGCAGAACTAAATAAAAAGTCTTATGCAAATGTTTTGACTAGACAAAAACAAATATTCTAAATAAAATTTATGAAATTGTACTTGTTTTTCACCTCTGCAAAACAATTCAATACATATAATATCATTGTATTATTTCTAGCAATTAACGTAAATTTATTGCCACCACAAAATCATTATTTTCCTTTAGACGTTACAAGAAAAAAAAAAATATCTTTAAGTAAGAGTGCTGAAAAACAATTTATCTTTAATTGAACGTCTTACTGATTCAACGCAAAAACATTCAATTTATTTGTATTGAACATTCGTAATACTCATTCAATTACATTTGCAAGAAAAAGTAAATGTTATATTATACGTATGTGTATTACATTAAATGTTATAAGTCAGTAGCATTTGCACAGTGTCTTTCGGACAGTCATCATAATCGTGAGGCTTTTGGCTATCGCCTAAGAAATCTTTGAAGAATCATTTCGCGATGTGGCATATGGTGGGTTTTGTGGAGTTAACGGGAAAACCATATGCCTGGAAGTTGTATTGCGATAGCTGCAGTTTTCCACAGCAACCACTCACCATGCGAGCGTGTATCTATATCTCCTTGATCAATGAGGAAGTCAATTTGATTGAAACAAGAAGCAAAAGTCGTGGAAACGGCGAAAGAGTGAGAGATGGAATGCGTTCATGCGATGGAAATGCAAGAGTTGGCATGCATTGTGGCTGAGATTAGGCACCGATTTGCGCACTCTGCCGAAGAATATTGCACGTCGCCGCGCTAAAAATTGCATTGACACACTTTGCAATCGAATGTCTCTCACTTTAATCACCACCTCAACTGCATCTCACAATTATTCATGCTGGCATCGCTGTCCATTGGGACACTCAATTCGCTGACCACAGTGAGATTTTATTTAGATTTGCAATTAGCAATGTGTAGAAAGAGTGTCGTGAAGAAATCGCGCGAAATGCGGCGTGTGGGTCTCTTTTTCACACCATATATTCCACCTTGATGGTGAAATGCTCTCCGTGAACTTACGTGCAATCATTTAGGCAAAAGTTGTCACTGCTGCTGCAATTGCTCGATGAACTGTTTATTAGTCGATAATGGGTGGTATGATGAATTTTTCTGCTTCTCCAGTTTATAATAGGTGAATTTCTACTGCAATACTTTATTTACTCTATATATGGCACAATTATATAATCCACTGCTAAGACGATATTCGATCACTTTGGGTGTTTTATGGCTCTGCACACACAATACTGCCACAGTCCACGGAGGACTGACTGACGAAAAGGCATCCAAGTCTGATAAAACAGTGGCGATATTTGTCCAACAACACTTCGGTCCACTGTGCTTCTTATGCCGTGCTGATACCTTCTTGGACACCACACTTGGCAAATCGCCCGAAAATACCGTTGTCAAACTCACACGCGAGAAGTCAGGTGATTACTCACCTGTATGCAATGCCTAACTAAATATTTTCTTGCGCCAAGACTCCGTTAGTACCACCACAAGAGCTCCGGCCGAGAGGTAGGGAGCTGTGGGAGTGTTGGTTCAGCTCTCTTTCATTGCTCACGCTTTTGCCATTTTTCCCTCGACTTCACCGCGACTGCACAACTTTGTCACACATTCGCGAGAGCAGAAGAAAGGTAATTGTTTCCACCGAACACCTCTTTTTCACTGCATATCACCAAATAGCCAATGCAGGCATTCTCCTGTCCTATCCTTTCGGTGGGAGACAGACAGAGAAAGACACTTTCTTAACTTCCTCTCGTAAATCTTACAGCGATTGCCGGAGCTTTTTTTCTACCACAGAAACATCGGAATGCGCTGGAGAGGCGCGACTGAAGGGGATGCTTTAATACGCCATTCATTTTCTACACACTTCACACATACAAGTGGATATTTTGCAGAAAGCTTTAGCCTCGACTTTAGCTTTGATATTTGAGAACAAGGTAGAATTCGCTTCAAGTGAAATGCAAACTGTCCTCAATGAAAATCACCGAACAACTATGACTCATGTCTTTCCAATACAACAATCAATTTTTCCGTAACAAGATTGAAGTAAAAGAAATGACCTTCAACAAATGAATTGAATTCGGACAAACCTGATAAAATCATTAGTCAACTCGTAAGAACAAGAGAAATGAAGCTTTTTTAGGACAAATTCTCTGTGATTCAATTGTTTATTGCACTAGCAATAAAAAAAAAGAAAATTTCAAAGTTCTATGTATTAAAATATTGGTCAAAAAACCCCCATTTTGCTACACGTAATTTACCATCAATAGATAGCTCTGCATGTGCGACACGGTGAAAGTTTGTTGTCTGCACAGTGCAAGACGCGACGCCACCGTGAAGAAGAGTGGCATGCGATGGCACATGTATTGTATGTATACACATTCTGGGCTCAGGCGCGACATTTAGCTCCCCAGGGGCTCGACCTGCTGAAATACGTATCCATACATTCGCGCCGCCACCGTGGGGGTGATCGCGAGGAATTTCTGCACCCGGAGTGGCGCCGTGTTGGCCAAAAAAGCTCAACTCGTCAGCAGATTCCATCGCAAGCTTATGTAATTCGTGTCTCGCTCAGCCGCTTTGGTGAGAAAGATACACAGAGCAAAGGTAGTGACACCGAAATATGAGGTGGCCAGTAAACACATCATTTATAGAATTAAAGAGCATTTAAATATTTCACATTAATCAGCATGTGCTAATCAAGTTATGTCTCTCTGAACTAATGGACAACTTCCACTTTGCCGGAGTCGTGCTCTTGTGTAAATACGGTGAAGAAGAAGAAAAACAGCGGAAGTGTAAGGCCGTTTGATTATATGCCAGCACATACAATATAAAGTTTTTTGCTCCTTATATACGCTTGTCAGACAGTTTAGGTGTACTGGAGCAGTTGGCTGAGACTGTATTTCTTCGCGTCCAAGCGGTGAGTTCCACTATTTGGGGCTCTATTGCAAAAATGGATGTACGAAATTATTATTATATCTTGTTGAACTTTGTTCTACATCATATTTCCACCCCGATTTGTGTCATTTGAGCCATGTGTCGGCACGTCTCTTGATATTCACCGCACGCTCTCTCGCCACTCCATGCCTTCAATGTGTGATTTGAAACACCTCCTTTGCCGCAAATTGATCATTATCCACATGTTGAATGAATAATCATCGCATACGAGTGAAATAATCGTGACTTTTTTCTCAAATACCTTTTTCACAATTATTTTTTTACTGTGATTCTTCAGACCAAAGATTCACGAAAGTTATGAAGTGTGATCAAACTGCATAAATCAATCTCATAACATGGGAGAGAGATAAAAACGACCTTCACTTATCTGATAAAACACGAAGAATTTCAAATTATTATTACACACAAATATTCCATTCATCTTTGTCTTTTTACTACTATTCCATTATAAGAAGAACCCAAGGATTTTTCTAATGCAGAAAACATGTTTCAAAAAAGAGACACTGTTTATAATTAAAAAAAGACTTCTTGTTTGTCAACAAAATGTGGATTTTTCTGTAGGAAGTAATTCTATTATATTAATTTGCATGAAAATTTCCGTTTAATTTCACGGATGACGCTTTCAGTCTTGTATGCAAATCGTATGGACAAAATTCTTCTTATAGTTTTACTGCACTGAAATTTAGTAAAAGAAATTCTACAAAAAAATATTTCCGTGAATTTGACATTCTCTATTAAACTAAATGCTTTTGCTAATAGAACATAAATTCATTTTTTTCTACGCGAGGATGTATTTGTTGTAAACATATTGCTAGCTTTCTTTCTGTGCTACTTCTGCAAATATGCGCAAACTTTATTCTCAACGAACCACAAATGTGCAAAAATCAAAGAACCCCATATTGCATACATTTTGGCGTTTATTAATTCAAATGCATCTACATCAGCAACGACTTCTCCTCATTTTCTCTTACATCTCATACCGGCTATATACAGACATCGACCGAAAAATCGGTGCAGTGTAGAACTAAAATCTTGCATTACAAATAGGAGTAAAATTTAGCACATTATCTCTCTACAATTTCTTCATGCGACCCTGTCTGGCGTCCGTCACAGCTCCCCAGAGTTCAATTATAAAATCATCTGTAAATCCAAATGCCTCCAAGTCCGATGCATCAATTGCTTCAGCAAAGTCCATTGAATTCGTTTTGTTGCAGCCCAAGTCCCAAATCTGGACGTGAGAAGAAAAAAAGAGAATTTTCAGTTAATATTGATTGAATGTTAGACATTTTTGGGGTAGAGAAATGGGCACAAATATTATAGAAATACTCACCTGTGAGGCAAGTTCTGCATCATTAATCCCCATGAAAGAGTCTAGAAGTGCGTTGATGGCATCAATTCCCGCTTGAGCTGCTTCATCGCGCTTCATGGGAAGAGAGAAGATGTGTGAGAAATGTTATAAAAGCTTCAATTTTCTTCACTTCTGTTGAAATTGTCATAATGCCTGAGATTTCGACATAATATGCCTTATGTTATGATTTTAAATTGGAGAAAATTTTATGATCTTGAGGTAATTTTTGAATGTTTTGTATAAAACCTCTTGTATTTCTGTATAATTCAATTAGACCTGCTGTCAATTTATTCATACCAATGAAGTAAAATGGAAATAATTTTTTTCACTTTACTTTCTTCCATCTCGAAAAATGTTAAGCAATGTTTGGAATGTAAGCATTTCGCGTTGTGAGTGTATATTTTTAACGAGGCGAATGATGATTACCTCATCCTCGATGGCTGCGCTTCCGTTGGACTTGAACCTCAGAGTCTCCTTCCCAGTTCCATAGCCCTTCGATTTGCCCATCTTTCCGCCGCCGGCTCGCGGCCCGATGCCCTGGAAGCCACTCGTCATGGGCTCCACGAGTCGCAGTGTGAATGTCGTCCCTGTACTAATATCCTTGAGCATCCTGGCCACTTCGTAGTGCCTCTTGCCGACCACATTCACCCCGTCCAGACGCTCGATGTGATCCCCAATTTTGATGTGGGGAATTCGATCGATGACACTGCCCTCTCTTATCCTCTTGATGAACGCATATCCTGCGCCATTGTCAGTGATTGTCAGCCCCAGAGCGTCCTCGGACTTCTCGATCTCTATCTCTTTCGGGCGGCCCTTCCGGTGTGCGAAAATGAAGTCATCCAGCCCGATCTGACCTCCCAGCAGCTTCGACATGTCGATTTTGTGGGAATTCAGTGTGCAGAAGAGAATCTGAAATTCAGTCGCAGAGAAAAAAGCCATTTACTCCATTATGTTCAACAATGCTTTGAATGCTTTCCCCTCCCATTCAGCCTCATCACCAGTGTCTGTTTTCCATTGAAAAGTACAACGAATAATTGGTAATAAAATGAAAATTGCCGCAAGCACATAATAGTAGTACAAATAATACAAATAAATCTTTCTAAATTCTTTGGCTCTGATGCGGTATTTCTTCCTTCTTCTTCCCCATTGCAGCTCGTCTCCTCCAGACCACAAAAGCCACCATCAGTGTATCAACATGAGAACAATTCACAATCACCTGTCTTTTCATAGCACATGCTATTTTCTGTGCTATCTACGCCCCTCCACTTTTATTTTATTGTCCAATCTCGCTCAACACGCACTGGATGGAGAGATAAACACTTAATCTATTCGTTTTCTCAACTTCCTCAAAATTCCTTACTCCTCGCACAGAATAAAGAGAGGTTTATTGACTTTAGGACAATATCTTCAAAAATAAAAAAGGAGAAAAGCCTCAGAATTATTGATTTCATCCTGCAATTTGTGTGACGAATAAATGTATTGATTCATACAATATGACTCAGTTCAAGTGTCTCAATAAATCATGGCAATTGAGCACAGCGTTAAGCGAAAATATAAAATTTAGGTACATTTTTACATAATAGATGATTCACGTATCTAAGTATTATCTTTCTTACATCAAAATTGCTTTCAATTTGAACGAAAAATTGGATTTTTTCAGTAGAATGAGAGAATAGTTCATTTTCATTCGTTTGACCTAATAAAACACATGTAATGATGGCAGAAAACTCATCAATTCGGGAATAATTTGTTATCGATTTCCTGCAAGCCTTGAAAATATTCAAGAAAACCGTCTGAAAGTATAATGGAGACGTTCCAAAATATCTCAAAACGTGACACTTAGCGTGCGATCATTGCTTGAGCGCTAAGATCAAGCTTGTCACATTGTCTCTCAGCTTTCGCCCCTTTTTCTCTCCTATACAGAAAAATTCATGTTGAACACATAATGCGTTATGTGTTAGAATATATCGTATGTTTTTATTGTATTTAGTCAGCGGTGCGAACCGCGTGTTGCTGGGAAAACAATTGGAATTTTGAATATTTTATGTACCTCAAATACATTACATTACGACTGCGGGGAAGAGATAGACAGAATTAGAATGGAGAGTTAAAATTTCCATGGTGTTTATAAACCTGGAATGGGAGTTGAAATGTTGCTGCATTTAATAGAATTCCACTCTGCGTCAACTCATCGCAATACATTGTGGAGGCAATCGCGATGGCTTCGAGGAATTTTAGTAACAACATGACAATTTTGAAGGAGAGGAAATTGCCGCAGGAATGAGGGAAATAAGTGGAACATTAACAATTTAATCAGCAGTTTGTTATCTAGCGAGAAGACGTGATAAGAGCGAGTCTATTGTCAATGCGGGAGTTATTTTATCTCTGAATGACTCTCTTATTGTTGAAAATTGATTTTTTAACCACGAAAGACTCACACAAACATTTTCTCTACCCTTCTTTATTGCTCTGTGGAAAATATACCATTATCAGTACCGTGCAAAAGATGAATCAAAGCAGTAAATTACGCTATTGTTCGGAATATACATTGAAGAGGTAATTATTTAAAAGTTTCTTCATTAAAATAATATATGTATTAATTCATCAGCTGAAAATAACAAAAATTAACGATTTTTTAACATTGCTGAAAATTAAGGAAAATTTACGAGTGTTTAAAAACTTGTTTCTATAATTACTAAAATATTAATTCTTTGAAAGTTGTATTAAACTTTGGCGTTGTGAATTTTGGTAAAGTTTTCTAATAAATTATTTTATCATTTATCTTCTTCACGCGCTCTTTTACGAGTAAAAGGAAAAATTTACATACACAAATTCACCTTGTGCGAAAAGTATATTAACAGTGTGGAATCGTTTTGGTTTGGTGAAAGAATCAAGCACAAAATCTAAAATTAATTTATTCAATTTCAAATATTGGTTAATTTTCCAGCAAACTTACTCTTGATTAGCATGAATAAAAGACCCTAACCTTTCGTTTTGCACACTAACATTGCAACAATATTTTCCCATATGAAATAAGATTTCGTAACTTCATGTCAATTGTTAAAGTAATTATTAATTCAGTTTTCTGTGCTAATTTGTTTACTTATGCATGATTTGTTGAAATGTATAAATTATGGTAATAAACTTCTGCACATTTCATTGAAAAAACATGCACGAAAATAATGAAATGAAGCAATCTTCATCTTAAAGTGGCATCTAAAAGCTCAACCCATAAAAGCCATTTCTGTTTCCTCTAATATCCCCACTTGAAGATATAATATAGAAATTTTAAATCGGCTCGCCAGAATCAACCTACATTCAAAGCATCGGCGTTTCTCATTGCTGCGTGGAAATGAAATGGCTCCGCGCGGGAAGAGGAAGAGCATGTACAGTTCATTCACTCTCTCGGATGCAAATTTCAACAAATGGATCATGTTATAAGGCGGAAAAGTGCTGAAGTGTTCGTTGATGGGTGAAACTTTTTCTGTGTGATTGTTAAATACCACGTTTTTTAACAAAAATACTCTAACTGTTCAAAATTTTTCTCATAGTCAGCACGATGTAGTTTCATGTTTCTTCACGAGTAGTCTTTTATGCGAGAAAGTCTCTTCTCTCTCTCTCTCTTTCGGTGCCTCAGCACCGCAATCTGGAACGTCTTTTGCCAGAGACCACAAAAATATACTTTATAGAACGCGGAAATTCAGCAATAAAATGACCATGTAAATAATTGCTGGAGTATAAGAGACAAAAGCACTCATTTCCCAAATTGCTCATGCAATTGTAATGTTATATAAAATGCTGAGCTTTTCCCCGGTCAAAGGGAGAATTTAAAATTTATATATCACTTCACTCTAGGCGCTGAAAAGTGTTTTATCGGCATTTTAGTAAATTATTATTGTACCATCGTCAATAGTGCGTGTATGAAATTTCACAGCAAGGCCAATTTAAAAATTGAGCGAACAATGTACAACTTAATTTATTGCATACAATCTCTGAATGTACATCGTCTTCGCAGAGAGAAAGATTCACTCGCAGAGTCATGAATTTTCATTGAGATCTTCAATTTGCTTCAATTATACAACCGAGTAAGCTTATCAAAATGGATCTTTACTGTCTGCGAAAGACTTTACTCTCTGCAACCACCGTGAAATATTGATGCACACTGACGCAGTTTATTATGATTTATTGGATTTACAGGCTGTTTTATCATTTCGTACACGAGTCTGTAATAATCCAAGGCGAAAAATTAATGTACTCCCCAAAAGGTGTGCATCTACAGACTATGAAAGTAAGCAATTACAATGCGCTATTTAGAATCCCAAAGCAATGGAATGATAATTAGCATGTAATTGCTAATCTACTTTCAATGAGTTGCATGAAGAAAGATAAGCCTAATTATGATTTTCATTTCAAATATACCAAATCAACAGTATAACCATCTTATAGAATACTAGAAGCGAATTCTTCGCCGACTTTTGCCCGCAGTCTTCTTACGTCTTGAGCATTTACCTCATATTATATCACTGCGCGTGTCAGGGTTGAGGAAGAAAGAGAAGGGGGAAAAGTGTATTTAATGCTAATCCAAGTGATCACGTGTCTTTGCGCACGTGAATTTCTCTCTCGATGGAATCAATGAGCATTTTCTGTGCCGCAAGAACAATAGAGCGGCACAGAAGCGAAGGAGATCACCCTGTAATGTGTGAGGTATAAGTTGTGAGGTTTTTATCTCTAAACTGACATTGATAGAGACACATGCAATATCACCACTATATAGTTCTCACTTAACATTTCAATGGCACCGCGATAGCTGGCGAAAGTTTCCACACCTTTGGACTGATAAAGCTGGCTTCAAAGTGAATGCTCTTTGCAACATTCGCAATCGGACATTTTCCACTGGAATTTATTGATCAATGTATTGCAATTTATTGGCTATAAAACCACTACCAACCAAGCTTGAGACATAGTGAGAAAATTAAGAATCCAAATCCGCTGGTGAGTGTGAAACATCGCTCCGAATTGTCACTTCCAACATATTTGTGCAATGATTTTTCCAACTAAACTGTATGGTAGCTATCAGATTACCACGAAAACTCCAATAGCGTATTTTTTTCATTTATAACCCATTATTCACTGATAAGGAAACTTCACACCTTACACGTTTTCACAATGTATTTTCACCTCTGTGCGCTAATCGTCTTAAACTCTGTGTTGAAAAGTGTCCTATTACTGGAAGATCCGTTTGTAGAAGCCACTTAAACTAGTTCAAGAGGCTTGACCACAAAGTGGAACTGTTGAATGAAATCCGATACTTCGACCGTGACCCCCTAACTCAACAGACACCAATAGTTAAATTTTTCGTTAGCTATGAGCGCAATGTGAGCAAAGTTTGCAAAAACCGTGTTGTACAGGAAGAGAGATTTCGAACGTACCTCATCGGTTGGGAAGTCGTAGTACTCTGCGATTTTTTGGTAGAGCTCTTTGACGCTGGAGAAGCCCGTTATGAAGCCCGTGGGGCTCCCGTGGGCCAACTGGCAGTGGAACATGAGCTGCACCGGACTGGTGGGACTGGGCGGCAGCGGAGGCTGCGACTTGATCTCACTCTTGGACCCATTGGCCGGCTGAGGCAGATGATTAGTCGGGGCCTGCTGTGGATGCACTGAATTATTATTCTCGTGGTACTGGACCGGTTTCACGGCCTTCTTGTGGAATAACGGCATGTTCGCGATCAAGGTACTATTTTCGATATGACACTTTTTCCACCAAACAGATCTTCCAACGGATGTCGCACTCAATTCACAAAACAGTTTTTGCTGCACCTGGCTGTGACCCTCGCAGCACAGACTTTTTCCTCCGCCTGAGCCTGATTCGCCTGTCTATTGTCTGCAATAGCAATTTCTGATCCACACAGCACATTAATTGTGAATAGACGAATCGTGACTGCTCGTAATTCACCTGCGGAGCCTCACCGAATGGAGAAACGATTGGAGAACACACACTTGTCCAGAATTTCGATTCACATCATCAATTTGAGTGTGAATTGGCGCACTGATAAGGTCGCAACATAAGCTCCACACAGAGGCTCCTCAATAGTCCAATATCAGTGGAAATGCGGGACACAGATAGAGAAAAAATGCGATATCTTTCGCCTTTTCATGACACGATCGCGCTGCACTCGAGCCACAACAATTTTCAATTAAGCAGAAATTAAACTCCACTGCCGAACAGTTATGCAAAATCGCATTTACAGTTCCGTGAGCGCGTTCCACCTGTCGTGGCTTAACAAAGATGTACTTCGCACTGACGCAAATTCAACACTCTCACGCCAGCGAAAATGTTCTACCCGCGCATTTCGAGCCCGATGATCGTCGTTCGTTGACTGAAGCGTCTGTGCGGAGAGACCAAGAGCCAGTGTCTGGCTTGGAACTTTCCAGTCGCGGTCTCTGATTCGCTCTCGCGATGCGAAAGGGGCTATCAAAGGTGAGATTGGAGTACAAACACACGGTTTCGTCAGAGCTCACATTGTGAACAATTTAATCACGCTCTCTTCAGGTATTTTATTGATAAATTCTGTCACTTCAGAAGCTGCTGTATCTCCTTCACTGCAACAATAAACGATGATCACAGACACACAGGACATAAATTCAAAGATCTTTAGTGATTACTTACTTCCGAGGTAATTGAGAAAAAAATTCCATACTGCAATTTTCTTCAAGATACAACAAACGAAAATTTCTGTCAAACCTTTTATTGCTGTCCAAATGCTTTAATTTCTATTGATTCAAGCTGGAAAAGCGACAGTTTTCGTATCCAAAGTGCATATCTAGATGGAAATCCTTACCATAAATAGACACAAAATAGAAGCACTTTCACGGTCGTCGTTTCCGGAACCAAATACACACTTCCAAAAATGCTTTGCCTCTTTCCATCGGCACAAGAGAGGGCATTTTCCCATCCACACAGCTCTGTGTCTCGCTTCCAAGGCACTGAGAGAGCTCTCAGTATTTCACTTCATTAGATCCATTACCGTGCAATTTGTTCACCCAACGAGGTAAGATCGAGAAAAAGACTGTTCTTGCTGCTACATTGCGTTCGTGATCATTGACTGATGGATGATTCTTGCACACTCAAAATCCCTCCTGAGACAAATGCCAATTCTCCACACAAACGGAAAAATTAATTACAAGCACTTTGTTAAAGCACACAGAAGTAGTACACAGAAGGTCAACGGTTTTGCAATAGAGAGAGAATATATACGAAAGTGGTGGGTCGAAAATGGTGGTGATCGAGAAGATCTATCAACAAAATAGCACAGGAAGAGAGAAAAAGATGCATGTTAAACACAATAAGTACACATACGATTTATTATTATTCTCATTTTAATGCACACGAGATGCAGTTAAATGTTTTTGCTTGCTTTATATACTCATAAATATATATATTTATATTTTCCATATAATATATATATTTACTCCTCATCCTCATCTATGATCGTGTCCTTTAAATGTTTTTTTTTGCTCTTTGTTCTATCTTCATCTACTTTAAATATTCACATGATCGATGATGTTCAGTGACTATTCTTACATGTTTTCCTCTTTCCTCAATCTCTTGTTCGATTTTCCTCTCAACACACACGCCTTCTGATCTTCAATTTGGTTTACTGAGAGATCTTGGAACTTTTCAAATTTATTTATTTCGCTAAGCATTTTTACTTTACTCTTGTTCTCATTTTGTTCCATCAATTATATAGATTTTTTGTTTATCACACACACTGTATTTTTCCTCCTTTGTTCTCTTGTTTAGGATTGTGTTTTCAGTGTGCAGTTTAATTTTTTTTTTATTGGTATCGAAAGTCAATACTCTGTTCCTCTTTTTTCAATTATTTTCTCACATTTTTTTTGTAAAGAATTTTTTTTTAATTAAGAATTGACATGAATATATAATTACTTTGCTGCAATATTTTATTATAAGTAGAAGTATTATAGAAATTTTTGTAAGTTTTGCAATTTTTTCAAATGTTTTCACTTGTTAATTAATGATTTATTCTTTTCGTCGCTGCTTCTCCTTTTTATCATCTTTTCACCTTCTGAGAACATAAAAATTCTACAATTTCATCAGATTATATATATTTATGTATATATTTATATATTCCTTTTTTAATAACCATGTGCAAGTATTTGAACGATAAGAACCGACAATAATAAATCATTTTATTTTTGTATTTTTCTCATTTTTTTTAATATGAAGCTTTTTATATACTTGAAGATTAAATGCTTTTTCTGTATATTTCTGATTTTTTTTATCTCACAATATAGCTTCAAATTACATTATTTAACGATGGGCTCTTCTTGTGATCCTATTCTCACTTTATTAAGTAATTTTAATATCCTATTAAATTGTAATGTTCTGTCTTCAATTCAATATAATATTTTTCTTAAATTTTTTTTTTATAATTTTATCATCTTGAAAGCTTAAAAATTTTTCACTAGTTGTTTATATTACACTACATTTCATCTAGGTTGAATATTGTTTTTCAAATTGTACACAAAATTATTGCAACGAAAAAATTCAGAAATTATTTATACTGGTTTTTCTTAATATGTTTTGAGAAAAAAAAATTGTCGAAAGTGAAAAAAATTAATGGGATATTTATGAAAAATATTATACATTCTCTTAATTTAGAAATGTAATTTAGAGAAACAAACGAAAAATCGCATTAGGTTTGATTGTATTATATTATTTATGGACTTGTGAAAGATAAATTGGAAGTTGTTTGACGTCCAATTGTCCAAATAAATATGACGTTGACAAATGTTAGAGAATAAATCATAATCTTATACGAGTTTCATGGCATTTTGCTTGTCCGATAAGTTCTGAATTTTACATTTAGTTTTAGAGATTAATCACAATTGCTCGAAGGAAAAAAACTTTTACAGTTACGCGAGACATTGAAAAGGACAAAAAAAAATATGCAAAATAATGAGTCATGGAATTATTTATAAATGGTTTTGCTTGGACTCTAAATATGAACACATAAGTTATTAACTATTATACAAAAATTGTCCATTTTCACCTACTGAAGAACAAATTTTACATTAACTTCACAATTATAATCAATTAGCATCGTTTTTTAGGGGAAGACAAAAATTGCAGAACGAAATACAAACTAAACGCACAACTTAACACTGGCTAATTGTTTTTTTTTATACACTTTACAATAAATTTGGTGTCTCTTTTTTTTGTAAGAAAGTCATCAACAGATTCTTCTACTCACTTTCTTTTTTTTCCCCACTTCTAAATGTTTAACTTTCAATTTCTTGTCTATTCTGTATAAATTTCTATAATTATGAAAATTTTCATCTTCAATTCTGCAAATTTTTTCAAAACAAAACTCATTGTAAATCGTGAGAAATAAAGAGCAACATAAACAATTAATCGAATCATTATTTTTTTCGTGTCATTCCTCAGTACAACAAGTAATTTGAACTTAATTCTAAATTATCGTAATAATGCAAATTAGCGCAACATGACACATTAATAACCATTTTAGGACGAAATATTATTCAGAAGTTGGTTCTCTCTCTCTTTCTTGCTATTGATTCATCGATATACCGAAAAGGGCCTTTATGTATTTTATACATATTGCTGTCCGTTGTGTTTCTTTAATATTTAGTTTTCTTTAAAATATGATATGGTTTCATTTACCTTGCTCTATACAGTACCTTGAGAAATTAATATATCCGTAGTTATTGATAAAATTAGGCAACTGTTCAAAATCTCTATAGTATTTTAGAAAACAGTTTATATGGTCTTATGTTGAGTTTTGGAGTTTTCACCCTAAACCCGCTTGAGTGTGCTAAAGTGAAATGCTCCTGCGAATACCCAAAGGAAAGGAGATCATTCCTGTTTTAACACTAGGTTTACCAAAATAAGTAATTTTATGCATCACCTTGGAGGCAGGCTATATTTGGACAGATTTTCATTCATTTTGATTTATTCAGTGGCATTTAATATGTGTTTATGGACTGTTTTTGATTACTCTACATTAGTAAACACTGTCTTTATTTAAGATTACATTTGTTTTAAACAAACCTTAAGCACTGATCTCAAATTTTTCCTAACATTCCAACTTTAAGAAATAATTGTCATAGCCGGAAACCATGTCCAAATTCTGCTGATGAATTTATTCATGAAATTCTCCAAATTTTCTACTTAAAATCACATATTTTGGTAAAACCATATGTAGAAGAATTTTTCGGTAATTCCGCAATAATAAAAACCAAGGAAAATGCAAATGACTTCAAAATAGTGTCTCATTTCGACGAGCTAACTTTTGAAATATTTCCCACAATCTTTCATTTGACCATCTACTTTTATTGATAGCTCGAAGAAATATGCTATTTATTTGATATATTCTTTCGCGCTAAGTAGAATTAGAAAAAATTAATCGTGTGTCAACTGCCTTTGTAAGGTGCGATTTGTATTTCTGTCTCAATATTTAAAATAAAACTATGTTTTCAGTATGTTTCTATACTCTGTTTCACTGTGACTAGAATTTAATCTACATATATCATGTATCTAATGTCGTGATGAAACATCGTAACTCCATTCTCTCTTTTTAAATCATTCAACATTGATTACTGTCGTAACGAAAGAGATACAAGAAATGTGTGTAAAAAAAATATTATGAAACTTTCCTCTTTATTCATATTTGCTCTATGATTATCGATTTTCCGCACTGTTAGAATTTTTCTCGATTTTGTAGCATTTCTCTTCCTCTCCCAACATATTTAGTGTCCCAGAAACTCAATAGTTTCAGTACAAGAAGTGTCTGTATTGTTTGTAGTTTAAGAACAACTAAGATTACACATGACTGCAAAGGAATTTCAACTAATAAAAATTCACTACACTTCGCTTCTTTTTCACGTCGTTTGCTATCCATACCATGAAATTTACATCATTTTTTTCTGTTTTGTCTGCTGTTACAATAAACATGAACTCCTCAATATTATGTCCTCAAAATGTAAAATTTATTAAATATTGTAATAAATAATGTTCTATCATCTAATTTATATATACTTCTTTTCATTTATTTAAATATAAATTGAAGATAAATGTTATCACACATCTTCTTGAACTGCTTCCCTATCTTATAGTTCCAGAAAATTGAATCCTATATAACTAATTTTCTTTGATGCGTTATGGTATAATTTTTCCCATTTTTTTTTCTTCTCTCTCAATAATTCTGTGAGCGAAAGACATCCATGTAATTGCATATTCAATGAAATGGCAGAAAAAAGGAATTACACTTTTTATAATTTCACTCTCTTTTTTTCTCAAAAAGAAACAAAGACAATTTCGCTCAATTTTCCGAAATTACAAATAGTGTAACGTCGTTTATATAATTTTATCATTTAGGTATTACTTTTTTCTCATTAAATATATATCATATTATTGCTAAAACGCATCTTCTCTCTGTTTCAATTTCTTTTCATCTCTCTTTTTTTTGTTGTCTCATCTCTAATAATCAAAAAATCACTACAATCAACTAAAATTCATTTTTCTCTTTCTTCCATTTCGTTCTTCTTCTCCTTCCAAAAACGGGAATTTTCAAATTAATCAAAGAGCATAAAACTCCTCCTTTTGCCATGCTCTTGAAATGACAAACACATCTTCTACAGCCGTCATCTTCACATCACACATTTTGCGTGTTAATGTGTAAATTAGCTACAAATGAGTAAACGAATGGAATATCATTAAAATTTATAACATACTACATCCTCTTTTCCCTTCAATTTTCCAAAAAACAAACCGAAAAACATATCACTTCACTCCTCAAAACAGTGAGCAATGGCCCAATGATTGAAAACAAAGTATTTCTTTCTTTTGTCTCTTTTTGTCGAATGTGGTTTTTATTTTTTTAACTCTTTCAACACGAAGATATCCAATTGTGATCTCAATGTGATGGCGAATTCAAAAGCCAAAATATCCGGCTATCGTTGCGGCAATGATAATCAAAAGGATGCTCAAACAGACCAAAATAATGATCTTCTTCTGTCGAATTGAATAACACAAGAGTTTCAGTATATAGAATGCACAGCAATTTTGGCTCACAAATTTTCACAATATACAAATATATACTCTTTGCGATGGTGATTCAAAAAGAAAAAAAAAACAGAAGGGACAAAAAGTGTTGTACAAAAAGTCTACGGAAACCAAGGGAATGAAAAATTCTGGTTGTACAAATATCTAATGTACCTGAGAGGAAAGATTGATGATATTTGTGAAAAATTTACACTCTCAACTCGACTCATGTCACCTTGCCACGTCTGTATTATTATCAACAGCATATAAGACGCCACATTTCACTCTTTCCAGGTTTCCAATAAAGGATTACTTGTAATATTTCTCAGTGCTCTCAAATATCATTGCTCGAAAACATCAAAACTGAGGGGGTGGCAACGCAAAGAGACAGCAAAAATTATACACATCACGTTGAAAACAACGCACAAGTTTACAAAATAAATCGGTATACATTGTATCTCTCTTCAAAATTTATGTGATTAATTATTTGGTGGTGTCAGTGAGTAACAGAACACAGGAAAATCATAAAATCCACACAACAGTTATTGATAGCTTTCTATTTTTTGGACACTTCTATAATATGCTTTTTTTCTCATCTGCTACATTGTTAGTTGCTCTTTTTTTTGCTTTCTTTTGCTGTTCATGGTTCAGTGGTGATAATTGTGATGATTCTTTGATGGTGAGAGGTGGTAGCATTTTTTTGCTGACTTCACAAGTTTTAAATGTTTACTTTGTGGATAACTTTCTTTTCTTATACTCTCATGTTCTTTACATAAAGTAGCTACTGACGTAGGCGGCCACAATAATACCCAGGACAGTGAGACATAGCAGAATCATGATCTTCTTCTGCAGGAGGGGTGCATAAAGTGCATGGTATTAGTATATTTATCCTATATGCTCAATATACCTTTATCAGCTAAACAATTCTTCTCTTCAACATCTACGTGAGGTACAAATTACATTTGCAAGCGTGATAAATCACACTCTAGAAATTTGTCAAATCGCTAATGAAAACGCCTTCTCAACTGGATCAAAAGTGCAACAAGCTTTTTTTTGAGAAATGCACTTAATTCATTTCAAAACTAGCAAGAATCCTTATTAAAATTGTGAAGCTCTGTGCTTATTTTGCATAAAAAGTTTTGCCAAAGTATTTATCTTCAAGAATAATTCTCATTCTTACATTCTTTTCACACGATTCACACCTCGAGAATGTTCTTGTAAAAGAGCACTCTTACAAACAAAATTGAATTGAATTACTTCTCTTGTATTTTTTATGATTGCATTAACAATCCATTAGAAAACCTTAAAAGCTTTTCTCGTGTGAAAACAATGTACGCACTCTACAAAACTGAAAATCAACTAACTATCGAAACGATTGTAAAAGAAATTTAAGAAAAAAAAGTCCTGCATAATTATGAAATTGATAATTCTTTCACGAGGAAAAAATAACTGAAGTAAAACGGCAGCGAAGAAAATGAAAAATTTCCACATTAAATATCCATTTATATTTTCTTGAAATGATCATTTCTTTTTATATATGTTCCTCTGTGTTGATTTTCTCCAATGGTCATTATACAAATTGATATTTCATAAATTTATTCCGTGGATTTCTATAGCAGTATTGCTAAAATAATTGCTATAATCACTAAGGTAATTAGCAGGCAAATCATTATGTAAATCTTTTTCTGCAATAAAGAGAAAAAATAAACAAAATAAAATCATATGTTGATATCCAAAAAGGTACAGCCAGTATTACGACAAACATAATCATTAGTGGGTGTGCGTGCATTCCAACTTAAAAGTCCATTGATTTAGGAAGGAACAATTGTTGAAAAGTAAATAGCTAAGACAACAGCAAGAATCACTAGTGTTACTGCAATGCAAATTATTATATAGATCATTTTCTGCAAGTAAAAATGGAAAAGAAAATATTGTTTTTCAAAAATTGCTAAATGTTAGTGGAATTAAGAATTTTTTTTTGCCATATCCCATGCACTCAACAAAAGCTTGCTCTCGATGCCAATTATTGCTCCTTTGCCAGATATTTTTTTATTGCCTTTCATTTATATAGAAAAAAGAGACAGAGGATGAGATTATAAAAACAACAACTATACATAGTCACATAAATATTCATGGTATTTTAGCCAAAGACCCTCTTTTATTCCGTGATATTAAGCTATTTAGATAGTGTCATGAAGCGAAATATATTAGTCATTGTGTGGTTGCCCACAGGAAAGTGATCAGAAAGGGTGTTCCATTTTCTCAAATCTTTCCAAAGGAACCACTTTAGAAAGGATTTGCTGAAAGAGAGGTGAATATAGAGAACATATTGATTTCATTGTATCTTCTTTCAAATTTTTTCCCTCTTGTGTCAACATTGCAAGATTCAGTCAATTAGTATTTGTCAATTCTCTAATATCAATCTCTCCTTCACCATATCGCTCTCTCTCTCTATTCACTGGCATGTGCTCGGCAAAGTTAGTGAGAAAGTGGAACGTCCAGCCGGGGAAATTATGTGTTACTGTCATCATTATTGTCACAAATCTCTTGAGATGTACCTTTCTGGCTTTCGACTGATACTCTCTGGCCTGTACCAGCTCCCCGTGAGCCTTCTCCACGTGACTTCCACTCTGTTCAACATGATGCTCAATGTTATCCACGAGATCACCCTGGTTTTTCATTTATAATTCATCCGGCCGCAAGATACGCAGATACCTTGGAGGGATTTTCATTCGTTGATAGAAGAGGAACAGAAAGTGTGTTGTGTGTTTATCAAAAAAAGAAGTGTGGTCGCAAAAGTTTGCGGTTTTAGTTTGGAACATTTTACGTGTTGCAGAAAAGTCAGTAAAGTGAAAGTTATCGACATTTTTTTTTTTATATATATAATTGTAAGGGAAAGAATTTTCCAGTAGAGAGAAAATTGTTCAAGTTGTTGTTTTTATCAAAACACCCCGTAATTGATAGCAAAAAGTATTTGACATGTAAAGCGGACAGCATAAGAAAGTTCATAAAATCATGCAGACGAGATTAAATGGGAAAACAACATTCAATTAACGTTAAAAAAATCATCAATGATCGAGGAAAGTTGAGAGAAGACATATAATAAGTGAGGGAATAGAACGCAAAAAACACAAATTAGTGAAGGGAAAGAAAAGGAATGATTGCAAAAATGTGTGACACATTTTTTTGCGGGGGGAAGGAATGGATTGGATAAAAGAAAAAAAAAGAAAACAACACATTAGTTTTATCCAGATTCAATAAACTCACCCGACGGGCTTTGCTTTGATATTTCAGTGCTTTTTTCGTATCTTGTGTTGCCGTTTGGACATAGTCCATGGCATGTTCCACGTGATATTCTATACGATCAATCATCTCGCCCTGTATTCCAATGGATTATCAAGAAATTTCACCAAATAACACAATTGATTAGTAAGAGAAGTGCAAATGGTGGTGATGGTGGTGGTGTTAAATGCTGACACCCTGTGCTTTTGAGACCATTTAACAGCTTAAATCTATTCCAGACACTTCCCTTGATCCAATCAATATTCAATTGCATTGAACACAGACACGCTCGAAAGTGTAACCATAAGTTTATGGGAAATCAAACCTTCGCTTTCATGTCTAATTTGCAGATCCCGGTCTTCATTCACACATTTAATTTGCAGAGATACAAAATATTGAGAAGCTCTTCCGCCTCAATAGACTGTGTTTCCCCTTTGGGAATGGTGAAAATAGGTTTTCTTGTTTCATAACTAAATTAAGCGACATCATGCTTTTGATATACAATCTAAACATAGAATGTTTGTAGAATGAATGATTTTCCTAGAAGTCTAATCGAATTACAATAGTTAACATCAGGAGAAAATTTAAATGATGAATACAGCAGGAAAAATTCATTTTCCACCTGCATAGAGTTCAAATCAGATGAATCCACATGAATAGGAAATTTAATAATAATGTTACTGAGAACTCATGAAACACTATCAATTATTTCTCCTGTGTTAAATATAACACAATATATTATTACTGAAATTTCATAAAATATCTAAAAGGATAATTAAACACTTTCAGTGGCAATTTCTGATTAGGCATCATTGTCATCAGGTGGCAAAATCCATGAGGCCAAATTAGAGGATAAAAGCCGAACGGTTATGTAAGAATAGAATTAGAGAAATTCTCTTCTTCGATTGCCTCTATTTTTTCCTCTCTTTCTATTTTCGGCAAAGTATAATTCAGTTATACTTTTATGGCACTCTCCATTCTGGTATTCAATGGAGGAATTTTTGGGTTCTCTTATCTCTACCTCATTATCAGCCTTGAAAAGTTTATCTGGAAAGTTAAATGGTCGCAACAACAGGTCTCCCAGTATATTACATTGGAGTCAGCGAAAATGGATAATAATTGAGATGCGGAAATCTTGGCAAATCATACGCACCTGGCTCTCGACTAGCATTGCCATATCCATGAACATATCATGAAGTTCTCTGATTGAATTCTCTAACTTAATAATATCTGCATGTCGAGCTTCAATATCTGCCAGAGTCTGTTTGGCTTGTTGCGTTTCCATAATAATCTATATATGGCGTGAGACAGGAAGGATGAAAAAGAGAAGATGACATTATTCATTTATAAATGTCAAATGCAGTCATGGTGAGAAATTAAATTAAATTCCCACTTACTCCTTGAGTGAATACCGCTGGATTCCCTTGCTCTAACATCTCTTCCAACTCCTCATTGGTTGTAGTTCTACCCGCTGCAAGGCGAAGTGAGGAAAAAATAGTGTTAAATTGACATGCACTTTGTGATATTTTGACTCATGTCACTCACTAATTTCTAACTGTCTCTGTATTCTCCCTTTGCACCTTTCTCTGTAGTCCGTCTGAGTCCGGTTGTACTCCGTCATCACCTCAACAAACTTTCGCGAGAGGGTCGAGTGCTGTGTCTTGCGTATTCGTAGGTCAGCACTGGACTTGTTAGCCTGTTCCTCTTGTTCGATGTTCTGTTCAATGCCCTGCAGATGGTCAAACAAATTGACCCCAAAGAATTAGTATCGCATTCCAAATATTATTAATTAAATTACACCAAATTCAACCCCACCTTTAGCTTAGTACGGACTCTATTGGCAGTTTTCTTTATGTCGGCCATAAGGTCTTCCAACTCCTGCTTTGTCTCTGCGAAAAGTGGAAAGAGTATTGGAAATCAATTAAGACATTCGTGCCACCCCCCATAAATGGGCTAATTTATAGCAACTCACTCTCATCAGATTGAGGCGCTGATAGAATTGCACTGTGTTTTTTCTTCACTTCCTCCACATTTGTCTGGATCTTGTCTATCATCTCCCGTATCTCTTCGACTTCATTGAAGAAGTCATCCATGAAGCCATCCCTTCCCTCCACATTAACAGCAACATCGTCCGGCCCGACGTCATCATCGTCGCTCTGGGCCTATAAATAAAAGAAGAGACAAGAGAGGTTGCATTTAGTTATCAATATATTGATTATTCCATGTCAAATTCCTCGCTCTCTTCCTCCCTCACTCTCTCGCCCCTCATCAATTGAATTACATTTCACGCCAAAGGCTTCCCCGTACATAATCATATCCCAATATAGACGAAACAAACTCCATATCAGTGTGATTCAAATTTATGTCATTCACCAATTTACCAGTTACTAAACACTTTAACTCACATCACAGGCCATTGTGAGTGGCGGAGTGAGAAGAACTGTGAATAACCATGAGGCGCTTATGAGAAATTATCACATTGTAATCTTACGCTGTTCACCCAGACAATTTTCATTGAATGTCATACAATTACACTCTTCAGTGGAGGCAGAAAAATAAATAAAGCATTCAACCCGAAATTCCACACTCGATAATTGTGTAATTACTTATCAAATGAAAACACTCTCTATGCGTAAGGTCTGTCATTTGCATTTCACATGTTTCAATGATAATTTCATTCTCGCAGTTCTCAACAAATATGCCAAGAAGTGAATTTATGAGAGATTCTCATATATAAATTCAGTCACCCAAAGTTCTCTCTGCATGCAAATTTTCGCATAAATTGATCAACTAGCTAAATTCTAATTAAGGTTGACATCTCCTATTATTCACATATCTACAACCACCGAAAACAGCACACACGGAATTTCCCGAAATACGCTTTGCCGTCAACCAAAAAAGTTCATTTAATCTCCACACAACAGTGATAACAAAGTGAAAGGTGAATTAAACTTTATTCCGAATGAGATCCTTCTCAAGATGCACAGAGCAACAAGTTAGATGAAGAAGAAAAAAATACTTGGAGCATCTTTGTTGAAATTAAATTATTCCATTTTTCCACCCAAATCTTTGCTAAACACCTTCTGGCAGAAACAATTTTAAACTTTCTGTAGAATCTTCCAGTATTAAAATTATTCAACGTGAAAGAAACATCCAGAGCAGAACGCACATGATGATAAAGATGATTTCAAAATGTCAAATTGCAAATTGGATCACGGTTTGTCCCACTTAATTTCAACCACAATTTTTTCATCAACTTTTATCACACATCATGCGAAGGGTAAAACATATTTCATACAGCCAATATAAAGTCAATAAAATTCAAACTCAATGTAAAATTCTATCAGCAAAATCACACGAAGTATTGAGAGAACAAATTTTTTAGTGTCAATAAAAATCCCTCTCGTCGTGTGTCTATTTAATTAAAATTCAATACTATCCCATTGTACCTTCAGTTAAAATAAAACAGAATGGATTTATGGATTCTATACACACATATATATATATATATGGTAGACAAAACTGTCAAAACTTCCTAATTCGCTTAATCAAGAAAGTTACATTGAAATAATTCAAACATGTTGGAAAATTTGGAACAATTGCAAACATTTTAGTTGACCTCAATTCGCATGTAGTGTCCAATGAAAAGTTTCCGATGTAATTTCCGATACAGTTTACATATGTTAAATATTTGCTTTTACCATCAAAATTGTCCAAACTTGTATATGAAATTCATTTTAACACAAACATCCAGTTTGCTCACAAGTTGAAACATTAAAATTGCGACGAAGATCATTAACCGGAATGCATTTTACATATGTAGTGCAGAAGAGTCTCATAAAAACAGAACTTGATAGTATACTTTAAGACAACCCTTAAGATACGATTTGCCTCGTATAAATGATCAAATAAATAATTAGTAAAGTGGCATATAATTAAAATTGATTACGAATTTGATCAAAACTTCAATTCAAAACTTTAATCAAATACAAAATTTATCTTTCTTACAAAATACCTTCTCGTGAAATTCAAAACTTTTCTCTGATACTACATGAAATATGTGTTCCTGAACTCACGTTCGCAGTTTTGTATTTCAGCAAAATCAAAACTTAAACTACTATTCTAAAGTTTTGTTGTAATATTTTCCTTCCTCAAATTTCAAAAAGGGGAAAAAAAGTATTGAATTGCATTTTAAGGTATTCTAGAGTTTTGAAAAAAAAAGAGAATGAACAATTTTCTAAAGTGGAAACCACTTCGAATTGATAGCGCAGAAAGTACGGGTGTGTTTAATTATCCACTGTTGTCAGACAATACATTATAAATAAAATGTTCAAATGCGGGAAATGCCGGGCCATTGCATCACAAATGAAAAATGAAAAATGTAATTTTCAATTAAACACCTCAAATGGGGCAAAATCAACACGCTGACTCACTCAATCACAAGACGCGAAAGTGCTTCTCCTCTACACAGTGAACTTCTCAATGAATTCCCTCTTCATTCCATTACATCTCTCTCTCTCTCCCTCTCTCTCTTCATCCACTGCACGTCAAACTTTACTACTTTTATTTGTCTTTTATGAACGCTTTATGGGAATATTTCAGTTGTGGGAATACATTGATAGCTTCAGTGCGAAAGAAAAATTCCCTTTGCCCAGGGTCAGTGCACTTTTATCGTTCATTCATTGAAAAATTTGTATATATGCTGCGCGACACACTCTCCCTGCAAAATTTCCACGAATTGACATGAAAATTTTTCCCTTAGCACACCACAGAATTTCAGTTTTACACCCACCCAATGCCAGCCACCCTTGGCCACGGCCGGAAGAACAGGGATCACCGAATTTCGAGGGTGAGCACGTACGAGTGAGACGAGGAGAGATATATCCCTCCAAATGTGTCATGACTTGCCCTCAATGATGCGCGCTCTCGAGTTTGCGTCGCTCATATCGGCCTTGAAGTGTGAAGAGTATGAGGTTTGCGATATAATTTATCACCAAATGTGAGTCACGGGGTTATTTGGCAGTATTATTCTCTTTTTTTCTCACACTCACACCTCTTCCAACAAAAGCCAATTATCACGGATGAATTGAATCGAATGTCGGCGAAGATTACGGAGTGGATGTTGGAAAAATTGTCACCCACAAAAAACCCGCAGTGTCAAAGTCCTCTCACTCTCTCTCTCTGTCACAGCAATTAAAGTCCAACAGCAATCCAACAGGGACGTGGAAACACACAGAGCAAAGAGATGAAACAACCCTTGAGTATTCTGATAGGAAAATTTTACGGAAAATGTATTAATTCCGGGGCGTGAAATGTGTTAAAGCTTTTTAATACACTTTACTCGTGAATATCAAGTTATCATTAAGAATGTCCACATAATAAGAAGTTTCACAAAATAATACAAGAACCTGTTGAAAGGTCGAGAAAGTCTTTGAACAATTTGGAAAGATTCACTTTAACAAGTTATGACTCAATCCATTTCTCGATCGTGACTACGTCATTGCCATCTGAGAAGCTACTTTTACTTGACCACCACTTTCGCACGAGAATCGAGTGAGAGATATTCAGCAATCAGAAAATCTGAAGGAGATGAAGATAAATGAACGCGAAGGGTTGCCTTTGCAGGGTCATTTGTTGCATATATGTGTGTCCTCGCTGCAAGTTGCACTTGTCAGTTTGGCAAACCTGCTGCTCTATGCTCCCTGACCTACACATTCTCGGGGTGTGCAAAGAAGCGCAACAGATTCCCATTAAATTTCAACACAATATCCCATGAGATCCGCTGCAACTGATAAAAATTCACACAATTTATGCTGGACAAAAAATGCGCCTCATCCACCCACACACAGCAGCACATCAACTCGCAATCCATCGACTATGCGGTATATTGTACATTTTCAAATTAAATGCGGTGACCCTCTCGCTCTCGTTGGCTGAATCACACTCGGCATTCCTATTGTTTGAGGCGGAAAAAAGGCACCCAGGGCTTCCCACTGTGCCTCAATATCTCACTGTTAAATCTACAAACTCTCGCGGTAGTTGAGGAAATCACTGGAATTGAGGCACATCATAACGAACAAAAAAAAAACTTTGTGTCGCGGTGGAAAATTCAAAGAGGGAAAACTGCAACATTTTCCCGTACAACCGAAAACACCTAACTTATTTAAGTGAACAATCATGTTTTAGCGGAAGCGCTTTTGTGCTTTCCCACTGGAAGAAAACCGAGAAATTTACCAATTTCGCCTTTTTCGCATCTCCACAAAAATAGGAAAATTAGCTTCTCTATCAAATTCACAAAGTCAAAATTTCCACCTTTGATCAATTAATTTTGTACAAGTTGTATTCTAATCCAAATCAGCCGTCATAACAATAAATGATTTACCGTATGTCAGCAGGGGATTTAAAAATAAATTCGCACATTGACGATTTTTCGTTTTATCTCTTTAGTATCTAACATGCACAGATAAGCGAAATTTGTGACTCAACTATTAAACAGGTGTGATTCAGATGGTTGGAATTGATGAAAAATAGACAATTCTGCAATGTTTCACATCAAATTTCTTGTTTAATTTAACTCCTTCTAAGAAAATAAGAAACTTCAATTCAAACATTGCATTTTAATACACTAAGTGAAGAGTAATTCAAAGAAGTTGTATAATAACATCTCTTTGCGCTTAAAATAGGTACATGTTCGTTCTCGAAGTTTAGATATTGTTATTTTAATCCACAGAAAAGTAGTTTTCTCAGATTGTAAACGTAAATTCCTTTTGATAATGTTCAAATTGCATTTTTATTCTGATAATATTTTTAGAAAATCATTTGACGTCAAGGAAAAATATCGATTCAGAGTTTCTTTAAAAAAAAGCAGATTTGCTAAAGAAATTGCTCAGTGTTGAATTAGAAGATTAAAAAATGTCTAATAGGAAAAAAAATCTCAAGCTTCTCAACATTTCTTGACAGAATTTTACTGACAATGTCTGCGAATATTATTAAACAATTTTACATAAACTACATTTTTCGTAAAATGCAGAAATATCTGGAAATCAATCCCCCAAGAAACCATGTATCATCAAGAATTTTACAATTCTTGGAGCGCTATTCACATTTAGCTCTATTTAATGTTTCGGAAAACGTAAAATACGCATATTTTGCCCTTTATTAACTTATCGACCCTATTTAGCAGTTAACGATAAAAAAGCGACATTAGGCAACTTTTAGTGTCGAATGTTGTGTTTCTGGGTGTGAAAAACGTCGCAAAACTAGAGCACACTTGCAAGGGAAGAAGCAGTGAATGGACGGAGCAAACATTGCGGGCGAAGGCCCCCAGGGTGCCGTGCAGGGAGGCCCGAACGGGGCGGGCGGAGAGTGAATTGGTTGCGAGGCGGAAGGGTTGGAGGTCAGAAAGGTTGGGAAATGGTCCAGAACTTTGATTGATGGTCATCCACGAGATTTCCCATTGAAATCTGCCCCGCATTGTTGGCCACATGGGTGGGCGGCGAGGGTGGCGGTGGGTGGAGGGCGAGGGGGCGCGCCGGGGGAGGACTGCGACTCGCGCGGGAGACGCGGAGTCTAGACGAGCGGGACAATTAAGTCGTGAATTGCGGGTGTGATTTGCGTGTGGGTGGCCGAAAGTCGAGTGCGAACGGGTGGGGCTCGAGTGGGGCAATGGCTAGAAAATCCGCCGCTGAGCCTCCAGCGAGTGACTCAGCGGCGTGAACTGCCCGCCGTCCGGAGACACCCGGAAGACGCCCTCGGCCGCCCACATTTTGGCAGCGCCCGAGGCCGCGGGGGGCGCCGTGGAGGGACGCGAATGCTGGAGGTGAGTCGTGCTCCCATTTCCGGCTGACGGAGGCCGCCAGAAAAAGCTGTGCGGGCTTTTGCGCCAGCGAAAGCTGAGAATACGTACCGCGACAAGTGCTGCTAATCTATCCTTCGTCATGATTCACTGTCGAGGATGCTTTCTGGCGTGATTTCACTGCAAGATTGCCTCTGCACGGAACAGGAAAACTGGCTCAACACCACACCAACACTCTTGGCGACGATGGGCTCGTGTAAAACGGAGAAGATTTTTTGTGGAAGTTGTTTTGGGGCAGGGCAAACTTTACTAGATATCCATTTGATGGTGGAATTTGACGGTTTGGTGGTCAGTGCCAAACAGATGCACTATCTCACGGTCTTCTCACAACACCCTGCTATTTTGCACAAGTGAGAAAAATTTAATACCACACACAACTACTCCATAAAAATCGATATTTTATTTTCTTCTGCAACAAGCACAGCGCTTGCGTATGACAACTTCTCTCGAATCCGTATCTTTTTCGCCACACCAGTTGGCACCACTGCAGCGCTATGACGTCCGAAGGGTGGCGTGGTTTACGCGTACCAAATGATTTTTCTACGCCTTCCCAACTCAAGCAAAATATTCTTCTCCGGCTTTTCATATGTGCAACACGATGAGAGTGTTTGGATAATTCTGCACAATTAATTATTTGGCAAGATTTCAGTACATATTTACCATGTTATTTTGTGCTTTTTCCGCTTTATATACGCTGGGAAAAAATTACCTTCCTCCCTGTAATATATCTGAGACGTTACGGTGACGTTTCGCCGCTGGCACCACAGTTTCCTGTTGCAGACTTTTGACGTGCAGCCCTTATTTTCCGGTCCTCGTTTCACAATTCACTTTTCATCGATATTCAGGTAAATTTCCCGAGCATCACTTGCCGCCGGTGGGCTGTGCGGCTCCCCAGGGCGTCCGCCTGGGCAGAGAGAGCGTGAAAATGCGGAGATTGGCTGTGGAAAAATGCGTGGTGGGCTGATTCGTGATGCATGCCAAGGTGTTTGAGTCATGGACGCCCAAGTGACAGTCGCAGTTGGCGCTAGAATTGCTGGCCGTGCTTTAGTGGCTGCTTCAAACGCAAATATCTCTGCATTTTCACTACTTTCCCTCAATTTTCCACCCGAAAGCAATAGTTGAGACTGTTGGTGTGCTCTGGTGTGTAGTCTCGTGCGTGTGACGGGGTTTTCTGGGCGGGAAATGGGCATTTCACGAGAGCATCTTCGTGACTCAGTGGTTTTCGTTTGGCTCTTCCGCAGATTCCACTCGACGGACCAGAGGAATAGATTAGAAGAGCATCATGTCGTCTGACGCAGATATGCCCACTTTCAAGTGCGTCCTGGTGGGCGACGGCGGCACCGGGAAGACCACCTTCGTGAAGCGGCACATGACGGGGGAGTTCGAGAAGCGATATGTCGCCACGCTCGGCGTGGAGGTGCATCCGCTCGTCTTTCACACAAACCGCGGTGCCATTCGCTTCAACGTGTGGGACACGGCCGGCCAGGAGAAGTTCGGCGGCTTGCGCGACGGCTACTACATCCAGGGCCAGTGCGCCATCATAATGTTTGATGTGACTTCCCGCGTCACGTACAAGAACGTTCCAAACTGGCATCGGGACTTGGTGCGCGTCTGCGAAAACATCCCCATCGTGTTATGCGGCAACAAAGTGGACATCAAGGACCGCAAAGTGAAAGCCAAGAGCATCGTCTTCCACAGGAAGAAGAACCTCCAGGTGAGTCGCATCCCTCTGCAGTAGCGTTAAACGCATGACGAACAGAGAGAGAGTGTCCCAGGGGCGGCCAACTAGTGAAACTTGCACTGCCAAATTGTGTGATTCAACACTCTACTGGGAAAGATCCAGAAGTTGTCTTTTGATTTGACGCTCTTGCGTCACACAAGGTCACACACGAATCTCTATATATGCAAAATAATGGGAAATTTTGATTTTGCAAGTCTGAAATCCTACAAAGAATTTTCTTCAATTTAATTAAGCATTTTGTGAGCTACTTTTCATCTGTGTCCTTATCCATCAAACGCTAACATATTGAATTGAATTAATTTCACCCCTTTTCTGTTCCACATCCAATTAGGCGTAATTTGTCATTTGGCTAAATTTAATATTCTTCCAAAATTAGGATAAATCAATGATATTTAATTAATTGTCCAGTGACATTGTAGCGTTCTTGTGTGGGAGTTATTTTATCATACAATCCGCGTTGAATTGTGCAAATTTAGCGAAATGTAATATTTATGGTACAAAAATATAAACTTTTCTAAGACGACGTCTCAACTCTGCACAACAATCAATAACAATGAAATCACAATGTCTCTTCTTCTCTCCTTCCACCTGCAGTACTACGACATTTCGGCCAAGTCGAACTACAACTTCGAGAAGCCCTTCCTGTGGCTCGCCCGCAAGCTCGTGGGCGATCCGAATCTCGAGTTCGTGGCGATGCCAGCCCTTCTGCCGCCCGAGGTGAAGATGGACAAGGCTTGGCAGATTCAAATCGAGAAGGATCTCCAGGAGGCGCAGGCCACAGCTCTGCCGGAGGACGATGAAGACCTGTAAAAGCACACGCAAACACACTACCCCATTCGTCGCGACGCCACTGAGAGATCTTCGTCCTCTCTCTTGAGAGAAATTATACAGCTACTCAAACGCTAGGGGATGACATTGAATAAATAATGGACTAGAGAAGGAGAGACTCTCATAAGAATTCGGCAAAGTGGACGCGAGCGCGACAATGGAACACTTTTTGGTTTATTTCCGGGTCATTAAGTAGACTTTATATAAACGTTGATTTAATTGATTACTTGTACTTGCGAAAGAGATGGATTTCTACTCTAGATTGATTTAGTTGAAGCAAATTTTCTCTTGATTTTCCCACGGTGGAATCTTGGACTGATCAGCGATTATGTTGAGTGTGTTGACGGATCAAGTTGAAATTGTATTCTTTATTGGCTCTTTTATTTCATCTTAACAAATACATTTCCGTGAAATATTTGACAAAATGCCTACTTTCTAAGCGCATCTCGCGCGACGCTTCTCTACTTCTTCTCCACTGCCTGTTCGCGCTTCTGGCGCGCCTTCTTGCCCTCCGTCAGCGCTATACGCTCGTCGGCGTTGAGCGTTTGCAGGACTTTGGTCACGACGCCCGTGCCGAGCGTGAGCGAGCCGTCGCGCAGCGTGAATCTCTGTCCCTGCTCCAGCACCATCGGCCTGAGGAGGCGCATAATCAGCTTGGCGTCCTCGCCGGGCATCACCATGTCCTTGTCGACGAGCGACACCTGGGCGGCGCAGTCCCACGTGCGGGAGAACATCTGCAGCTGGATGAAGTTGGTGAAGGGCTTCTGGCGGCCGCCCTCCTCCTTGTTCAGAATGTACACCTGGCTCTCGAAGTGGTCGTAGCCCTTGACCGTGCCCGGCTTCGCCATCACCATGCCGCGCTTGATCTCGTCACGCTTTATGCCGCGCACCAGGGCGCCCAGCTGGTCGCCGGCGTGCGCCTCCTCCAGGATCTGATGGAACATCTCCACGCCCGTCACTGTGCTCTTGAACGACTTGTTGTAGCCCACGAACTCGCACTCCGCGCCCTTCTTCACGATGCCGCGCTCCAGCCGACCCGTGACCACAGTTCCGCGTCCTGGGATGCTGTACACGCTCTCCACGGGCAGCAGGAAGGGCTTGTCGAGGTCTCGCTCTGGCGTTGGGACGTATTTATCGACTTCCCCGAGCAGCTGCATCACAGCTTCGGCACCGATCTTGTCATCGCGGCCCTCGAGCGCCGCCAGGGCGCTGCCCTTCACCACGGGCACGTTGTCGCCGTCGAAGCCCATCTCTGACATCAGCTCGCGGATCTCCATCTCCACCAGCTCCACCATCTCCTCGTCAGCCGCGTCCACCTTGTTGATGAACACCACGATGTAGTTTATGCCGATCTGCTTGGCCAGCAGCAGATGCTCACGCGTCTGCGGCATGACTCCGTCCGTGGCCGCCACCACGAGAATCGCGCCGTCCATCTGCGCCGTGCCGGTGATCATATTCTTGATGTAATCCGCGTGTCCAGGGCAATCAGTGTGTCCGTAGTGTCTGTTTTCGGTCTGGTATTCGATATGCGCCACATTTATCGTGATGCCGCGCGCCTTCTCCTCGGGGGCATTGTCAATGTCCGTGTATTTCCTGGACTCCGCCAGATCCCGGTCGGCCAGAACGCGCGTGATCGCCGCTGTGAGGGTGGTTTTTCCGTGATCCACGTGCCCAATTGTGCCCACATTGCAGTGGGGCTTCACTCGCTGGAACACCTTCTTCTCGGCGTAGCCTCTTGTCTGGCAGGAGATCAGTCCGGAGAAGCGCTGTGTTGATCCCGCAATCCAGCCCTTCCGGGCGGCATCCCGGAAGACTGCAAAACAAAGAAACCAAACCCCAAAACATCAACCCAAGCTGCACTATCTCATCTCTCAGGTAATCTTCCAACGCTTCCGCCCTTTGTTTCCCGGAATTATGTGAAATTATGTAAGAAATGTGGATAAATCTGCGGAGAAAGTCTTGTCAACAGCGATAACCTCAAAAGGGGCGCTGTTCCATGGAAATTCCCCGAGAAAATGTACTCACGAGGTGTCAGAAGGGCTCGCAATGCAGTGTATGTCGTCATTTTTGTGAGATTTTCCTGGGTAAAAGCAGCAGAAATGGAAGGAAGAACTTTTCCGAGACCGATGAAAATGCGTGAAAATCAATGCGGCTGTCACAGGTAATGTTTTATTACAGGGCGATGAGCGTATGTTTTTTTACGCGCTTGATACATTTGATAGCAATTGATTTACTCATTTTTTCGCATCAAATATTTGTATTATCAGATTTTAAATCTATCTGGAACAGTTTGGCACATGCTTGATGCTGTTCCCAAGTTTATATTAGCTAAAATCTCAACTCCTATAAGCTCGCCAGCATTCATCTTGAATTTTGCCTCCAAAATCTTGACAGCACCGCCCCAAGCGGACAAATATCGCACTAGATTTGAAACCCAAAAAATAAAACGATCCAAAATTGTACTACCAAAACCATAGATATGCTTTATCACATAAATACATAATATAATTGCGAGCGGGATTATGCACAGAGCGTCTTGTACCAGTTCTTGCTCTCGGAGCACCTGGAGTTGACGCAGTGCGGGCAGCGGGAGAGGAATTTGGGGGTGATCTTGGGGCCTTTCTTCAGATGCTGCGCCACGATGTCCGTGAGGGCATCGATAAAGATCGGATGATCATTGGGCGCTGCCGCTCGGCCGACGCGTTCAATCTTCAGCTCCTGCGCCAGCTCATGGCAATATTCGATGTCGAGCTCGTGAAGAGTCTCGATGTGCTCATTCACGAAGGCGATGGGAATGAGAATGAAGTTCTTCTTGCCCTGGCGCGAGTAAGCCTTCAGGGCGGCGTCGGTGAAGGGCTCCAGCCAGGGCAGGGGGCCTACTTTTGACTGCCACACGAGCACATGAGGATTGCAGTGGTTGAGCTCCTGCATGACTGCCTGGACAGTTGCTCCCACTTCGGAGGGATAGGAGTCCCCACGGTTGACCGCCTTTAGGGGCAGGGAATGAGCTGAGAACATCAGGATCACGTCCCGTTGTCTCTCTGGCGGGAACTTGGCTAGCTCCTCGCGGATTCGCTCGGCGAAGGTTTTCGCCAGGAGCGGATGAGTTGGCCAGCGATCGATGACGCTCCAGGAGATGCCGGCGGGCGCAGTTCTCTTCCGGAAGTGGTCGAAGAGGGCGTTGAAGCTAGAGCCCGACGTGGCGCAGCTGTACTGAGGGTATTGCGAGAAGACCACGACTCTCTCAGGACGATCAGCCTCGATTTGGGCCACAGCTTCAGCCGTCGTCGGCGTCACGTACCGGAAGGCGACGTAGTGCCGATGGGGCGCAGTCTCGGGGGACACTTTGTCCAGTTGGCTGCACATCAGCTCGCCTTGGCGGTTGGTCCACTTGAGGATTGGCGATCCTCCGCCGATTTCCTGGTACTTCTTCTGCACTTCCTCCGTGCGGCGCTGAGCGATCCAGGGCCCCAATTTGCTCTGCACCGGCAACTGAATCATGTCCCTGTCCGTCATGATGCCCAGCAAGTAGTCGTGAACCTGCTGGGTATTCTGGGGACCGCCCATGTTCAGCATCAAGACAGCCGTCTTCACTTTCTGCTGATTCACAGCTGACGTCGAAAGAAAGCGAGCCTTTTCCGAGCTCCATTTCCCTGGAATTCAAAGGACAGTCGATCAGGAGATACTTATGGACTTCTGCTGAAGATTTTACTCACCTATTGGGAGAATGCTTCTTGAAAATCTGCTTAAATTCATATCAAAAGCAGAGAAAAGGCACTGCATTCCGGAACCGCACTTTCACGCTGCAAGCGCCGTTTAATTACGCGTAGTTATTTTGATGTAGAGATTATAATACAAAAAATTTGGAAAGGTTTCATGTTTCCAATTCTCCCTTATCTTAGCAAAATATTTAGAGGAATTTACATATCAGAGGCATAAAATCATTCATTTTTCATAATGAGGAATCGGTGATCAGAATTGCTTTGAGTATTAAAATTTTACTACTGACAATAGCTGTGAATTGTGTCAATCGCTCTATTTGTGATCCTCTGAATTTTCCGCAAAGAAACGAGCTAATTCCTGTACAAATCTGTAAGTGTAGTTCCTCAGTAAATTCTCTTTAATCTTACAAATAAATTCTATTTTCTTCTGTAGTTCGTTTGTCCATCATTTCTGATGCTGGAAGAAAACATCTCGGCTGGATCTTCTCAATCCCAGAGCAATCTTCTGCCTGAGTCTCAAGAGATTCCAACCGTGAAGCAACTCATGGAGCAAAACCACCCGCCGTGGAGTTCCATCTCCTTCGGCTGTCGCGCCCTGGATCAATTGCTGAACGGAGGACTTCCGCGCCGTGGCATTTCAGAGCTCTTTGGCGAGTCCGCCAGCGGCAAATCCCAGATCTGCATGCAGCTGGCCGTGACAGCTCAACTGCCTCCGGATCGGGGCGGAACGGGCAAGGGTGTGGTGTACTTCACGACCACCGCAGGCCGCTTTCCCACCGAGCGTCTGTTCGCCATCATCCAAGCGGTCCAGGAACGCTATCCGGACGTCAAGAGAGAGTTCATGAGCAACATCTTCATCCAGAGCCGCATCGAGATCAACGGACTGCTGCACTGCATTCAGAATGAATTCCAGGACTTCCTTAAGACTCACCAGATCGGCCTCGTGATTGTGGACTCGATGGGAATCTTCAGATCAGAGAGGGAAACTTCGGCCAGAGCAAAGTTTATCAGGAGCTTCGCAATTAGTCTCTTGCAGTTGGCAGAGAAGCACGGATTCTCTGTGCTGTGCGTGAACGAAGTGGTTTCCATTCCTGGCCACAGTAATGTCTTTCCCAGTCTGGGACTCGCGTGGGCGAATCTCGTCGTGACCAGGCTTCAGGTTGCACGAACGGAGAGGACGACGCAGACTGGAGACATCGTGCGAACAGTTTCTGTGATGCAAACTCCGGAAATTTCTCTGGACTCAGCAGAGTTCATCGTGACGAGTAAAGGAATCTACGATATTTCCACGTAAGTTCTCATCTTATTCTGTTCAATTTTATTCAAAGAAATAATTAATGAATATTAAATGAATATCCTAAAAGAGTTGCGTGCAGTTTTCTGGGGAATTTTGGAAATTTTCCATTCATTTCTTGGAAAGATTACTAAATCGCATTTATCTTCTCATACATTTAGTATACTGAAAATGATGAGTCTTAAAAATCTTAACACCTATTATGAAAATTATTCGTTCTCTCCTGCTCCAAATGAAGGTAGTTTGTAAAAGGTTTGTTGAACTTCACATTTTTTCACATTTTGACTCAACAAAGGGAATTTAATAATAGCAAATCTGTCAATTTTCAATTTAAAGTATATGCTACAATTGTCATTTAAAAAAATGATCCGATAAAGCAAGTATCAAAAACCACTACAAACTAACTGGTTCATGCAGAGCATGGCGTTTAAGTGCGTTTTGCGGGATCAAAACGGTTGTCTCGCCACTCAGTTATTCGAAGATTAAAGAGCCGGAAGCGTAGCTGACGCTGGAATCGGACATGGACTTGCATTGGCTGCTCTGAGCGTACTTGAGGAACTTAAAGCTCATGTTGTAGCCTCTGCTCTGGAGCGTGTGCACCGCTTGCATCATGACGCCGATCGGATGGCGTCCGCAGATGGTGTTGTTGTACTTCTTGAGATACTCCGTGAATGCAGCCGGATTGAGACTCTCAATCAACTCCATTCCCGACTTGTCCAGCTTCTCGATGGACTTGTAGATGTGCCCGCAGCTCTTCTCATAGTACGTGTAGCGGAATCGCTGGCCCCAGTGGCAGAAGTCCGATGAGATCACGAAGAGATTCTGCGGATCGGCGAGATATGGCGCCAGGATCTCACCATAAGTCGCCTCGCAGTTTGGCGTGAGAGATCCCACGAGAATTGGCACAATAGTGAATTGATTCTTGAAGTCTTCCATCACTTTGGCGACATATGGTAAATGCATCTCTATGCTGTGCTCATCCTCGTCGGTCTTCAAGTCCATCCACTGGAATTGCTGAGACTCCCTCAGCTCCTCATTAACTGCAAAAGGAAATTGTTCTCTTAAGCATACACGCTCTGCTTGGCAAAAGGAATCGTGTGTGCTCACCAGCCCTGTCCACTATGAGATCATAGAAAGGTGTCTTGTAGGTGGTGCAAGACGTTAAGGCACAGCCCTTGATTCGAACGTAGTGTGACGGTCCCAGGATAAAGACGCGCTTCACTACAGCCGGACTCACTTGCCGATAGGCATAAGCAGCACATTCCCCGCAGTAAGTGTAGCCGGCGTGCCTGCAAAGAGTCCGAATTACTCTCCAAACCCAAATCACCAATTTCACCGTCACTCACGGAGCAATGATGGCACGAGCAGGACCGTAGCTGAGCTCAGCGTTCGCCAACCAGTTGTCCAGCTGCCGGTTGAGTTCGCTCTCTGGTGGAAGAAAGCAAAGAAATCATTGATCAACCGAATCCAAATTGACACTCTTGATTGTCTGAGTGAATTAAGAAATAAATTAAATGTTGCGGAAAAATTCATTATGAGGCTTCAAGACTTAGTCTTTCTCCCTCTTGAAAATTTTGTACACCCAAAACAGCTCACAAGCCTTGTTTAGTTAAATGGAAGAGAAAACATGCGAATTACTTGGATATGAATATCATGAAAATTTCGCTAATTTTTTCACGTAAAATATATTTATGCCATTCATGCTTTTTTTGTAAAACTTTTTTTCAAATGATTCATGATATGGGAATGTACGTAATCTTCCATTTCTGGATGTGATGTGAACTTTGTGTTAAATTTTTCTCAACCCTTTCTCTCTACTTCATTAATTGTATCATCGTCTGTATCATCAGTTTCGTCAATTTCTCTCAAGTTCCTCGAGGCGAGGCTTCCATTCGTGGGTCAATTGCTGTCTCCAGATTTCCAATGCATCTGCAATTTGTCAAATTGTATGAAAACGTCGTCCTTTTCACGAATAACATCCATTTCCACGGACAATAATATTTGCATTGGCAACAAAAAGACAGACTTCTCTTCCGCCCCGAAAGGAAATTGATCAAACGGGCGAAACAAAGAACAGCTGATTTTGCGTGAAACTTTATAACCACAAACCTGAATCCGTGTACCAACTTCCAGCGTGCGTAGCTTCTCGAGATGCCATCGTAGATGATTTTCCAACAATCTCACTTCACCTGAATCACAGTGAAAGAGGGCTTTTCGTGGAATTTCACTAATTGCTCGCGAAGTGCAGCCAAAAAATGAAATTTCACGACTGTCAATCCGACTGTCCCAAAATGTCCCAATTTTGCGTGCAATTATGGTGTAATTTTTATAGGTACATAATTATTGTGTGTAGAAAATATTATGAACGAATTGAATAGCTCTAGTTCTAGGTCTTGGGGCATTTAGGGTACGTTTTTAATCGTTTTAATATATTAAAACAGCTGAAAGCGAGGTTGAAAGTAAAAAATTACAATATTTTACGCATGTCCCAAAACGCATCTGCTCGATGAATCAAAGCCAACTTCACGATAATCACTTTGGGTGATTCTTGGGCGATTCGCTGTGAAACAAAAGTCAAAGTGCAATTTAATTCTCGAATTCCGCAGTATTTTGATCGTGAAGTGCTTGAAGGATGGGTAATAAGTCGTCCCTGTTGCTGAGAGAGGAGGAAATCGGGCAGATTCAGGAGGAAACTGGCTGTGAGTATGAGCAGGAGCGTCCTTGCTCTGGAGTCTGCGGGTTCAGGGACAAGTTCATGGAAACACCTTCACTTGGGGGCGCTTACATAATGCCTCAGTCGCTGATGCATCCTGACCTGGTGCTTATCGCTCTTTGCAGTCACTGCGAATCAGATCGAGCGCCTCTACTCTCGCTTCACGTCACTGGATCGCGGAGATTGCGGCACTCTGTCCAGAGATGACTTTCTGCGGATTCCAGAGCTCGCCATCAATCCCCTCTGTGACCGCATCGTGCATGCCTTCTTCGTGGAGAGCAGCGACGACAGGGTGAACTTCCGGCAGTTCATGACGGTGCTGGCTCGCTTCAGGCCCCCGAAGTCCAATGACAAGCGCAACAAGCTCAACAGTCGCTCGGACAAGCTCCGCTTCGCCTTCAAGATGTACGATCTGGATGACGATGACTCGATCTCGCGCGACGAGCTGCTCAGCATCCTGCACATGATGGTGGGCGACAACATCAGCCAGGATCAGCTCATCTCCATCGCCGAGAGGACGATCGTCGAGGCGGATCAGATGGGCCACGGAACCATCAACTTCGAGGACTTCTGCAAGGCCCTCGAGCGGACCGACGTGGAGCAGAAGATGTCCATACGATTCCTCAACTAACTGCGCGACAGTGAGCAATCGAATGCACAAGAATCTACCAAAACGTCGACCCTCTGCAAGCTCTCTGGTCGATTTTAGCTACTTAAAGTTGCACAGGAAGGTGTCAGTCATTCCGCTGGTGATAGAGATCCCGAGAGATGTGTCTTATAAATGAACAAATAACATGAATTTAATAATAGATACAATTTCAGTGAAGAACTATTGATTTTCAATGCTGTGGATAAATTGACATTTTTGTGGCTTGCAGATTTTTTTTTGTCAGTGTTTCCCTTTTCGGTACGATTAGAAAATCCAATGCAACTATATTTTGTCGCCAAAGAGGAATTTTCAGCAAAAACCCGATTATTTCTGTTCATGTGAACAAAATCGATACTTTAAAATATTCAGAAAGCGTAATCTCATTTAATAATAATTCCCATGTGGATAATTCAGATAGTTACCCTCCCACTCGAATTTTTAATGTAAAACCATTACTAGTTTATTGCAAAAACTCATGCATCATTCAATTTCCCAGCTCTTGGCTCTAAAGTGGGTCCTCGAGTGGATGATTTTGCCAGCTCTCTTGGCTATTGTTTATGATGAAAAGGACGGACCCGACGATAATGTGTAAGTTGTGTCGTGCAAGTTGATTCTCCTGGAGTTTCTATCGCAAGAAATGGCATCGTAAATTGCCAAAGCTCGGTGGCGAGAGGCCAAGTTGAAAATATCCCGGGTAGATTTTCGTTCATATTCTCGCATTGGAGAAAATCAAGTTCCCACTCATTTTCCGCCCACTTCCTTGGCTTTTTTCCCTCCTCCTGACTCTTGAATCTTGGAGTGTTTTGCGGTGAAAACCAAAAGATCTTCCCTTTGTGGGGAACTGAAATTTATATGTATACTTTGTGTACATATATAGTGGCTTTGTTGCCGGTGCGTCTGTGCTGGGGAAATGAATGAGGCTCTGGTTGAGTCTTGAGATGAACTTTCGAATGGCACGAGGGGGGTGGGGGGCAGGGGGATGTTGAAAAAATTAAACTATTGTGTGCTGGAGAAGAGTTGTTATCAGAGGCAGACTCTTTGCGCCTTCACATCCAGTCGGTGCACATAAACTTTAATTTACTTTTGTGTACGTTATCGTTTCGATTGATCTTTTATTCAAAAGGTTTTTGGGGAAACAAGTTAATGCTTGAGGCGAACAGGGGCAACATTTTCGGCAAATGGGACCGCTTTTGGTGCGCTACAAAACTTCCTGCCAAAGAAATCATGGGGAAAGAGCCGAAGCGGGCGGAGACGACAGGTGGGAAATTCAAACTCCGGGGATGATGAGAAAACATTCTGGCGGGCCTCGTAAGGCTTTTTGGGTGTGTATAAAATGTTATTTCACTCTCCGGTTCTTCTCGCTTTGGAGGCGCGCACTCTTCTAGAATTCTCACTACACACACACGGTAACTTTTGTGCCTTATTTGCAAGGTGAAATTAGAGGTAAACAAATACAACTTAAATGAATAATTATTTATTTCACCCGCACTTCGGGCATTTTTCTGCATACCCGCAAACTGTGGGTGGAGAAAGATGAAAATTCATATTCATTTCGTCATTAGTTGTCCATTTTGCTTTTACCCCTTGTTTGATCAATTTTCCCCCATACAAAAGACAGTAGTCTCTGTCAGTTATTGTCTTTATCACTTGCAAGGACTATTGCTCTGTGAAAATGGACAATTTGTCGCCCCAAACGAAGACTGAGGATTCGATTCTTGCGGAAATTGACAATCTCAAAGCCGAACTTACCGCCAATTTGGTCACATGCCAAGACATCGGAAGGATCATCGAAGAAATCTCTGTCGTGGATTTGAGAAGAAGTCTCTCAAGCGATGATGACAAAGTTCAGGCACGTGCGCTGGAGGAAAACCCTATTGAGGAGACTTTGGAGAAACTGAGAAGCAACCGCAGCTTCAAGTTCACGCCCACAGACGGAAATTCTATCGTGGGGAATTTCGTGAGTTCCTTAGACAACCTTCAGGAAGCCATGAACAGCTTGAAGGAGTGTTCGGAGAAGATGGTCATGATTGACAAGAAGATCCAAGAAACCATTCAAGAAGCGCAAAATTCACTTTCAATAGTCTGTGCTGATTTTCAGGACGCTTCATCAAATGCCTCTTCAGACTAGAGGCCAGAGAAGTGAAGGAATTTCCGGAAATTTTTTGAAGCAATATAATAAATTTTACGTGTGAAGCCTTTGAAGCTATAAAATGTGAATTTTTCATTCTGCAATTTCAGCCTTTCAATCTCCTAATTCGGATGATGCCTGACAAATGATTTTTCACTTTGAGGAATTTCATGAATGTGTAATTTCCGTATTATACAATCATCTGTATTCATATTGGAAAAGTCTGCTCGTTTATGAGGAACATGTATTGCATTTACAATCTGTGCGCTACGGCAGGGGCTGCTGCGTAGGTGTGTTTGGGATGATCCTGGGCACTTCGGTTCCCCCAAAGGAGAATGCGAAGAATGTGATAAATCATCCCATGGTATGTTCACACATTCACTGCACATCACGTTGCATCACAATTCACTAGCAGCACGACCACTAATTATGCATTTGAAAGGATTTCAGCATTCGAAGCTCTAATTGGAAATTTTCCCATCATCCTCTCAGTGTGAACAATTGCACACTGTTCTGGGCTATTGAAGAAGTTGCAATTGCTTTTGCAAATGGTAATTTCGTTCCCAATTACATCTTCGCATCAGAACTCATGGACATGCCGTCGGTGTGCAGTTAGGGCTGACCTTCGGTGGTACTCCATGTCAGGATGGCATCACACACACATGAGATCTCTCGGTGGAAATTTATCGGGAATCTATCTCACATCTCTCCCATTTGCAATATTAAACTCAGCCCCGTCTGATGGGAAGGGGCACATGGCTTTTGCCCTCTCTTGTGTGTGTGGTGCTTGGTAATATTTATCGAGAGGGGGAAACTTTGTCTTGGAAGCTGCCTTTGAAGTAGTAAATTTCAAGACCAAGACCCATTTCTAATTGCGCCCGAGTTAGGCGGTATATCTCATTCAATTTCCGCCCGCTCCTGTCTTTTTACAGCTGATGCCGGAGGCCGAGCTTTGCAGTTGCCGCATCCCGACCGCCAGATTTACGGCCGCGCCGTAGAAAATGAGGATGGAGCAATATTGCAATAATCGGGAATTAGGTTCCCCTGCCCATTTACCCGCACACACCCTTTGAGCGGGGAGCGAGAGAGCGCACATCGGAATCAAACACTGAGCAGAAAGGGTAGGAGAAAGTAAATTTCATCCAACCTGTGAGACTGTCATGTATAATTTGTGTTTCTGCTGCAGAACATAAAGGAATTCATTACGGCTCTCACTGTGCCGCCATGGCTTAGTGTCAACCAACCCTTTTTGGGAAGTGGGGAAAACATAATAATTCCAATATGTAGTAGAAAGTTGGGGATTAATTCAGGACTAATTGAAATTTCCAAACTATACGAATTTATGCCATTTACTATTTTGTACTCACAGCGAAGTGAATGGCAAAGCGTCAAGAATGGGGTAAATTGGATGAGGTGAATTCTCACAAATCACATAATGTATTCCATGTATAAACTTGTGTATGAACGAAGCTTTGAAATTATTTAACTTTCTAGTTTCTAGTCAAATACCAAAAGTTGAAAAATCTCTTGCATATGTGTCGGAAAATCTGGATTACGAGACATACGATATTTTCCATCAGGTCCTATGACCTCTGTGATAACAATTTTCAATACCTATTAATGGACGCAGGTGAATACAAGGGTAAATATTTTGTATAAACATATTTAAATATTAATTTGCCTAATTAATGCATTCAATTTATCAGACCGGAATGAGTGTGTGACGTTATTACAGTATGAATTAATGAAATGTTATGAAAAATTTGATATTTCATGCTAAAAATCTGCTTTTGGCGACAATTTTCATTTATGTACTCGCTTGTTAAGTGGCATTTATGATTCTGGAGGCCACTTTATCAATCCCGTCGCGACTGGCGCGCATATTTATTGGCAATTGATTGATACGAGCAGGTGCAGAAGACGCAGGGTTCAGTGGCATCTTTGTATAAATTGAACAATTGAGCACTTTTCATCTCCCTTTGTGTTGTATGAATCGCTCAATTGCAGTTTGAAGTAAATTGAATGGGAGTTTGAACAAAGTCAAGCGCCGAGTGGCTGCGAAGGAGTGGGTGATTGCTCAAGTGGGGGTGAAACACTATAAATAGGGCATGCTGTCCGATCGGGGTTATGGAGTTGACTGGAGAGACAAATTTATCAGCTAGGTGGAAACCTCTTTATTGTCATCAGTTTAGAAGAAAAACACAAAAAGACACTTTCCACTGTGAGCGGCAGTATCAATTATTATCGACTATACTCTCATCAGCTGTCGATTGGCTATCTCGGCAGTGCTATTGTGTGTGGCAATATTGGCATGATCTAGTGAATGAGTGACAATAACTGAAATGCCACGGTTCTTCATGATAAAATGATTGTGAACACTTCAAGTGAAGACAGAGCGACTGGGAAGTTTGGTGGATCAGTGTGGAAAATTGATTTTGTGAGGAGCTTTTATGGTGCGACAGATGGCGAAGACGCGAGGATACGACAATCCCGTGGCGTTGGCCTCAACTGCCACTGATGAGAGGTCAACTGGCCGCGACCGGACGAAATCGGATGCGGAAAATAGCCCTGATACAGCAGATCGTATTCCGGTAATAAAAATATTAATATTGTTCTCCCATTAAATGTTGATGATGATGAAAATGCTGTGTGAAAGTTTTCAACTTGTCCCGGGACATCTCAGACTGTGGCCCAGTGTGCAACCCTAATAATTTCGCCGTTTATACATCTCGCATCATCACATTCTTGGGGTCAACTCTCTGTGTGAGTCACTCTCCCACTCTAGCTGACCCATTCGCAGCTCGGACTCTCGCCATCGTAAAAGTGTATCCCCATAAATTGTGTATAAGTGCAATTATTATCGGTGAAAATTACTATGTGACCGACTATGAGTGAGCGCCCATAAAATTTAATAACTCCCCACACAGCGCGCCTGCATCCGCACACGACCACACAGTCCTCTTCCGCCCACGTTCGCTCCAGGAAAAGACACAGAGGCGAATGAGCGCCAATAAACGGCCAGGATGATTATTGCAGTTGAAGAACTTTCGTGACGTTTTCCGCTGAAAAATTTCATTTCATTTGATTGCACTCAACGAAACTTCATTTCCACTTTGCTCACTATGGGAACAATGAGGAATTGAGAAATTGGCCGGAATTCTTCTCATTATATTTTATTGCTCAGCATCTCAAGACGAGAGAGTTGTTGGAAATAATATTTCAAAAGAGAATATGAAATTCGAAACGATTAATTTAGCAAAAGTCAAAGTAGAGAATGGATATTGTATAGAAACTTATAGGATAAGTTACAATAGTTATGGAATTTTCCGATAAAGTGAAGTGAGATTAAGCTTTAAAGCGTTAGTTTGAGTTAGTGATAAGTTACACCTATATTCTATAAGCACATAAACGCTTTCATAAGTTATCTACATAGGAATTTGTGGTATTAAATTATCCTTAAGCATTGCATAAAATTTCTTTCTTTCACTTAACTTCACCATTGAAGGCCTTAAAGTATGCGGCAACTTGAGAAACACTCTTGAAAGTTGCGATAATGTTCTCAATCGCACACCGACGTTTTTTTTTGTTATTGAGATAATAAGATATGCCCCTCTCTGCACAGGTACTTTGTATTGATCTTGTGATTGGGCAAACATTGAACCAGAAAAGTTATCAACTCACTGAATGCGCTTTCGCGCAGAGATAAGAACGACATGCGAATGAACGCTGGCTTGATTAGTTTTTAATTTGATTTGCTTTCCCTTTTCCCACCCATTACGCTTCTACCTGTGCTGAAGGGAATCCGGAGAATCTTCAATGCCAACAGATACGCCACGAAGAAGACATTGGCTCAGGGCATCCTTGATCTGGCTCTGCTGGCCTCAAATGCAGCCCAGCTGAAGCACTTGCTGAGGATTGGAGACGCCCACGAGTTCTATACTCTGCTGCTGGCGCTGATTGTGTCATCAATCTGCCTCCAGGTGAGTGATTGATATCTGGGATGATGGAGAAGGATGAGTCTAATTGTACAATCTCGTGCCGAATAACACGATATTTGGGATTTCGGCCTACAGGTGATTCAGGCGGTCGTTTGCGTCGTCCTCGGACTCATCCTGGACATCAACAATGTGGCACAGCAGAGAGTGTCGGACATCTGCAACAACGTCTGCGTGGTCATCATCATTGTCACTGTGGCCATAAACGTGATAATTAGTTCCTTCGACCTGAAGGAAGGGTGACGACTCAAGCAAGAGTCTCTCAGGCCATCGCCGAAGGCGAAGGATGAAATTCTCTGAGGGTGAAAATTGCCATATTTCTCGACTTGCATTCGGGGATTTTAGGTCCCTGGGCATATTACGCATTTAATTACAATCATTAACTTTTAAATGTTCAATTATAATTTTATATGTCTATAAATATCCTTATCAGTGCTCTGCGAAATTCTCAGTCTTTTTATCTCTATTTATATGTATAAATTAAATACATGGAAAGTTCCTTGGAGGGCGTTATACTCTATCTGCGCAGCATATCGTCGGCTGCTTAGTTCAATATCGTAATTTGATGTTTTCTTTTCACAGTAATATTGCGGCGTATAACAATATCGCGAATAAAGCTTTTTATCTTAAAACCACGTCTCAAGTAATAAATAATCGAAAGAGATATGACATTGGCTGATGAAGCCAACGATATGTGTGAATGTTTTCTCGTATAATTACATAAAGTAACTAAAATCTTTTTTATTGCATCTGTGGTAAGCAATATTTAAGTCGCGTAATTAATTTCTATATTCAAGCTTGCAAAATGTATATTCTTTTTTTTTGCCAGTCTCATTTAATTTTTTCGAGTGACTCCTTGATGATTTGATAACGCAGAAAGTGGAATCGCATTCATGGGCGCCACTAACTTTCATTTTAATGAGAAGGAAACTTACTCTCTTCAAGTGTCAGTGAAAAAAAATTGTAGGATGAATAGACAGAAGAGTCTTCCCTTTTCAGCGTATGCAGTATTTAACCTCTTTCACTTTGTGCTGTTAATTATAGGGAAACCTACAACATTATTTTTATGAACTTATGAAATTGTAACGATGAGAAATATGATTATCCTTTGAGTTGGCGCATTTTCCGGGGTTTCCCAGTGTTTTTTATCTCCATGAAAATCCCACTGTTCCTTGAAAATGTGTGCAATTGTCTTCTCTCCCCGTGAGAGAGTGTATTTTAATCATAAAATATATTATCTGTAGTCGTATAAAATGAGAAAATCCATCATTATCCACCAGACGAGGGAGAGTAACAATGGTGTTTTGGGGTTTTATAGAAGGGCCAGCCGTAGGGCGGATTTTTGGATGGAACATGGGTTGTGTGTCTGCTGTTGGCCAAATAGAATCTTGCCGAGAACCACAAAAGTAATTAATTTAATACCTTTCTGACATTGCGGCATCGGCGGAAGAATGGCAGAAGAATCTATAATATCCCAACAGTGGCTTGGGAGTCCTGCCATTGTGCTACACGTTTTAATGTGAATTTCATGAGCGTTTATATTATGCCCAGGTGTAATACGCCCGAAGATGCCATTAACTGACAAGGGATTCTCTCTGCCATCCTCACATCCCAAAATCACAATTATCATACACTTCGTGCTACGCTTCGCCTCGAGACTCTCCCCAAAACTGATGGAGTTCAAATGCTGCTGCCAGTTGGCATCATGGATGTTTAATTTTTATTGCACTTGTTCTGACGCGTGTGTCATTTTAGCATAAACTCCTTCATGTGTAGAAATACAATTAAACCACACTTGTGATGGCCATAAACTTACTCTGCTCACGTATTAAATGTTCTATAAGTCTTTTTTCATATGCAGCATCACAATCATCTAAAATCATGCATCACAATGTAGACCAGAGAGCAGATTAAATGTTTAACCCGATTAACCTGTCTGTATTTTTGTGTGTTACTTTGCAACGGTTTTACGGTATTTTAATTACAAGTTTAATTCCTTGAAATGCTGCAGCTGCGAAAGGAAATAAAATGTAGAAAATCCACTTTGTGTTTGTTTACTACAATGGAATCTTTTGTGTACATAATACCATTTTTGTACTGGTAAAGGAACTGAGAATTTCCGCGGAGCTTTTCTCACCCTATTGTAACTGAGGAGCATCAGTAACACTTGATTTAAAGATAACAATCGTGTTAGAGGCGGAAAATCTATGTTTGCTTTCTGTTCGTGGAATAACACTTCTTCAAGCTTCACCATTCACACAAACTTTATGTGAAAACTATTTATGGGAAAATATGTGCGTTCGCTGAGCCGTTTGATTCACTGGTAAATATGCTGAGAATTTAATTCTTTGCAAGACATGATTTTTGATTCAGTGAGCAAAATGTGGAATCTGCGCGGGAATTTATAGCGAGGGATGTGGAAATGAAACAGATGAAATTGAAAATTCAATTAAGTGCGCTCTTCTAATTTATTGAGGCATTTATGTAATTAATATATTGGCAATACTACATTGGCTTTTATTGCTTATTTTATTGCTCTGCCCCCTACAGTTAATTGTGGTAGACGTACAATTCCATAATCAACCGATATTTCCGACTCACTCGTCTTATTTACCGATGTGAAGGGTTGTTTGGTGGAAATTTCACTGAGTTTATGTAGTTGCTTGAAAGTAATTGAGATCACCACTTAAATACACTGCGGTTCAAAGAGTAGACAATTAAGGAAAGATTACCTGGAGGTATCAAATTCGCGTCGTATTTTCTTGTGGAGATAATTAATAGCTCTAGTTGATGTCTGTGAAATCATCGGTGTGTGCAAGAATCTAGAGTTCTAAACAAAACATCGTTATTTGACGCTGTTCTGTTATTATGACGATGTTAAAAGCGGAGACTTCATCTAAATGACTAATGTTTAAATGGCAAAAGCACATGAGGCAATCCCGACAATTATCACGTAAAGGGTTGTGATTACTCTGGGCCGCACTTCCTGACTCGGGCAGGCGGTCAGGATGAAGGAGGAAAAGGCAAGTGTGGGAGCTGATGGAAATGAGGAAGAGATTTCGGTAACCAAATAATGTGCCACATAGGCAAATACCAGCTGGTGAGGGTGAGATTGGGGATATTAATGAAAAACACGAAACGCCCTGGAGCCTCCCATGGAATCACCCCTCCGAATGGCTGCCGGCCCGCATTGTGTGCATGTAATGTGAGCCACAGGGTGCCACACACGTATTTTGGGGGATGATTGATGGGCTTTGGGGAACGCTTCACTCGCCAAATTGATGGTTTTGTCCATTTTTCACACATTCTGACCGCGCTCTGTAGATTTCCGGTGGGCCGCCGGAATTTTCGGGGTGCACGATTCTCAAATATCCTCAATGCTTCTCTTGTTGTTGCTCAGCACTTCGCCCCCACGATACAATGTGGAGGGAACAATGTGTACCGTGATGACAGTGATTTTTCCTCTCTTCCTTTCCACCACTCCCGCAAGAGCTTTTGCCGCATGAACTTTGGAGAATTCGCCGAAGGAGGAGTTATTGTGCAAAATTCTGCCTCATCCCGGCAGATGCTCCGTAGAGAGTATCAAATTTTATTTCTGCACGTGCTAGTTGGTGGATTTCGGGCTGAAGTTGCGGGCAGACAAATTCTGCAATTTATTCCACTCCAACAACACTGACGGATTTATCGAAGTTGTTGAGAATTTCGAGAGCTTCCGACGCAGCAGGTGGAGAGACGGATATCTAGTGGTCCACACATCAAGATATGCTTGATTTGAGGTTGCTGCACAATGTATAGCAACCATTTTTTATAGTTTGAGAATTCATCTGATTTCTTTTGGAAATGCCAAAATGCTCATTGCAGACACCAGTAAAATTTTTAGAACCATGCTGCATTTTCCACGTAGTAGCTTTTAACAAAAGTTTCACAATTATAAAGTTTTCCAATTCAACTATGCGGCTTGGGTAGCTTAATTGATTGGAGAACTTTAGAGTTACTCTCTGAATTTTGGAATTTTTCAAATTGCATTTTTAAGCATTTATACACATGTCTCTGAGAAGTTTCAACGAGCTCCTTGTGAATCCTTTTCGATGAAAAATTTGATGACTACTCAGTAGATTTTTCTGGAGCATTTGAAGCTTTCATCTTTTTGATTTCCTCACGTTCGCGTGAGAATCACAAGCAATTCTCTTCGATCTCTATTATTTATTGGCAATTTCTCGGAGATGCAGGATTACTCTGTCGAAATATTTCATGGTGAAATCTCTCGCTGTTGATCTGTTCATTTCACTTGCCATCCTGCCTCATCCTTTCACGTGTAGAAAATGCATCAGGAAAGCCGATGTTCGTATACTGCCAACAATGTTTCTCCATTTTCCTGCAAAAAGCTCTACATATGCTCCATACTTGCCCGTCACCGACAATACCACCATGATGGGAAAGATTGAGAAACTTTTCCATTTGCAGGAGAGTGGCTGTCGACTCTTCAGCCTTGCCACAGATGATGTAGAATCACTGTGGAGGTGAATTTCGTCAAAAGCTCTCCCTCAAGAACACACATAAAATTCTCTGGGAAAACTTTTATACTGGCACTTTTTCATTGTTTTATATATACAGACACGCACACGTATTTTCACAGTTGAGCTAAATTCGCTTCATTGGCTTCGTGAGATCTTATTCATTGCTATTTAACCGCTTCACATCGACATGAGAGCTTTTACGACATATATTTCGGCCCCTATTGCAAATGGCCTGTCCCATTTTTGGAAGTACATGCAGGCAATGTCATTCAAGCATATAGCTAAAGAGTGATAAGCTGCAAAGACTTGGCAGAGACTCTAGAATTCTGACCGAGAACTGTGATTTGCTGAAAAGCTTTCGTCCCTCATTTTTTATTTATATCCATATGAAATTGTACAGAAGATATGTAATATTGATCATATCTTCGAAGACCGAACGTTTTAATAAATTTCACACTTTTTGAGTAATAAAATTGCATATGATATTTCATTCTAATCTACGAGAAAATCTCACTGACTGTGTAGGATATTGCCGCTGAGTCTCTCTATGATAAAATTTAATAATAAAATTTGCTTCTCTCTTGCATCCAACGTCACCTACACAAAAGATATGGTTGAGCGTCTGTAAGCGGATTTTATTATCAAGTTGAAATGCGTTCTAGCGGGAAATTCACGTCTGGATGCATTGACAATTTCCAATTCTCGGTGAAGAGGGGGAGATATGTATGAGAGTATTTCTGAAATTGCAAGTACTTGAGAACCATAATAACAATTCGTGGCGGAAAAACCAATTTTCCACAATAAGCTCAAGCTCTGACTTGTTTCTCTTGCACTGACATCTCAATCTACTGAAGTCACACTGTATATTATGAAAATATGGGTACGAAGGAAGCTTTATAAGTTCAAGGAGTGACTGTGGTACCACAGA